ATTAAAAGTTGACCGCGCAATTTCAATGCGGCATCTTATTTCTTTTGTCTGATCAGTATCTTCTGTGATCCATGCTCCAAGGTATTTCTACGAAGATATTTGTTCAATTTCTGTATTATCTAGTACTAGCTTAACTTTGATGTTTTGTGCTTGTGTAAATACCATGAACTTGGTTTTCTTCAAATTGATTTTAGTCCATAATCGTTGCAATATATATTTAGTTGTTCAGCAAGGTGTTGCAGTTCTTCTAGTGTTCCTGCCAGAAGGACGGTGTCGTCAGCATATCTTATGTTATTAAGTGGCTCACCGTTTATTATAAGGCCCTCACTGATCTCGGCAAGCGTTAATTCTGAGATGGATTCACTGTATAAATTGAATAACAAGGGTGATAAAATATACCCTTGGCGGACCCCACGGCGAATCTGGATATCCTTGGTCAGTTCGTTTTCAACTTTCACTTTTGCTGTTTGATTCCAATAGAGGTTACAGATAATTCTAATGTCTCTACTGTCTATGTTTTTATTTAATAAAATTTCTTTAAGTCGATTATGCTGCACTCTGTCAAATGCCTTCTCAAAATCAATGAAACAGGCATATACTTCCTGATTAATATCTAAGCATCTCTGCGAAAGAACACTTACTGCAAACAGTGCATCTCGTGTTCCCAGTCCTTTCCTAAATCCCATTTGTGTATTACTTATGCCTTCATCTAATTTCTTATGTATTCTATTTAGCTTTTTTCTTATGACTCATTGGCTTTTTTGGGAAGCAGTATGAATGTTGATTGGAACTATTTTTTAGGTATTATACCTGTTCTATATATGGTATTGAATAGATCCAAAAGAAGATTTATATATTCAGTATTCACAATTTTAAGTAATTCGATAGGAACTTCATCAGGCCCGGGATATTGACCACCTTTAGCTTGTTTCATTGCATATTCAATTTCTTCTCGTATAATGTCAGGCCCAGTATAATCTTTAAATTCTTTTGGTGCTTCTGTTCTCTCTTTGTCTTCAAATAGTTGTGCTATATATTGTGTGCATCTCTGCATTTTTTGGTTTATATCTGTTATAAGTGTACCCCTTTCATCTCTTAGTTGCCTAGTTTGAAGTGTTTTTCTCATTCCTGTTAATTCTCTAATTCTTTTATGCATGTTAAAAAAGTCATATTTTTTCTCAATTTCTTCTAGTTCTTGGCACTGCTCATGTAACATTCTTTCCTTAGCTTCTTTTATTCTCTTTTTTATTAATCGATCAGTTTCATTATATTTAATTGGATTTTTTGTTTTGAATGATTTTCTTTCATTCATTAATAGTAGTATTTCTTCAGTCATCCAATCTTTATGTTTTCTATTCTTTGGTTTTAAGAATTACTACTTTTGTTTTATTTAGGTATTACACACTGGAGAGCAATAAAACTAATCCATCCAGAATTTTACCGTTTAAAGAGGAATCAGTGATTGATTTTCTGAGATATAGTGAACGACTCTGAAATTTCAGCTCACCTTTAATGTTAAAATTCTGGATTAAAAATTTTATTGCTCGCCAGTATAGATAGTTAAAAATTCCTAGTCTGTAGATCGCAAAGAATTAAAAAGACAGACAGTATATCTCGACTCCGATTAAGGTGGCCACCCTTGCAATAGGTTATCGTCAATAATCTTGTTACGTCAATGTGCAAAGTTGTATAGCTTGTCACTACGTAATTTATTTAAAATAAATATAAAATGAGTGTAAAGAAACAAAACAAAAAAAACACAAATACAGGCAAAATTTTTGCAAATAACAACATGGCGTGATTCAAGCGTAGCAAATCGGTAGATATACCTACAAATACAAAAAAAAACAATAAAACTTTATTATATTTGAAACTGGTCTAGATTTTAACAATCTCCAATTAAATATATTATTCCGGCTAGTTTACATATTTTTATCATAACAATATTATAATTAGCCACAAATAGTATTACCTAGAATTTTTTTGACTAGAACATCTTAATTTTCTGTAAAAACAATTATGGTATTTACTGTTTCCTGTTATTCATATTAAAATCTTGTCTGTGGGACTTTCGGATATGAGTTAAGTGTGATTTAGGGTGTGGTCAGACCAGATTTATGCTGCCGCGGGCCCATGTCTGGCTTCTTCGGATTCTTAAGGTGGCATTAAACGAAAATGTTAAATTACATAAGCGCGGCCAACATTAAAGTGGTACAGTTTACAGTAGGCGGTACTATAGATTAGTGCAAAGCTTCATAATATGTTAAAAATTAAATAAAGTAGTTTTATTATTTATTTACGATTTTTATAGATTTCCAAAAAATGAAGTTTTTCGCTTCACGCTTTTACGACACACATTTAAAGAGCTTAAATCAAAACTTACATCGCCCCAGTGTTAGCATGCTCCGATTTTTCAAAAATTTTACCTGCAAACAGATGCGCTAAACTGTGAACTTGGGGTTGCATTAACGCAGAAGTAGATATGACGATCAAGAGAAAGTGATAGCATATGCTAAACTCTCACTCCGCATCGACTGAGACAAGATACTTCTTTTTCTTTTGGTGCCTCTCCTCTGTGGATGTTGGCAATCACGTTGGTCCATACAACTTTGTTGACAGCTGCTCTAAATAGATGTATGGTAGTCATTCCTGCCCACTGTCTGATGTGTTCTTCAACCGCGATGTCCTTCTGTTCCCTTGAGATATTTTGCCTTCCATCTTGCCTTGTAAAATTAGTTGAATTAGTTGATACTTCTCATTGCGCATAACATGCCCTAAGTATGTCACCTTTCTGATTTTCATGATACGCATAATTTTCAGATCTTTACTCATACGTTGGATCACGGTGTTGTTTGTAACATGATGGATATAGGAAATTCTGAGCAAGCGGCGGTAGCACCACACTTCGAAGGCTTCTAATCGTTTGGATGTTGCTTCCACCAAGGTCCAGACTTCGAATCCATATAAAAGAGTAGAAAAGACATCTCGCCTTTTCTATACGACATCTTACTTCCTGTGAGTGGCCCCATTCCATATTAGGCTGCATGCAACATATGTAATTTTGTCGACTATTTTTAAGGGTTCATTATTAGCTGTGAATTGGTGCTGTGTTACATCGTTTTTACTTACTACAAGAATTTTGGTCTTCTTACAGTTTAATTTCATGCCGTATCTGTCACAGGCTTCCAGTATACGGTCTATTAATGTTTGCAGATCCTCCGCATTATCAACAATCAAAACCGTATCGTCCGTATATCTTAAATTGTTTGTGATTTCACCATTGATTTTTACACCTTCTCTTAAACCATGAATAGCTTCCCTGAACAGCATTTCCGAGTAAGTATTGAACAACGTCGGTGACAAAATGCAGCCCTGACGCACTCCCCGTTCTATCGTGAATTCTTGTGAGATTTCGTTGTCTACTCTTACAGTTGCCCTTTGCTGTAAGTATAATTTTTTTATTAGACGTAAATCTTTGTCATCAATACTAGATTCTTTCAATATCTGAAATAATTTTTGATGCTGCACCTTGTCAAATGCTTTTTCAAAGTCTATAAAGCATGCGTAGACTTCGCAATTTACGTCTCGAGCTCTTTGTATAAATACTTGTATGGAAACTAGGGCTTCTCGCGTTCCCAGTCCGCTTCTAAACCCAAACTGAACACTGCTAATGTTTTCTTTAAGGTTTCTATATATGCGAGAGTGAATAACAAAAAGAAGGATTTTGAGTGCATGGCTCATCAACATAATCAAGCGCTGAAGAGAGGGCAACACTTTCTTGTGTTAGAATAGAAGCAAGCCAGAGGATTTCGACCAACCAAGACAAGCCGCAGCAAGACTCAAGAGAATAAGGGCGAACTGCCACTGCTGCTTCGATTCACGTTACAGATCAGGAAAAATAACCTCCCCACCTTCGACTGCTGCGGCGCTGAAAGGCGAACTATTCGATTTCTTTCTTAGTTGACTATGATTATTTCCTATTGTTTATTCTATTTATATACACAACGCCCTGTATGCAGTAGCGCACCTAGAATTTTCCTCTGGGGGGATTTTGGTTGGGCACCGAAATTTTTTTATGCTACCTCCAGCATTTTAAGTCCTTAAAATTTGTAAATAACAGTGTCTGAGTAGTGTCCTGGAGGGGAGGCGGTTAACCCCCAAAACCCCCCCTGGGTGCGCCACTGCCTGTATGTATAATGTACCTGTGATGTAGCCATATGCTAAATAACTATATACATGCTGTTTGACAACCATGACATCATTAAAAAATCTATTGTATTTAGAAAAACACCTATATCTGCAATTTTGAAATAAACATTCCAATTATTATTCCTGCGATTAATAAGGGACGTGATTTTTCAGAGATAGCAACCGTCGGTTACTTACTATCAACAAAGAATGTCTAACACAGTGTTTCCCAAATTTTTTTAGTCGTGCCACACGTCCATGCGTGCCACACTTTTTATTTCTTTAATATTTACTTATTTTTTCTTATATACTCATAGCCTTGAAAATTTCTTCACCGGTGGAATAACTTTTAAGCTCTTCCCATATAAGGAGTTCTTCTCCTATTTTTATCTCGAATGGAAATCTCGCAAACACAAGCAGAACAGCAAGTCCAGCAACATCGGTGCTTTCATCAAGTTGTAAACTGAACAATTCACAAGTTTTTAATCTATTTATAAGATCTCTCTACTTAGTCTGAAATAGTGTAAATCCTCTTGCTTATAATGCTGTTTGACATCTGCACACAATCTTCTTGGCCATCTCTAGACCTAACATGCATTGCATGACATACTTCACGCAAGGTTTAATCAGTTTCTCGGCAATGGTATCGGGTTTTCCAGCTTTTGCAACCTGCAAACCAACAATAAATGATGCTGCAGTGGCGTTTTCGTTTTCATTTTTGCAGACTCTTCCCATCATGCACGGCCCTACCTGAAGAGTTAGGTCTTATATTTTTCCCTGTAAAATTTGTTTAAAATTGTTTTTTTTTTCAGATAGTCACCTTATACGAAGAACTCCCGCTGCATATTCAGATGGTGTTTATATGCTATCAGGCCAAGACCGCCCGAGTCCCCGCAAACTCAGCCGACTATTCATGAAAGGTCTTGATGGTCTAGGGTCTATGAAGAATAGAACAGCGCTCTTAGCTTTCTTTGGACAGTTGGTTACCTCTGAAATAGTCATGGCTAGCGAAAGCGGATGTCCGATCGAGATGCATCATATTGAAATCGAAAAATGCGATGAAATGTACGATCAGGATTGCAGTGGGACCAAATACATTCCGTTTCATAGAGCTAGTTACGATATGAAGACTGGACAGAGCCCAAATAGTCCCAGAGAACAGGTAATATTTATAATATATTATTTTTACAGCAATTATTTAATTTGTATTTTGAGAAATATTTCAATTGAACCATCAAAATAAATGTATTTTCACATGAAATTGTGGGAAATTACGATTAAATATATAGTGAATAATACTCGTATGTACAATGATGTTAATATATTTTTGGTTTGTAGCTAAATCAAGTTACTAGCTGGATAGACGGAAGTTTTATTTACAGCACAAGTGAGCCTTGGGTGAACGCTATGCGGTCTTTCGAAAATGGTTCTTTTCTTACTGATTCTACTGGAAAAATGCCCGTACACAATCACATGAGAGTTCCTTTATTTAATTATCCAGTGCCACATATGATGAAGACATTAAGTACTGAAAGGTTATTTTGTAAGTTGGATATTTTTTGAAATATATTAAGTACGGAAATATGTGACGGTTTCTCAATCAACGACTAACTGTAAGACTACAGTTACTAATTTTCTTGGTATTGAGAGAATGAAAAATAATTGTAAACTCCAATTATAAATGCAAAACGATTATAAACTGGATAAAATATTTTAATAAGTTTAGATCAGGAAATAAGGTTTTTTTGGTGACACTGCACCGGCCAGGCAAACGACAGTTGTTTTGAGAATATGTAACTTTGTAACAAAAACCTATATATTTTTTGTCATGTTTTCTTCAATTTTTTGGACTTTATTAGTTATTAACAAATTAAGGTAAAAAAACGATAAATATTCGTTGTTTACTCTACCAGCTAAAAGTCAAACATTTGAAACAAATTTAAGATCGATTTAAGTCGATTTTAAAATTCGACTGGGTTCTAGAACTGTTTCAAAAGAATAGACGAACCATAAATAAGATTAAGATTAAAATTCAAATAACTTAGTCGAAAATATAAATGTGTACCGTTAAGTAAATAAATGTTATATTAATTGTGTTTTTAGTGTTAGTGTTAGAAGACTTTTAAATAAATTAAAAAATAATTGTTACATACCATTTCATCCATTATGACCTGGTGTTACATATATTTAACGTTTGTAATGTAAAACTCTCTTCTGCGGTCTTAGTTACGCTGTTAGCAGGTAGATGGTGTGATAGGTCGATTCTGTCGTTAAAAGTGAGCTGTGTGTAATAGCTTTGAATACATTGTTTATTTTATGTAATTTATTCTTGGTGAATGAGGTGAAGGCCTTAGCGCAAAATAGAACCCGATGGCGCGTTTTCACTGAAGCTCTATGCTCCACTTAGGAGTTAAAGAACCTTATATATATATATATATATATATATATATAATATATATATATATATATTCTTGGTGAACAGGGCTGATTCGATGGAAACCGGAGTTCGATTTGAGTAGGTATTATAAAACCTACCTACCTATACAACTGGCATGGGCGCTTTTGGCAAAATAGCATATATCTTGAAAAATACCTCCATTTCTGTAAACTTAAAGAAAAAGGTGTATAACACATGCATACTACCCAGTTTGTACCTACGGCTTGGAGACAGTAGCAATTACCAAAAAATCTGCTAAAAAATTAGAAACAACGCAAAGAGCAATGGAACGAATCATGCTTGGAGTATCACTGAGAGATAAGATTAGAAACACCAAGATAAGACGTAGAACGAAGATTAGGGATATTGTGGGAGAAATTACAAAAATGAAATCGCTGGGCAGATCACGTAGCCCGATATAATGGCAACAGATGTACACGGAGAATTCTAGAGTGGAGACCAAGGAAGACAACAAGAAGCATGGGAAGATCCAAAAAAGATGGGTAAATGACATAATGGTAGTGACAGGCAAACAGTGGATTAGATTGGCGCAAGATAGATAAAGATGAAAGCAGTTGGGAGATATCTACATTCAGGAGTGGACGGAAATTGGTTGACAAAAAAGAAGATTATAAAACAAATTTCTTTTCCAATTATGAAACATTGTATATGTATTTGATTAGCTAATAGTTCTATTTACATGTTAGGTTAGGTATTTTCCAAATCCAAAATCAGATTTTGCTTCAGGGTGTGGTTCATAAATACGTGCGAAGACAGACAATAATTCTTTGAATAGAGTTTCAGACGAACTTTGCTTATGGGATGAACTATCTCCTAACTACCATTCCTGACAAGAAATTGAGACATTGTGTTGAAGAAGGTTGTTCTTGAAGTACGACAACTATGGGCAACAAATGTGATGTTGGCATTTGTTTGAAGTGTTACATAATATTCCATAAAAACTCTCGTTAACGTCTACATAAGATCCTAGCGTTACATATATGTAACATACTTTTTTTTTCAGTAAAAAAAATTTTTTTAAATAATATTTTTTCATATGTTTCTACCTCTAATTAATCCAAAAATGTAAAAAAATACGGTATTACTAAAAAAAATTCCGGTCATAATGGGTTAACAGAAGGCTGATGAATAAAGTAAAACTATTGCTGTGCTTTATTTTTAAATATGACTTTTTATTACCTAAATAATCGCCAATTCCATAAATAGCAATCAATAATTTTCGCTTTACTTTTTATAAATATAATAAAATGCTCATACCATATTACACGTAACATATTGTTTGAATAATTATTTTATTTTAGTATTAGGTGATGCTCGTACCAATCAGAATCCAGCCCTGTTGACAATAAGTGTACTATTTTTTCGATGGCACAATGTTGTTGCCTGGAAAATAAAGAAACACAATCCAGATTGGAGTGACGAAGACGTATTTCAAAAAGCACGAAGAATAGTCATAGCAACTCTGCAAGTATATTTTATGTTTTAGTTTAAACGAGCCATTAAAGCAACTTCGATAAAATGTTCGCAAAAACGTCAGTCATTAATTGCAATTCTCTTCATTGGAACATTCATTGTAATATAATTGTATTTAGCGAGTATTACTAGTAATACTCGCTAAATACAATTAAGTAAGTAATTTTACAAGCATGTAATAAGCTTACAACTCAAGTTGTGTACTATACTTTTTCTATGATTATTTTCGTTTATAAAAATAAAAATTAAATTACCACTATATTTACACTGACAGATTAATAATTTTTTCTACTCGCTTACTAGTAAATTGTATATTACCTACTATTTGGATGCTAAGTAAATGCATCATAACAGATACTGGCACGTAATGACTAGCACGTAATAAAAAAAATTACGCTTCAGTTTTATAAAAATGTGTAATATCACATAAGCCTTGTAAGTCAGTTGGTCGAGTTACCATGGAAACGAATTAACAGACGTTATTTTGACAGATTAGAAATTATTAATCTGTCAGTGTAAATATAGTGGTAATTTAATTTTTATTTTTATAAACGAAAATAATGGTAGAAAAAGTATAGTACACAACTTGAGTTGTAAGCTTATTACATGCTTGTAAAATTACTGCGCTCGCCGCTACGCGGCTCGCGCGCAACTTTTTTACTCGCATGTAATAAGCTTCTTACAACTCTCGTTATGTAATATACTATTTAATCTGTTAAAATAACGTCTGTTAATTCGTTTCCATGGTAACTCGACCAACTGACTTATGAGGCTTATGTGATATTACACATTTTTATAAAACTGAATCGTAATTTTATTTTTCTACTCTCTTACTAGTAAATTGTATATTACCTACTATTTGGATGCTAAGTAAATGCATCATAACATATACTGACACGTAATGACTAGCACGTAATAAAAAAAATTACGCTTCAGTTCTATAAAAATGTGTAATATCACATACGCCTTGTAAGTCAGTTGGTCGAGTTACCATGGAAACGAATTAACAGGCGTTGTTTTGACAGGTTAAAAATTATTAATCTGTCAGTGTAAATATAGTGGTAATTTAATTTTTATTTTTATAAACAAAAATAATGGTAGAAAAAGTATAGTACACAACTTGAGTTGTAAGCTTATTACATGCTTGTAAAATTACTGCGCTCGCCGCTACGCGGCTCGCGCGCAACTTTTTTACTCGCATGTAATAAGCTTCTTACAACTCTCGTTATGTAATATACTATTTTCTACTCGCTTACTAGTAAATTTTATATTACCTACTATTTGGATGCTAAGTAAATGCATCATAACAGATACTGACACGTAATGACTAGCACGTAATAAAAAAAATTACGCTTCAGTTTTATAAAAATGTGTAATATCACATAAGCCTTGTAAGTCAGTTGGTCGAGTTACCATGGAAACGAATTAACAGACGTTATTTTGACAGATTAAAAATTATTAATCTGTCAGTGTAAATATAGTGGTAATTTAATTTTTATTTTTATAAACGAAAATAATGGTAGAAAAAGTATAGTACACAACTTGAGTTGTAAGCTTATTACATGCTTGTAAAATTACTGCGCTCGCCGCTACGCGGCTCGCGCGCAACTTTTTTACTCGCATGTAATAAGCTTCTTACAACTCTCGTTATGTAATATACTATTATTACGTGCTAGTCATTACGTGTCAGTATCTGTTATGATGTATTTACTTAGCATCCAAATAGTAGGTAATATACAATTAACTAGTAAGAGAGTAGAACATTAGTATATTACACAACGAGAGTTGTAAGAAGCTTATTACATGCGAGTAAAAAAGTTGCGCGCGAGCCGCGTAGCGGCGAGCGCATTAATTTTACAAGCATGTAATAAGCTCACAACTCAAGTTGTGTACTATACTTTTTCTACGATTATTTTCCTTTATAAAAATAAAAATTAAATTACCACTATATTTACACTGACAGATTAATCATTTTTAATCTTTCAAATAACGTCTGTTAATTCGTTTCCATGGTAACTCGACCAACTGACTTACGAGACAGTAGCGTAGTGACTAACGAAACTGAAGCGTAATTTTTTTTATTACGTGCTGGTCATTACGTGTCAGTATCCGTTATGATGCATTTACTTAGCATTCAAATAGTCGGTAATATACAATTTACTAGTAAGAGAGTAGAAAAAGACTTAAACAGTAAAGTAAAAATCTTCTAATTGTTTACTTCAATATTTTATTAGTTAATAGACAAATAGTATATAAATGATAACTCTAGGAATTATTCAATTTAGCCCAGACAAAACTGACACTATTAAATAATAGTTAAAGAGATAAAATTTGTAATAAAACCAGATCCACCATGATGAAAGATTTACATACCGACCATCTCATACATGGAATACAATTTAAGCAGCTAAATCAACGGATAAGAGATATAATAAAACTGGATCTAATTTCGGAACAATTTATTAATATTACAAATATCATGGACGTATAAACACAGATGGACTCAGTTATTTACATAAAATTGTGTAGTCAAAATTATTTGAATAGGTCACATTCTCAGCACCTTCAACTGTTTGTTTTAAACGTTTTGTTTTAAAATTTCTTATTCGCGAGTCGCTGAAAATATTACTCCGTATAAATAATAATTTATTGGTTAGATTAATATATTTAATTGTAATCAAAATATCAAGTGTGCACATAGTGTGCATTATCATTTAATAATAGCGTATAATAGATATCAATCAATTATTTTATACGTAGAAGCACTGAAAATTATTTATAAATAGCAACGGTTGTTTACATTTCTCTGTCTTATGGATCTACGTCAAACTTCAAATGCTGTTCCATGTTTGTTTACTTTTTACAGTAGATGAGGAAAAGTTGTTTTTCGATATTTTGGCTGTATTTTGACTGATATTTGTGGAAAGTGAAATAAAATAAACGAAATATTTACATCCCGATCTCTCATTTCATTTGTAAGTACATACAATTTACATTATTTAAGATGAGGAAATGGGAAGCGTGTTTGTTTACATTTTAATAGGCATTGGTTTTATTCATGTTCATTAATGTATTAAATAAGATATGAGTTCATGAAATTAGTAGACATTTTTAAATTGTAAGTAGACATCATCTGAATAAAAAAGATCTGTTTAGTACCTTTTTAATTTAATATTTCTCATGGATACAAATAAATTAGTAAAATGAATAAAACTAATTTATTTTTCTATGTAGGTTTCCAAATAATATTGACGATCGAACTATTTGGGTAGCAAATTTAGAAGAAAACTTTATTTTTATAGAAGATTTTTTATTGTAGCATTATTTTGATACCTATTAAAAAATTAACTTGAATTCAACTATATTTAATTGTATTAATTTTAAAGCAAATAAAATTGTATTTTAATTTTTCTATAAAGACGTGATTTGTTAATAGTTAAACTCTCGTTTTTTTAAATTCTTTGAACGTGTTTTTATACATTATTACTACTTCAAATTTTTAAAATCTGAATAATTACCCGCGAGTAAAAATTAAAGCACGCTTATGCTCATTGCGGAAGTATCACATTCTATCGAAGCTTCAAAACATTGTGTGTTAAAGGTATCTTATTGCTGTGTCCATCTATGTTTATACATCCATGACAAATATACTCAGTGACATTAGAAGTGTCAAGAATAATTTCTTGAACTTAATTTTTTGGCAACATAGTAGATTTACATCAAGAATGAAACGGTAACGTTGTCAAGAATTTTTATTATAGGTATAATAATCAAACAAAAAAATAATAATGTGTTTGGCGACCACGTAGCTGAATATACTGCTGTATACTTCTAGGTATTGACAAAATGAGATGGTGCAAGTCTGTTTCTCATCATATTCCATACATGTTCGATAGGATTTAAATCCGGAGCACGGGGCGGCCACGGCAAAACATTAACGCCAGTTACTTGGAGAAAGTCCATAGTTTGATGAGCAATATGGGGACGCGCGTTGTCTTGCTGAAAAAGGACATCTCCACGGCCGTCGAGATAAGGCAGTAAAGTGGTTTGTGAGATATCATCAACATAACGCGCAGGTGTCATATTGTATAGAATAAACATAAGTGATGATCGGCTACTATAGGCAATAGCCCACCAAACATATCTCTATACGCAATAATTCTACCCCTGTCAAAATCGCTAACATAGTGGTAATTTTGGTGTTTTCTAACTCGAAACATTTTCTTACACTGAATACAATTAGACGGAATAATAATTAAAAATTTCTATACGAACCGATTTTCACAAATCGGTTTCTTCACAAAAAAATTTAAAGATAAAACTTTATTTTTACAAAAAGCAGAAAAGATAAAACATTGGTATTGTTATCATAGAATGTTTTAAATATATTCATTCTGTTGCCCAAAAATTAAGTTTAAGGAATTAATACTTCTGGGTATAACACTTCCAATGTCACACATATATCTGATACGAGCTCAAAGCCAGCTAGATACTTAAATTTTTTATGACCTAATATCACAGTTCTAATTTTAAATGCTCTTTAGACCAAAAAATGTTTTATCGAAGTTATTAAAGGCTCTGAGAAACCTCTGTTCCAACCGGAATATTTTTTTCAGAACGTGATTGTTTACGAATACATACCAGCTTTTTTAGAAGAAACGTTACCTCCATATAAAGGCTATAATCCTGACATTCATCCAGGCATAACACATGTATTTCAAAGTGCAGCTTTCAGGTTTGGTCATTCTCTTATTCCCCCCGGACTATATCGGAGAGACTCCAAATGCAATTTCAAGAAAACTCCTATGGGGGATATCGCTTTAAGATTGTGTTCAACATGGTGGGACTCAAATGTAAGTATTTCCTTTGTTTACTAATTTTTTTAGACATTATTTTATTATTACAAATTACAGTTCCCTAAACACTTGTATTTTAAATCAATTTTTAATTGAATCGGTGAGATTTAAAACGATAATATTTTATTTTTCGCCAAATTTATTTAAGATACCTAGCTGTTTTGTTCACTTTACCAATCTCTACAGACTTAGTCAAGGACAGATAATATTTCATCTTATTAAATAGCTCATATTAAGCTAGTTTTCCTGAAGTGAAAGAACATTCCTGAAATGTTATCCCTTTTGACCTCAACGAAATTATTTTCATCATTGACATCTAAAAGGATAATATTCCAGAGTTAAGAATGTTTTTAGCACTAACAATGACAGGAAGATTTAACACAATTCACCATTATTTCTCAGTTCGCGATCACAATTTCTTACCCAGTTTTGCTTTGCAGCAAAACGTGCTATTCGTAAACATGACCGTATTTTTACATCAGAACAATACAATAACATCATTCAAGAAGCTAAAGTAAAAGCCGCAAAATTTTTAGTAGTACCATAGGAACAATGGTGGCCTTCAATATTCAAGAAAACTACAAAAAGACAAGACAAGACACAAAATTTTAACATCAGTAAATTCAAGCACTTCCAGTGAGAAATATGGATATGTCGACGCTCGTCCATTTATTGATTCTTTCGTGGTTGAAACTTTCAAGTTGTATAAAGGAGGAAGTGTGGAGCTTCCCACAGATCAAGTCTATCACTCAATGCTGCCAGTGAAAGCTAACAAACTCGTTGATGTCAGAAATATTATGTATTACATACCAGAGGAACATAACCATTTCTACCAACAGATCCTAAGTTGGGACCAATCGATTCCAATGGAGGGGAATGATGAAATAGCGTTGATTTTTTACTTACTTCTAAAGGGATAAAATTCCAATAAGTAAAATAGTAATTACTCAATTAATGTGTACATATAAAACATAATTGTTACATAAATATCTTCTGCTTACTCATACTACCAAAAAGTAAATAAGAGTTTTATGCTGTTAAAAATAGTTAGAGATAAAACGTTTATTTTAATTTTCCAAAAATAAAGTTTTTTAAATTTTATTCTTTTTCATTTCAATTTGAACTTAAAAAAATTCAATAAAAGTATACTAAATTCGTGAGAAAAGTCGATTTTTATTTAGAGTTTGACTCCAAGTGACTCCAATTTTTTATTCAAACGAAATATCTTGTAGTCGCTCGTTAAAAAAACTATTTTAAGAAACTCATCGCAGTATCTGCTTTCATTAATAAGAAAAGAGAATATGGAAAAAATAAAAACCAAGACATTCTTTAAAATAAGTTATAATATAAAAAAAAACTTTCTTCTTTTCTTTACTTTGTAGTCAAAAAATGTGTTCTCGTTACGTTGTTGCGTGATTCCGAGTATTACTTGATTACCTATTCTAGCGTTAAAATTCCTCAATATTATCATCTTCCCTATGACTTGATCTACTACTTGTTGTAATTCGTCATAAAACGTTTCGTTTGTTGTTTGAGGCTTGTTATTTCTGGGCCGTATACGCCCATCATGTTTAGGTCTTCGTTCTTAATTCTTATCTTTGATGTTACAATCCTTAATGATATGTATTAACACTCTTTGATGTGATTTTAGTACCTGTGATTTATTAGTAAGGCTACACCTTTTTTGTACGTGTTTTTTTGCTACTCCACCGTAAATTAATATGTATTCACCTAATTTTGATTGTCCTTTTTCTTTCTTTTTATTTCCTGTAAAGCGCAAATGTCCATTTGTTTCTCTTTCAGCGCTTGTGTTCTTTCTTGGACTCTTGTAATCAGTGATCTGATGTTCCACGTAATAATTCTCACCCCCCGAGTTTTGGATATTTTTCGCTTAGCCTTATTTCTTGTTGTGGTCGTCTTCATAGTATCAATTAGGTTGCGAGTCTGTACAATCCAGTTTCTTGCCAATTACCATCCACATTTTGTCCACATCTGGCCCGTCTAATTTCTTAAAGGGCTGTTATGTATTTGGTACTTTTGTAGCTGTTTAATAGTTTTCTTTGCTGCACCTAACCTGAACCAGCTGAGCCTATTCCATGTTCCGATAATCATATTCCTTGTTCGTTGCTTTTTTCGTTTCCTGTTATCGGTACTGTTTCGATGTTTATCGTCCTGCATCATAACGGGTTCATTTTTTCTGGTTTCGGGATGTAAACCTAACGCCCAATCTTCTATTCAGCAGAGAACCACAACTCCGTTCTTCGCCGGCCCTGACCTCACTATCCACTGGCGTTTATAACCCATTCTCCAGTAAGCTCGTTCAGATTCCCGGCGTACACCAACTTGGAGGTAGAAGTAATGGATTTTGACAAGAGCTATTAGTCATGCGGATTCAGTACACAAGTTTACCTGCTATTTTCAAGATCACAGCTCTTGTTAAAATCTTAAAGCTCTGTTAAATAAGTTAAAATAGCTTATAAAGATAGAAATTGAATATGAGTGACTAAGTTATACTTTGGATACTTCTTCTTCTTCTTCTGGTAGCACTACAACCCGGGGTGGGTCTTGGCTGACTGCACAACCTGCTTTCATCTCGAACGGTCGTCCATAATGTTTAAGTCAGTGGGTAGCCCCATTGTTCTCAAATCTGACCATATATTATCTCTCCATCGCATTCGTGGACGTCCTGAGGGCCTTCTCCCTGTCGGGACTTCTTCCCAGATCAACTTGGTAAGGCGGTTATTAGGGAGCCTATGAACATGGCCAGCCCATCTTAGACGTTGGGATTTAATCTCTTGGACTACGTCGCTAGCACTATACATTTGTTTGACCTCGGCAATTTGTTCTCATTCGGTATTGGTTAGTATTCGGATCGTGATAGGGACCGAAGATCTTTCTGAGGATTTTTCTCTCAAAGCATCTGATTTACTTTCCATTGCTTTTGTCAACGTCCACGTCTCACACCCATACATGAGCACCGGTCTAATTACTGTTTTATATATCCAGATTTTATATTGCTATAAATAAGTATTATATATTGCTCTTCGCTACTCTTTCTTACACCAATTTGCACAGATTTACTTCGTGGTATAAAATTTTCATTTAAAGAAAGTAATACTTGTTTTCAGGACGTGTTGACGAATAACCTCAGTTGAAGAACTTTTAATGGGTATGACTTCTCAGCTTGCAGAGCGAGAAGATTCTCTTCTTTGCTCAGATGTACGAGATAAATTATTTGGTCCCATGGAATTTTCTAGAAGAGACCTCGGAGCTATTAACATCATGCGAGGTAGAGACAACGGATTACCAGATTATAATACAGTAAGGGCAGCTTATGGGCTGCCTAAATTTAAAAACTGGACCGATATCAACCCCGAATTATTTGACGAGAGACCTGAAATACTGCGAATGCTTATATCTGCTTATGATAACGACATTAATAATATCGATGTATATGTTGGTGGTATGCTAGAAAGTTACGGAAAACCCGGAAAATTGTTCACGAAAGTAATTTTGGAACAGTTCATTCGGTTAAGAGATTCCGATAGATTCTGGTTTGAGAACGAGGAAAATGGGTAAGTAAGGTTTTGATTATGAACTACATTTATAACATATTATGTTCTTAAAATTTTTAAATATACAAATTTCATTTATAAATGAAAGAATAATCATTAAAGCATTTTTTATTATGTATTCTTTATCCATGTATTCTTTATACATCCATGTTTTTTCCATCAAACTTAGTTCCTTTTCTAATCTAGATTGAAAAAGATATTTAATATCTGGTTGGAATAAAAGGTGCAATTTTATCTCTCCGTTTTTTACTGTGTAGTATTGTTTCTCTCACTTTCGGTGTTTGTAGTATTGTTTAAAGGGGCACAAAAGATTAGCTAAAAGAAAGTAGTGCTTTGTCCCACAGTTAGATCCTCTTTTTACTCTGCGGTCTTGGCACCTAATTTTGACTTCTGTCTCATTACTATACAATATATGATCGACTTCTGTTGGAGTGAAGGTCGTTCTCAAGTGTATTTATGAATATCTGTATGTTGGAATTGGGTATTCATTATTTTTAAACCAAAAAGTTGACAGAAGTCAGTTAAGCTGTCCCCTGAACCATTTTTAACTATTTCTCTGTGAATTCCCACCACGTCATCGTCTATTTGATAACCTTCTCTGCCATTTAGTTCTCCTAACAGTATTATTTTTTGGTGTCTTTTTATTTTATCACAAATGCTATTCATAAAAGGAATCTTAACTCTTCATAAAAAAAGATAGAGATTTAAGATAAAATATTCCAGGGTAAAGGTAAGCAAAACGATTATTAAAACTTTCTGTTCTCTACGCAAAAAAGTCTTGAAGTTTTAGAAGATTGAAAGCAGTGTTTTTACATGTGTTGTTATTGGACACAGCTCACTCCTTTTGGAACCTGATAAGACTCTCCGAAATTAATAATAGGCTTTCTTACATGCCTAGATTTGTTGAGCTAAACATAGATGTAGAGTATATATAAATATATAAAAGATCTTTCAGTGATTCATTATATATATATTGACCAGGTAAAACCACAAATATGTGGTTTATTAACTTATAAAAACGATTTTTGCTTTGATTGGGTACAGGTACATCAGATACATTGAGTAGCACATACTGTGAGAAATAAAAATATTTTTTATTGATTTTTCTATATTCTAAGTTTAAAAAAACTATTCGAAATACATAAAAATATGAAGTACAGTTACGTAAATATTATCTAGCTCATCTTTTAGTTACAGTTATAAAAATCAATAAAAGTTTTAACCGTAAAATTCATAAATCAAAACTAATTAACTAATGGTAACATTATGTTAATTCGATTTCTTCGTGTTAAACTGTTTCTCTGTGGGAATTTAATATGCAATAAAACAAACAAAAAGTTCATAATGTGATAGCATGTCATATTTAGTTTATCGAGTTGGCATTGGTGAAGATATTAATTTGGTTTAGAATGTATTTGCAAAAAAATTTACTGAAATACAAAGTATCTTTGAAATAATAGCAGAAAAATAGTACCGTAGAGTTGGGTGACTTTACTACAATTTGGACATTAATTCAGTAATACCAGCCATACTGATAAATTTATAACAAAACAAAAAATATGGTGTTATGCCACTTTGGGCAAAGAATAGAACCTATATAAAAATTTTTTGTAAAACCAAAAAAAAAAAGTACAAAAAAGTAAAAAACCGTGTTTTTCAAGTCACCTTGCCTGTCGGGCGACTTGAAAATGTAAGAAAAAATCAGTGTTACTGGCAAATAAAGCTATTTTATAGGTGACTTGACATCAAATTTAAATTGTTGTTATTTGTTTGTGTTTAAATGACTACGGACACAAAATCCATTCGCCAAAATTTAACTTGTTTATAAAACATTATTAACTTCAACCGAATCTGTCAAAAATTTGCGAACGTTTTTGGCGAAGAACCTGTTTTGTGGAGCTGGAAAGACGAACGGCTTCATTTCTGTTCACCATCGATTCGTCTATTACGTCAGGATATGAAAAAAATTGTTTCTTTGTGCCCACATTTTTTCGAAAGAATTTGACTTGAAGGTGCTCTTCATCTATGACTTGGCAGATTTCTCCCACATATTTTACAAGCCGTTTCTCTGTATTAAAGTTCACGATAATAAACTCTCCACATTAAAATGAATGTGGTTCCACAAGTTCTTTATTTTGCTTGTCTTCTTTATCTTGCTCTTTATCTAGTACCAACTATTACCCGGTCTGTTGTCTGTGAAAAATCCCCACGTCCTTGACTGTTTAGATAATTTCGAACGAAATCCCCACTCCGCAGCAAATAAAACAGCATCTTTTAAAAACACTTTCTTCTCCTTTGTCAATGAAGACAAAGAAATTATTAACACCGTAAAGAACAGAAAATTGGTTCACTTTAGCCACATTGTGTGTAATAAAAACACCGACTTTTACAGTTAATTTTACAAGGCAAGATTGTGAACCGGAAAGGCCCTGAACGCAGAAGTATATCCTAGCTTAGGCAATGAACTGATGTAACGTCAACTGATCGAGCTGGTGTGAATAGAATAAGATGGATCAATGTGGTAAATTCTTGTTATTCTAAGAATCAATGTCTTACATACAAGTCGGTTATTTTTTTTTGAGTATAACATGACGATATTTAAGAACAAAATAATGTCTAGAAATACAACATATTTCGTTAGTAGCTCTTCAAATTTTGTCGGTGCCAATATTTAGATAATCATCAAAAACTTCGTTTTATAGTGTCAACTTTGATATTGTTTTAGGCTATTTACTAAAAAGGAAATAGAAGAACTTAGGAAGATAACTTTATACGATATAATTATTAACAGTACTAGTATTCACGAAAACGCCATACAAAAGAACGTTTTCTTTTGGATGGAAGGTGATCCCTGTCCTCAACCGATGCAGCTCAACACGTCCCAGATGGAGCCTTGTAAAGTGATCACAGGTTATGACTATTTTGAAGTAAGTATTATCAAATTATGTAGAATGTAGATATTTGCCATATTTTATGTTTTTTTTTTGTATAATAATATAGCAAAGGAAAGGTGATTTACACAACAAACATATATATTACTATATTGGTCAGTTAATACCTAGAAAAGTAACTTCAGGGAACTCTGCATTTCTATAAATTTTGAATGCACATATAGGAAAATGGTAGTAAGTTAAATAACAATGAAAATTAGCTTAAAAAAATGATTAGAAGTACCTCAAACTAATTGATTAACCACAGTACAATCAAATCCGTATAAAGAAGTAAAACAGAGTTAAATAAATTAGAAATAAAATAACGAGAGATTGTGATAAAAAGAAAGAAACATATAGATATTTTTAAAACTAAAAAATCAACTTCTTACAACATATACGAGACGTTTACTAAAAGTTTTGTACAGATCCATCTACAGATATTTACTAGGACGTTTTTATGGTTAAATTCGATGTATTCATCATCACACAGCCAAATTTGTCCACTGTCGAACATAGGCCTCCTCAAGTTGTCTCCACTCTTCTCTGTCCTGTGCAGCTGCGATCCAGTTTGTCACTATTCTTTTAATGTCGTCCGTCCATCTGGTAGGTGGTCTTCCACGATTTTTTCGCCTTGTCCTTGGGGTGGTGGGGGTCTGCTGGGTAGGGTCGGGGTGGGGCAGGGGTGAAGTGGTCCTGAGAACTGTTGGGGGGGCTGCATGGCTGTCTGTGGGTGGGAGTCTACTGGGTTGGGTCTGGGTACCTGTGGGGAGGTCCTGTGGGGGGTGTCAGTGGTGGTCTAGTTGGGTTTCCCTGGGGGGGTGGGGGGGGTCAGTGTCTGTCTTGCTGGTGCTGGCCTGGTGGGGGTCTGTCTCTGCTGGTGGTCTTGGTGTTGTTGTGTGGTGGGTGGGGGGCTGGTGGTCTTGGTTGGTGGAGTCTGTCTGGTGCTGTGGATCTGGTGGCCTGGGTCTGTGGGGTGGGTTGTGGGGAACTGTGTGGTTGGCCTGGTGGGGCCTGTGCTGGCGTGGGTGGTTCTTGGGCTGGTGGGGCATAGGGATATGTGGTGTTGGTGGTCTGGTGTCTGTGGGGATCCTGGATCAGGTCCTTGGTCTTCAGGTTCTGTCTTGGGGGGGGCTGGATGTGGGTTTGTAGTCTTGTGGGTGGGAGGGTTCTATGTTGTGGTTGTTGGGTTCTGGTGAGGGGTGGTCCTCCCTGGGGGGGCTGGTGGGGTCTGTCTGCTTTGTTGGGGGGGGTTTGGGTGGGTGTGGTGTGGGTTGTGTGGGGTGGGGGCTGTGGGGGGGGTGTCTGGGGTGGGTCTAGGGTGGGGGTCTGGGGGTGTCGGGGGGTGGGGGTAGTCAGAGGGGGCTCTTCTTTGTTGGGTGGGGCTGTGGTGTATGTGGGGTTGGGTGGAGTCATGTTGGTCTGTGTGACCTGGGTCTGGGGGGGTGGGGGTTGGTCTGGAGAGGGCATGTGGGCTGGGGCTGGGGGGTGTAAGGGGGGTGTTATGTGAGGTTGGTGGTGGGGGGGGTAGCTGGGGGGGTGTCTGTGTCTTGGGTGGCGGGAGGGAGGTGTGGTCCTTGGGGTCTTGGGTCTGGGGGTGTGGGCTGTGGGGGGGGTTGGAGTCCTTGTTCGCTGGGGGTGTGGGGTTCTTGGGGTTCTGGTGGGGTGTCTGAGGGTAGGGATATTGGGGGGAGCCTGAGTGGTGGTGTCTTGGGGGTGGGAGGTCTTGGTGTCTGTGGTGGTCTGGTGGCTGGGGTGAGGTTGTGGGTCCTGTCCTTTGTTGCTGGGGGTGGGGGAGGTGGTGTGGGCTGGTCTGTCTTCTGGGTGGGGTGGGGCTGGGGGGCTGGTGGGGGTGGGGGGGCAGGGGCTGGGGGGGGGGGGGTGCCTGGGTGGTGGGTTGGTGCTGGAGTGTGGCTGGGTCCTGGGGGGGTCTTGGGTGGGTCTGGGGGGGGATGGTGGGTTGGGCTTCTTGGTGGGAGGGGGGGGGGGGTGGGTTGGTGGCGCGTCTGTGCCTTGGGGTGCCTTGTCTGTGGCCTGGTTGGGGTGTGGTCTCTTTCTTGGGTGTTTGGGGAAGTGTCCTGGAGGGGGGTGGTGGGTGTGGGTCTGTCGAAGCTGGGATGGGGTTTTTCGTGGTCTCATTGGGGGGGGTTGGTCTGGGGTATCTGGTGTGGGGGGGGTCTGGGTAAGTGGGGGTCAGGTGGGTATCTGTGGTCTGTTGTGGGTGTCGGTGGCGAGTGGGGGGTTTCCTGGGCTGGTCTGGGCTGGAGTCTGTTTTTCCTGGGGCTCTGGGCTTGCTGGGGGGGGGTGGGTGGCTGGGGGGGGTTTGTCTGTTGGGTCTGGGTTGTGTGGGGGGGCTGGGGGTGGGGGGGTCCCTTGGGGGCTGGTTGAGGGTGTTTCTGTGGGGTGGGTTGTGGGGCACTGGGTGGGGTGGTTGTGGTGGGTGGTGTGGGTGTCTGTCTGCGCTCTGGTCTGGGGCAGCTGCGTAGTGGTGTTGGGGTCAGTTTGGAGGGGGGTCTGGTGGGGAGGGGAGGTGGTGGGTGGTGGGTCTTGTTCTTGGGTGGGAGCGTGGTGGAGTGGTGTTTAGGATGAGAGGCTGGGGTGGGGTCCTGGGGTGGGGGCTGTTGTGGTGATGGGGGTCTTGTTTCTGTTGGGGGGCCTGGGGGGGTCTTAGTGCTGGTTGGTGGTGGCTGTGATATGTTGGTTCTGCTGGGGGGTTGCGGGAGGAGTCTGTGGGTGTGTGATGTGGTGGGGGAGTGGTGGTGTCTGTGCTGTTCTGTGCTCTGGGTGTGGGGGGTGTGTGTGGTGCTGCCTGGGGGGGGGAGTGCTGCCTTGGTGGTGAGTGTGGTGGGGCTGGATGTAGGTGGTGGTCTTGGGGGCTGGGGCATTAGTGGTGCCTGTGGGGGGTGTTGGGAAGTGTGTGTGGGCATGGGTGGATTAGGGTCTGTGGTGGTTAGCTTTGGTGGGGTGGTGCTTGGGGTGGTTCCTGGTTGGCTGGAGGTCTGTTGGGAGAGGGGGGGGTGGTCTGCCTGGGGTTGGGGGTCTTGGGGGAGGAGTGGTGGGGTTAGGGGGCTGTGGGGCCCTGGGCTTTCTGGGGTCTGGGGGGGGTGGGGGGGTGGGGGGTCTGGTGGTCTGGGGGAGTGGTCTGCGTGTTCTGGTGTGCCTGGTGGCTGGGGTGAGGTGTGAGCTGTTGGTGGGTGTCTTCCCCTGGTGTCTTTTTTGTTGGTTGGTGGGGTCTGTGGGAGTCTGGAGGGGTTCTGGGTGATTGTGGGGTTTGTTGTGGGCACTGATGTGGGAAGTGTGTGCTGGAGTAGTGCTGTGGTGGTCTTGTGGTGGTTAGGGGGGGCTGGGGTGGCGGTGGAGTGGGGATGGTTCTAGGGGGAGTGGTGGAGTTGGGTGTAGGGCCTGGGGGCTTGAGCTGGGTGTGGTTGGGGGTTGGGCTATAGTGGGCTGTGTCTGGTGTGGGTGAGGTCTTTCGTCTGGTATGCCCTGGTCTGTGTGTCCTGTGTTTGCTGGTCTGGCCTGCTGTGGGGGGGGTTGCTGGGGTCTTGGTTGGTGGGGTATCTGAGGGTTGTGCTGGTTGGTTGGGGTTACTGGTTGGGGTTGTCTTGGGTGGTGAGGTAGGGTGCCTGTTGTTGGGTGTGGGTGGTAGGTTGTGGGTTGGGCTGGGGGGGTCTGGCCTGGGCGGTGGGCTGGGGGTGGTGGTCTGGTGGGCTGTCTTCCTGCTCACTGCCAGGGGCTGGGCCTGGTGGGTCTGGGAGTGGGGGTCTCTTGGGGGTCTTGTGTGGTGTCTGGTGTTGTCATGGGTTGTGTGGCCTAGGGTGTCTGTTGTGGGTGTGGGGGGGTCTTGGTGGGGGGGGAAGGGGGGGTTGGTGGTGCGTGGTGTGGGGTGGCTGGGGTTCGGAGGTGTTGGTGGAGTGGGTGTCTGTGGGTGTGTGGGTGGCTGGCTTTCTGAGGGGCTGCTGTCTTGGTGGAATAGGGGGTAGTGTGGGTTTGGGTTGTTTGGTGGGAGTTGGGGGGGGTTGTCCGTTGCTGTGGAGGAGTGTTGTGTGGGGTCTTGGGAGTGGCCTGGGGGGGGTGGGCTTGCTTTGGGGTCTGATCTGGTGTGGGTTGTTGTTGGTGTGGCTGTGGGGGGGTTAGGTCTGGAGGTGGGACTTGGGGTGTGGCAGGGAGTCTGGGACTGTGTTGTGTGCCTGTGTCTGGGCTGGGTGGCGGCTTGTGTGTGCCTGTTGGTCTAGGTGGTGGGGGCTCTTGGTCCCTTGGAGGGAGGGGCATGTCTGTCTTAGTCTAGGTGGTCTGGGTGGGTGGGTGGTGGTGGTGGGTGGGGGGGTAGTGCTTGCGCCTGCTGGTTGGAGTGGTTCCTTCTCTGGGTGGGGGGGGTGGGCCCTGTGGTGGTCTGAGGTGTGGGTGAGTTGGGTGGGTGGGGGTCTTGTGGTTCTGCTTGCTTGTCTAGGCTGTCTTCTGTTGGGTGGGGGTCTGGGTGTATGGGGGGGGGGGGTGTCTTCCTTCCCTGAGGGGTGGGGGTCTCCTGGGCCTGGTGGGTATGGCTTGGTTGTCTGGGGGGTCTGTGGTTGGGTATCTGTGTGGTTGTGTGATTGAAGTTGAGGTGTGTTTGTGGGGGGTCTGGTGGGGGTGCTGGATTGGGGTGTGGTGGTGGGGGTGTTCCTGGTGGTGGGTTGGGTCTGGGGTTCTTCTGTAGTGTCTTTTCTAGCTGGGGTATTGTGCCTGGTGGTTCTGTGGTCAGTCTTGGGTTGATGTGGTGCGTGGGTTGGGTGAGGTGGTGTTGCTTTGTGAGGGGGTGGTTGTCTGTTGTCTGGGGGGTGTGAGGTGTGTGGGGGGGGATTTGGACTGGGGAGGCTTACCAGGAGGTGCTGTGGGGGTGTTTTTGGGTGGGGGGGGGGGTCTGTGTGGGCTGCGGTCTTGGCTGTCTTCTGGGGGTCTGGGGACTGTGTCTGTGGGTGGCCTCGGGAGTTAGTTTTTGGTGGGCTGGCTAGCCTTGGTCTGTGTTTGTCTGTGTCTTGTGAGCTGTTCTTCTGTGTGGGGGGTGGGGTGTGAAGCGTTATGCTGGGTGCTTGGTCTGGGTGGGTTGGGGGGGTGGTCTCTGTCTGTTTGTGTGGTGGGTGTGGGGGTGGGGGTGGGGGGGTTTCTGTGTGGGGGGTGCTGCTGTGAGAAGTGAAGGTCTGCTGGTCTGGTTATGTCCTGTGGGGAGGTTTGTGGCTATGGTGGGGGTGTTGTGGATGGAGCGGTGGCGAGGGAGAGAGGATTGGTAAGTGAGGCCTGTTGTGAGGGGTTGGTGGGTGGGGGGAGCTGGGGAGGCTGGGTTGAGGTGGGTGGTTTAGTGGTTGTTGGTGGTCTGTGGGGTCGTGTTGGGTCTGCCTGGGTGCGCTGTGGTGGGCCTGTGTGGTGTGTTGGGTGGGTGGTGGGCCCTGTGGTGTGTAGTGGGGTGTCTGGTCAGGGGCTGGTTGGGTGGGGGGTGCTGGTGGTGGTCCTGTCTGTCTGGGGGGTCTGGGTGGTGGGTCTGTAGTGGAGTGGTCTGGTGTGGTAGTCAGGGCTACTAATATCGCTGGTTGGTGGTGGTATCTTGTCCTGGTGGCGGGTCTTGGAGAGTGGGGGGGGGGGGGTGTGTGGTTGGGGTCTTCCTGTGCTGTGTTGTGGTTGTGGGTCTGTTAGGTGTGTGTTGGGGGTTGGGGGGGGCTGTGGCTGGTGGGGTGTGGTGCTGGGTGTCTGGGGGGCTTGTCCCTGGGTGGCGTGTGGTTGTGTGTAGGGTCATGTTGGTCTGGGGGTTCCCTGCTTCTGGGGGTGTGCCTGGGGAGGGGTGGACTTTCTGGGGGGGTGTCTGGGGCGTGTGCGCTGGCTTGTGTCTGGGGTGGGGGTGGGGGGGGGGTCCTGGGCTGTGAGTGGTGATTGGGTTGTCCTGCTGTGGGGGGAGGGGTACCTGTGGTGGGTGGGTCCCTGCCTGGGGGTGGTATGGGTGGCTGCTCGGTGTGTGAGGCTGTGGGAGTGGTTGCCTGGGGAGTCTAGGAGGATGAGTGGGTAGCTAGGGGGGGGGGGATCCTTGGTGAGATGGCTTGGGTCCTGTGCTTTAGGGGTGAGCTGCTTTGGGGGATTCTTGTCCTTAGTTCTGTCTGTATGGGGTGTGGGTGGGCGGGTGTGTGCCTTGTTGTCTTTGTGGTTTTGTTGGGTGGTAGTGGGAGGGATGGGGGCTGGGTCTCTTGGTTTGGGGGTGTATACCTGGGTGTGTTGGGGTGGTGTGTCTGGGTGTGTGGGTGGTTGCTGGTGGGGGGGGGGTCTGGGGGGGGTACTGGGGGGTGCATGCTCTTTGTTGCTGGTGCTTGCGTGGCCTGCTGTGGGGGTTCTGGGTGTCATGTCTCTGGTGTCTGTGTTTGGGTTGGGGTGGTGGTCGTGGGTGGGTCTGGGGGGGTTGGGGTCTGGGGGCGCGGGGGTGGGTGGGATGGTGCTGTAGGGGGGTGTCCTGGTAGGGTGGGGGTCTATGGGTGAAGTCTTGCTGGGGGGGTGGGGGGTTGTCTGGGAGTGGGTTTTCCCCCCCCCCCCCCCCCCTGGGTCGGTGCTGGGGTGTTCTTGGTCTGCTGGAGGGGGGTCTTGGGTAGGGGTCCATGTCTGATGTGTGGGCTGGGGGTGTTGTTGTGTGTGGGTTGGTGTTGGTGGAGGGGGTAGTAGTACTGGGGGCATGTCTGTGGGGTGGTGTCTAAGGGGTGTAGGTCTGGGGGGGTCTGGGGGCTTGTGGGTGGGTGGGGGTGATGGTGGGGGGGGGTGGTGGTGTGGGGGTTGGGGGTCTGGGTGTGGTGGGGCTTGTCTGGTGGGGGGCTGCATGATGGGTGACAGTGGTGTAGGGGGTGGTGGGGTAGGATTTGTGGCGGTTGGCTGGGGGAGTAGGGTGAGCTGTTTGGGGTGCGGGGGAGCCCTTTGGTGGATGTTGGGGTGTTTTCGTGAGGGAGGGGCTTGGTAGTGGAGCTGTGTGTCTGTAGGGGGGAGGGGGGTCAAGTTTGGGGGGTGGCTTGGTGGCAGGCTGACTTGTGGTCTGGGGTGTCTGGGAGTCCATGAGGAGGGGGGCTTGGGGTACTGTCTGGGGGTGGGACGTGGGGGCTTTTCTTAGGTGCTGGGGGGGTCGATGGGGGGGTGGGAGTGGTGGGGAAGGGTGATGGGGGTGGGGGGTGGTGGGTGGTGCGGGTGGGAGGCTGTGGCTGCATGGGGGTGGAGGTGTGGCTATGGTAGGCTTGGGGATTTGAAGGGGGGGGAGGTCTCGTGTGACTAGGATGGCTTGGGAATTTGTGGGGGTGGTCTGGGGTACCTTGTGCTGGGTGGCGGTGGGTGTGAGGTCTGGGTTCTGTGGTGCTGGTGGTCCTGGGGGGCCTGATGGTACGTCTGGTAGTGACTGGGTTGGGGAGGTAGTCTGGTGAGGGTCTTGAGGTGATTGCTGTGTTGGGGTGTGAGGGGGGTGGCTGGGTTTGTGTGGGGGGGGGGAGAAGGGAGAGTCTTTGGTCTTGTGTGCGATGGTGGAGTGTGGTGCCTGTCTGGCGGGTTGGTGGGTTGTAGTGTTTAGGGGCTGGGGGTGTTAGGGGGGGGGGTCTGGTGTCCTGTGGGTGGGTGTGGTAGTGGGAAGCTGGGCAAGCTTTTGGGAGTGTGTGGTTCCTGCAGGGTGGTGTCTGTTCCTGTCCCTAGGGTAGGACGGTGTCGTGGAGGTGGTGGGGGTGGGGGGGTGGAACCTGGTAGGGGGTGGAGGCTGAGGGGACTTTGGCTGTGTCCTGGGTTGGGTTACTGAGGTGTGAGTGGGATGTGTGGGGTTAAGTCTCGGGGAGTGTGGCCTGTGGTTGTCCTGTGTGTTGTTTAGGAGGTGGGGTTGGTTGGGGGTTGGGTCTGGGGGTGTGGTGGGTGGGTGTGGGGGGGTTGGTGTTGTGGGGGGGGGGGTGGGGGGGGTGGGGGGGGTTGGTTGGTGGGGGTGGGTGGTGGTGGTGTTGGGGGGGTGGTTGGGGTTGGGGGTGGGGGGGGGGTGGGGGGTGGTGGGGGGGGTGGGGTGGGGTGTTGGGTTGGTGGGGTGTGGTGTTGGGGGGTGGGGGGGGGTTTGGGGGGGGGGGGGGGGGTGGGGGTGTGGGTGTGGGGGGGTGTGGGGTGGGGGGGGTGGTGGTGGTTGGTGGTGGGGGTGGTGGGGTGGGTGTGGGGGGGTGGGTGGGTGGGGGGGTGGGTGGGTGGTGTTGTTGGTGGGTTTGGGGGGTGTGGTGTGGTGGGGGGGGGTGGTGGTTGGTGTGGGGGTGGGGGGGGGTGGTGGTGGGTGTGGGTGGGGTTGGGGGGGTGGTGGGTGGGTGGGTGGGGGGGGGTGTAGGGTGGGGTGGTGGGTGGGTGGGGTTGGGGGGGTGGGGGGGGGGTGGGTTGGGGGTGGGGTGTGGGGTGGGGGGGTTGTGGGTGGTGGGTGGGGGTGGGGGAGGGGGGGGGTGGGGTTGGGGGGGTGTGGGGATTGTGTGTGGTGGGGGGTGGTCAGCAGTGTCTGGAGGGGGTTGGGGGGTGGGGGGTGAGCTGCTGTTGTTCGGCTGGGTGGTGGGGTGGGAGGGGGTATGGGGGTGCGGTCTGGGCGTGGGTGGCTTTTTGGCTGGGTGCCCTGTTTGGGTCTGGGGGTGGGTGGTTGGTTGTTTTGTGTGGGGACGGGGGCTTGCTGGTTGGGGTTTCAGGTGGTTGGTGAGTCGGGGGTGGGGGGTTGGGTTTGCTGGGTGGTGGGGGGGTCTGCCTGTGTGTAGGTAGGGGGGGCTGGGGGTTGGGGGGTGTGGGGTGGTTGGGGTGGTTGGTATGGGGGAGTGGGGAGGTGTTGGGGGGGGGTGGGGTGTGGTTGGTGGGGGAGGTGGGGGGGGGAGGGGGGCTGGTGGTGGGTGGGGGGGGGGGGTGGTGTCTTGGGGGGGCGGGGGGCTGTGTGGGGGTGGGGTGTGCGTGTGTGTGGGGATGTTGGGTGGGTTGTGTGGGGCCGGGGTGGTGCTGTGGTTTGGGGGGGGGGGTGTGGGGTGTTGGGGGTGGTGGCTGCTGTGTGGGTGTCAGTCTGGGGTGGTTGGAGATGGTGGGGTCTTGGGGACACACGGGGGTGGTCATGGGTGGGTCTGGGGAGGTGGTGGGGGGGGGCCCAGGGTATGGGTTGTGGCGCAGGGGTGGGGGCTGTGGGGTTGGGGTGGGGATGGGCCCTGTGCTGGTCGGTGGGGTGGGGTGTTTGGGGTGTCTGGGGGTGGGGGGGGTGGGTGTGAGGGTGTGACTTTGGGGTGGGGGTTCTGGTAGGGTTGGTTTGGTGTGTGGGGGGGGGGTTGGTGGAGTGGCGGGGGGTGTAGTGGTCGTGTGTGAGTGTGTGGTGGCCTGGGGGGGGGGGGGGGGGGGTGGGGTGGGGGGGTCTGGGGGGCAGGCTTGGGGGTGGGGTGGGGGGGGGGGGGGGGGGGGGGTTGGGGGGGGTGGGGGGAGGGGGTTCTGGGGGGGGGGGTGGGTGGGGGGGGGGGGGGGGGGGGGGGGGTGGGTGGGGGCCAGGGGGAGGGGGTGGGGTATGGGGTGGGGGGGGGGGGTGGGGGGTTGCCTTGTGGTGGGTGGGGGTGGGGTCTAGGGGTGTAGTAGGGGGGGTTTGTTGGGGGCTGGGTGGGGTGTGGGGGGGTGGGTGCTGGGTTGAAGATGGCGGGAGGCTGGTCTTGGGTCTGGGGGGGGGGATGGGGGTTGGGGTTTGGGTTGGGTTGATGAGCTTCTGTGGGGTGGGGGTGGGGTTGGACATGGGGCACGGGGGCGTCGTGGGTTGTCGGTATCTGATTTTGTGGGGGGGGTTTTGTTGTTTTGGGCCTGTTTGTGTAGTCTGTGGTAGGGGGGTTGTGTGTTTTGGGTCTGGGGGGGGGGGTTGCTGTTGTGTCTTGTGTGGGTGCTGGCTGGTGTTGGGGGGGTGTTGGGGGTTTGTGGGTGGTTGCTTGGGGGTGGGGAGAGGCTGGGGGGGGGGATTGGTTGTGTTGTGTTTTTGTTGGTTTTTTGTGTGGGTGTGTGGTGGGGGTCTGGTTGATTGAGGGGGTCTGGGTTGGGGGTGTGGGGTTGGGGTGGTGTAAGGTGGTGTGTAGCTGTGTGGGGGGGAGGTGGGTGGGGTGGCGTGGGGGGGTGTGGGGAGGGGTTGAGTCTTTGGTGGTGGTTGTGGTGCGTGGTAGGTGAGTCTGAAGTGTCACGTGGTTGTCTTGGGTAGTCCATGGTGTGGCCTGGGGTGTGCGGGGGTTGTGGGGGTGGTTGGGCTGTCTGGTGGGGGTTGGTGTGGCTAGTCAAGGGTGGTCCGTGTGGTGTCTTGGCTGTTTGGGGTCCCGGTCTGCGGGGTGATGGTGGTGTGAGTTGGTCCTGGGAGGGTGGGCTGGGGGCAGGTGGTGGTCTATGGCTAGGGGATTGGGGTGGTGGGGGGTGGTGGTGGGTGTGGTCGTCTGGGTTGGTGGTGGTTGGGTGTGGGGTTGGGAGTCTGGGGTCTGGGGGTGTGTGGGGGCTGTGATGTGGGGGGTGGTGGGTGGCCAGGGGTTGGGGGGTGCTGGTGGGGGGGTGGTTGGGGTGCACATGGGTGTGCCTGGATCTTTGTGGGGTGGTGGTTACTCCCCTTACCCCTTGTGGTGGGGGGGTGGGGTTCCTGGGGCTGTAGGCGCTGGGTAGGGGCTGAGGGGTCAGGGGTGTCCTGCTACTGTGGTGTGGGTGGTGGGGTGGGTGGGGGACTGGGGGGGGGTGGGGTTTGTGGGGGGTGTGTCTGGTGGCTCGCGGGTTTAGGTCAGCTTGTTTTTGGGGGGGGGGGGGTCTTAGAGGGATGTGGGTCTGGAGGGTGCTGCCCTGTTGAGTGCTTAGGGGTTAGGTAGTTGGTGTCTGCTTGGCTGATCTAGAAGGTTTATCTTGCGTTTGCAGCTAGTTGTGGCCTGGGGGGTCTGGTTGTTGTGGAGGGTGTCTGGGCTTGTTGTGGGTGGTGGAGTCCTTGGGGTGTTGGTCTGGAGGGTCTGCTGGCTGTACTGGATAGGGGGTGGGGTGGTGGGGGGGTCCAGGTGTGGGGGAATGGTTGGGGTAGCAAGGGGGGTCTGTGGTTCTGAGGGCTGTCAGGGTGGTGGGCTGAGCTGAGCTTGGGTCTGAGGTGGTGAGATGTGTGGGGGGTAGTCTGGGCTTGTCTTGGCAGGTGTGGGTTTGTTGGGGGTCTGGGTGTTGATGTATGGGGGGGTGGGGGTGGGTGGGGTAGTTGGGAGAAGGGGGGGTGTGGGCAATGGTGGGGAGTCAGGGGGTGGTGGTGTCTGGGTCTCTGTCCATAGTGGGAGTGGGGTGGGGGGGTGTGTGGGGACTGGTTGCTGGAGGATGGGAGTGTGGTGGGGGGGTGTCTGCTGGAGGGGAGGTGTTGTGCATGAAGGGGGGGGTGTAGGGGGGGCTGGGCGGGTGTGGGGGGGGTTGAGTCCTGCTGGGGGCTGTGGTGTTCCTCTGTCGGGGTGTCTGAGGGATTCTGGGGGATGGGGTGTGTCGTGTGCTGGGGAGTGGAGTGATGGGGGTCTTGGGGTGGGAGGTGGAGGTGGGGGGTCTGTGGGGAGGTCTAGGGGGGCTGTGGGGGTGGACTGGGGTTGGTCTGGGTTATGGTGGCAGTACAGGGGGGTGTGGGTGGGGAGACTGCCTTTGGGTGGTCTGGGTGGAGGGAGTTGTCCTGAGAGTGAGGTTGGTGTCCTGTGGGCTGTCTGGCGTGTGTAGCCCTGAGACTGTAGGAGTGGTCCTTGGGGGGGTCTTGGGGTCTGGTTTGCCTGTGTGCTCTTGAGGGGGGGGGGTGGATTCTGTGCGTGGTCAGAGGGTGGTGCATGTGTTCTGGCTGTTGTGTGAGGTGTGGGGTTGGTGGGGGTGGGGGGGGTGTTGGGGTGCGAGGGTGGCCTTCCTTGCAGGCCGCCATTCAAAATCTTTCCTTTGTCCCGTCTGATTGTCTCCCTGATCATGCGACGTGTCCCTGACCATTGTTCCACTTCAACTACGTAATCCGTATTATGTGACGTCGTTCACCTCCAGTTTACTTTCGCGTATCCTCATCATAATTCGTATTTCCGGTCTCTCAAAGGTTACGCCAAGCATAGATCTTTCCATTTTTCGTAGTGCTACTTGTAACTTTTTTATTGATGCTATAGTCAATGTCAGTGTTTTTCAGCTCCATAAGTGAGCACCGGAAGTACGCACTGGTTAAATATGCTTTCCACTTTAGCTTTTATTTGGATTTTTTCCTAAACCAAACGTCTTTTAGCTTGCCATAGGGCTTCCCATCCTAAAGCTATTCTTCTAGATAATTCGCTTGTTTGGGTTCTTACTTATGTTGTACTTCGAGTGGCCCCAGAATATGTATTTGGTCAAACCGTTTCAAATAGAGCCAGGTTTTGCTAGTTTCCAAACAATGGTCCACTAGGTACTAAAGGGTGGTCATCGCATTTTTAGAGGGTTCGCAAGTTTAGGTCCAGCCCGTACTTTTGTGGGAGACTCGTTGTAAGAGCATGTGTAGCATTTCGTGTGGCCTCCTATAGTCGTCGGTTATGAGAACTGATGTCAGCCTGCAAAGCGTAGGTGGTTCAGCCTTTTTCGCCATCGGCACTCAAACCTCTGTTTTCGCCCATCTATAACATCGTGGGAATGCATGCTGCATTACGGCATTGAATGTTTTGGTGAGACAGGTTTTTCCCTTCCTTGTCTAACCTCCCCTTTTTAGTTTTATTTTTTGAGTAGGGGGTGAAGGTTTATTGCGTGTGGGCAATTTTTTGCATATATAACTGGTTAAATTAATGCTGGTATATCGGTAGTCCGTCATTCTACAATCTCTCAAAGCTCTTAAAGATATTACCATCTCGAAATAGTTGTCAAAAAGCGTTTTTTATGAGGTCAACAAAATACTAATAACTAGTGGCCGGATTGGTACTCTATAGTTTTTGTTCAATTAGATTAGGGGCCTTTATAACCAAGTTTTAGATGGTCCTTTTGTAACCTATACCCAGGCGGAGAACGCTGCTGTATCTCCTTGGTTGGCCATGTTTCTAGATTGTTCTCAAATTCTGGCAGTGATCAATTCCAGCAAATAATTTATACAGGTGACTTAGAAGACGATTGGCCCTATAGTTTTTCGAGGTCGTGTTGATCTCCGATTCTATGCATGAGGAGGCGTGATTAGAAGAATTATTCCGATTCAACTGGTAGTTGCTTGGCTTTTCTAAGCATCTATTGGAAGAGCTGCTTGATTGTTCCCTGATGTGAAGAGCAGAGCCTCACGAATTTTTAAGCGCATCCAGCCACCTAACTACTCCATCTTCTCCATGGGTGCTGTTGTTTTTATTTTTTGTCATTTTGCTTTAGAGCCAATGTGTAGAAATTTTCAAGCCTGTCTGGAAATGTCGCGCGAATCATCTTGTCTGCAACCTTGAGATTCGATAAGTTTTTGATGTTCCTGGAATGTTCTGTCTGGGTTTTTGTAAGATCCAAATTGATTGTGTGGATAGTGGTTTCAGTTATTAGAAGGTCTTCTGTACTGATCTCTAGCAATGTCGTCTCTTGGGGACGGTAGTTAGCCCATTCCTTTTCCTCCCTAAGTCTGATGATTTCATGTTGCTGCTGTCGTCAGATTCTCCTTAGGCTTAATAATACCTTCATGTCTTGTAGTCCGACCCCTGATCATCTCGGCGTTGTCCGCGTGCGGAGTTGGTCTGCGAGCTTTTTTTCTCATTTTTAATATATGCCCCTTATGATCACTTTCTACAATTGCTTATAGAGACCTGTTCTTGTGGATGTTTTCAGATTTTATGTTGATATGCTTAGTGTTTCTATACTCTTGGTCTTTTAGCATTTCTCTTACTCTCTTTCTCTTTTCTTATCTTTTCTTTGCCATGTTATAAGGTTTGGTGTTAAGCACAGTGATTTCTAGCCCTCCGCATCGATCATTGTTACCTATGCCTGTAACACTATTTATCTTTGAGCGTCTGCAAATGGGATTCAGTAAATTACTTTATGTTCGCTGATTTATAATCGATGTGTGGGGGGGCCTTGGTGTTTGTTAGACCGGACCGGTTATTTGATCTGCAAAACTTTCTGTTTCATTTCTTTCGGTTAGTGGACCGCATGGCTGTTCCAATGTTTTTCTTGTTCTTATTGCGTTAAATTCTCACTTTTATCAGATGTTAATTTGCTATCTCACAGTAGCTGCCGCGGACCGCATTCTTGTGGATCACTTCCTGTTGTGATAGCTGTGTGAGTTTACTCTGATGACATCTTTAAACTAAGAAATTTATTTATCTGTTTATGTATATAGTCAATTTCGATTTTGGCGATTCTCGCCGTCCGAAGCGGGTCTTCTCCCTCATGTCCTCACCCTTCTAAGTTGTTTTTTTCTATGGTTCTATGTTCATGTAAAATTCGATGTATTACGTACAGTACAATGAGCACATGTGGCTAATAAGAAATTACTTTTTATCACACGCAAGGTAACAACTATTAAGCGTTTTAACACCTTTCTTCTGATCACAACAGATCTTTGATTTCTTGCTGTTATACTGAATCTCATCAAGTTTTAAGTAATCCTATGAATGATATCTAGAATAAAACGAACGACAATGGTAAACTTGTCGAAGAACTTTATAAATGATGTTAACTTGATCTTAATTCAGCTATTTTTATAACCTTGATCCAATTCGATGGAACTGGAATATTGTTTTTTTAATCGCCAATCATATGCTACCTTTCGTGCTTGAAGGGTTGTTAATCCAATTCCGTAGCTCATTTGCTACTTAGTTTTAATGTGATCACACCAAAGAAATTTCCTGTTCCTCTGAAAACACACGATCCGTACAGCATAATTGGGTGTCCCATTTGAACATTAATCTGGATTAGATATTTTTTTTAATTATCATTACTGATTAGGCATAGTTTTTACCAAGGTCTGACGAAATTCTAATGTAAACGAATCCCATCTTCCAAACCTTCCTTTTGTATCTTCTGACCTATATTTCATACACTTATAGCGTTGAGACAATTGCAACACTATTCGCGCGATTGCTTTCCGAATTGGAATTTGCAGAAATAAAAAATCTTAATAATGATTGAACAACATTTTCTCATCGATAACTTTACCCTGACCATTAGTACAATGCCCACAAACCGGCTAAAAAGCTTTACAAAACTACAAAATACATTTTTGACATTATGAATTGACAGTATTAGAGTTTTTGTGAATATCATTTTTATCCACAGACTACCTCTGGATTTAACGTTATTATGAAAAATTAACTTGTGTTGACATAGGTCATGAGTAATGGCGCATAGCCAGGGATCTAGTGAATTGTTTTAATTGTTCTAAATGTTGAAATCATGGACGTATAAAGACACAGAGGGAGCGCTCAGTTTTATTTACATAAAATTGTGAAGTCAAAATTATTATTGAATAGGTCACATTCTCAGCACTCTTCAGCTGTTGTGTCCCGTTTTGTTTTTAAAAATTTCTTATTCGCGAGTCGCTGAGAAATTATTACTCCGTATTTTTATACTCTACAGGTGCTATCAAACAAATAATAATATTTATTGGTTAATTAATATATTTAATTGTAATCAAAATATAAAGTGTGCACATAGTGTGCATTATCATTTAATAATAGCGTATATTAATTAGATATCAATCAATTTATTGTTATATGTAGAAGCACTGAAAACTATTTATAAATGGCAACCGTGTTGTTTACATTTCTCTGTCTTAGGATCTTACGTCAAACTTCAAATGCTGTTCCATGTTTGTTTACATTTTTAGTAAAAGATAGAGTTTTTTTTCGATATTTTGGCTGTATTTTGAGTTATATTTGTGAAAGTGAAATAAAATAAACGAAATATTTACATCCCGATCTTCATTTCATTTGGTAATGTACATAAAATTTACATTATTTAAGATGAGGAAATGAGGAGCGTGTTTGTTTACATTTTAATAGGCTCGTGACCATTGGGTTTTGTATTCATGTTACTATTCATGTATTGAATAAGATATAAGTTCACGAAATTCTATAGGAGCATTTCTAAAAAGTTGAAGTAGACATCATGCTGATTAACAAGAAGATTCAGTTTAGTACCTTTTTGAATTTAATAGTATCTCAATGGATGCAAATAAAACTAAGGTTGAAATGAAATACAAGCGTTAGTCATGTAATTTGTTCTAATGTAGGTATTACCAAATAATTATTGACTGCGATCACGAACGATTTTGGTAGCAAATTTATGGAGAAAACTTAGAAATTTAAAGCATTGTTTATTGTAGCATCTATTTTGATACCTATTACAGAAAATTAAACGGTTGGAAATGTCCGCCCAAGGTATATTTATTGTTATCAATTTTTAAAGCAAATTAAAAAAGTGTATTGTTTAAACAATTTTTTTCATAATGAGTTGCAGTAGGACCTAGTGATTCGCTTAATAGTAAAAACTCTCTCGTTTTTTTTGTAAAATTCTATTGAACGTGTATTTTGAGTACATTATTGACTACTTATTCCAATTTTTAAAAGCGTTGAGAATAATTATTGACCCCCGCGAGTATAATATCAAGCACGCTTATGCACTCATTGCGGAAGCAGGATCACCATTCTATCGAAGCTTCAAAGACATTGTGTGGATATTTAAAGGTATCTTATATGCTGTGTCCATCTATGTTATTACGTCCATGGTTGAAAATAAATAAAAAACCATAAGGGTAAGGTTTATTAATTAAATAATAAATAAACGCCATATTATATAAATAGTGGCAAACTTTGAATAAAAACATGCAGTAGTATAATTATTGTTTATGGTACCTAATCGACTTAAAAACTGCAAAATTCCATAGGTAGGTAGGCCCAACTGATATGGGAATCGAGCTCGTAAATTAATAAGTTGTTTACCAGTATAAAATTCCTCGAGCTTTTTTATTTTAAAAGTTAAGATCTTTAGAACGCCCCACCCCCACCTATAATTGGTACAAGAACATGTGAAAAAGAACAAATGTAACGTCTTATAAAATGTTAATTCTTTATTCATTATTTACACCTCCCATATTATAGGGTAATGCTCTTTGGTTTTGTTGTGTGCTGTGTGGACTTCAAGAGGAGCTTTTTGTGCCGAACGTCTACACGACATACTGCCATAGGAAAGCACTGGCAGGAAATAGGAATACCAAGAAAAAAATTTAAATCTCATCCAAAGAGACACTTCTATAGTGACACAGAAAGCATAATCCTACACCACGGCATAACATCTAACCCAAAAGGCTATGCTAAAACGGAGTAAAGCAGGCTGGTGTTTATCCCCCATCCTTTTAACATTGTACTTGACTTCCGTACTAACAAAGTAAACTCTAATAGAGGGAATTTACTGGAGATTAACAAACAACTGGGAACACCAGATTACGCTGATGATATATGCCCTCCCTAGCACATACAAACCAGGAACATGCAACTCCAAGTAAGACACAGTGACTAGAAGAAATCAAAAGAAGGTAGGTCTATAGAATAAAACATCAACAAAACGCAAAGAGAATGCGATTTGGTACCGAGAACCAACCAACCATATTATGATCAACAACGACCAGAAAGATTGATAGAGAGAAGTCAGGAAATTTGATATATCTGGGGCATCATAAATTGACTTGTAATGGGGGGGTACAGAGGCGTGATGTTACAAGGAAAGCCTACATAAGGCTCTCGCAACGCCCTACAAACGATTGCTTAACGAACATAGAGGCAAAACCAGGCATTTATTACCCAACTAAAGGAACGAAAACTAACAAAATCTTCAACACGAATGACAATAAGCTGATATTAACTGTAATGGCTGTCGAAAGCGTGGAAGATAACAGCCACCCCATAGTACAAACCTCAAGTTAACACAAGTTTTATCAACATCAATAGTAGCGTTTACGGAAACAATCCTTCGAATATATTTTTGGCGCTAACGCGAATCCTTCCAATGGCAAATATAATGGAACCAAAGCGAGGACCAAGGAAATTAAGTCATAAAGCCAATAAAGGCGGAAGAAAATGGGAGAATGGGCTGTGGGCCACCACCACCATCCGGAGACCCCTGGCCAAATGACATTGCCAGGGAACAAGCGCAGGACTGTGAATCCCTAAGGCCGACGTAAAGTAGGCAAGGAACTTGGCGAAAGGACAGAATCAGGACGAAGGGAGAAAAAAAAGGGAAAATCCTGCTTGAAACAAAGCACTAGCCAGAAATAGAGTTCCGCCCGCTAGGAGTTTTGTGGAAGCCCTATGATCCCCCTCCTTAGGAAATCTTTGGGACCTATATATATATATATATATATATATATATTATATATATAATAAATCTATATATATATATATATATAAATTATAAATAGGTTAAAAGATTCTCCACTTTTGAGATATTCATTAAGCGTTTTTTACAGACACATTTTACACATCTAAACCAAATTTTTTTAATTTATTCTTAAACCTTACAGTAATTTAAATGAAGATTTATATTATATCTATATATAGATACCAATTGGTTTTCTAGATGGAAATTGAGTTGTGTGTACAACTACGCCTTGTGTATTTCCTCGGCCCCCCCCCCCACCGCCCCCCTTATGTTCCCCATCGTCTGTGCTGGCGCAGGATACGGAGTGGTGAAACTTCAGAACAGAAAACGAAGACGTCTAAAGATAAAACAAGAAGAGCTTCGAAATGGCGATGTGAAGTTACCGGTAGATACGATGATAGTAACGGAATGGGTTACAGCCCAACCACAAACGAGTGGTCAAAGTCAGATTCGGACGGGAACCGGATGCGGCAATACACGTCTTCGGAAAGAAAGGGAGAGAAACTAAGAACAATTAATTTGAAGAATGTAGATAATATTGTTTTGGAGGAGTCGTTAAATGTTACTTCGAATAAAAAACCCGATATTTTAATTCACGTACCGAGGGATTATGAACCTGGTTTTGGAGTTGGAGTCCGTAGCTTCGAAGAAAAAGTTTATGAACAAACTGGAGCTTTTTCTTAATTCCAATAAGAAAACTCTGTTTTGGTAACCCCGTAAGATGAGTCAAATATGTAAAAAAATTTTGTTTGTTTTATGACATGATAAATTAATTCTTATTGGAACTTTCCTTTAAAAAAAAACTTAACAAGTTGATGCTATAAATTTGTTGTTTTATTATGTTTATTATTGGATATTCTTCGGGCACCTTATTCATACCACAAGACCCCACCAAAAAAAATATGGTATTACCCCTAACTCCAGAAGCCATGCACGACGTGCTCTACACAGAACCACTTATTTCTAGACGCAGTATAACCTAATCGAGCTTACCGAATACTGACACGAAGTACCCAAACACAAGTGACATGCGCTGCGCTGCATTTTATCGCTACTAACGAATGCAGCTGCACAACGTGCACAATCTTCTTCTTCTTCTTCGTGTCATATCAGAATATATTTCCGACGTATGCGTCCATACAAGAATGTTCCTCAACCAAGAACCCCATTTTTTTCCTACATCTCTACTGCCTTCCTATTTGCCTTTAAGGATCATTTAATATTTTTTAATAATCGACTTCCCTTTTTAAATGTCCCAGATAAGACATTTTCGATGTATTAAACATACTATAGCAGTTCTCTATACTTTGATAGAACGCTCCTTAGTAACTATCTCGTATAGTTTTCCCTTGCTGTCAAGGAATCTTCATCAGCATTCGTCTATTGAACCCACATATCCAATGCAGTTTAAATTTTGTTCATGATCGGTAACGGACCAAACATAGCCTAAACCATTCTGTATCTTAGTTCTAAACTGAATGATTATTGTGCAAAAGAAATGAACTTCATTTCATAAAAAGTAGTTTTTAGAGTAGAGAGTCATTGCCCTATTCCTAACGTTTAATTTCTAATGACTGGATCTAGTTTGGTCCGTTATCACATTCCCTCATATATGTCCATTTGTGGACTCCGTTTAAAAGAAGCTTTGCAGCGGGGATGTGGGTCAAGACTAAACACTAAAAATTTGTTTTGTTTGAGTTTATTTTAATGCCCATTTCCTCTCCTACCGCTCGTGAACATATGATCAAGCAGAATTGAAAACCTTCACTATTATCAGAAAGAATTACTGTATCGTCAGCATATCCTAATCACATTAAGTAGTTCCCTCGTTGATTTTTTAATTCCAGTAAATGGTAATACTCTCACGTCCTTTTTAAAATAACTGGTCCAAGTAAACATTGGACAATGTTTGGCTACAAAAGCAAAAACTTTGTCTGACGTCCCAATCTGACACATATAGTGTCCCTCCCCTGGAATCCCAATACATTTCTAAAACCAAATTGAGGGTAACTCAAAATCTAATTCGAATAAATGTTCTTCGCATTGGCGTCTAATTTCTGTATCTGCAACCTTCACTGTAATATTATATATTTCAATATTCTTAATTTATTTATAAATAATTTTAATTTATTTTATTTATAGATAGTAAGAGAAGTGCTACTAGCGAAGGCAGAAACACGTCAACGAAGGGAAAAGAAGCTGGAACATTTCTTCCGCGAAGCTTACGCTTTAACCTTTGGCCTAAGACCTGGAGAAAGGCGGAGAAGATCTGATTCAAACAAGGACTGGAGAAGTGGTGACGGTGATGAGAACTTCTTTGACCAAAAGTGAATTTGCCAGTGCTCTTGGAATGAAACCAGATGCCGTATTTGTTACCAAAATGTTTAATATAGTTGATAAAGATAAAGATGGCAGAATATCGTGTTCAGGGTGAGTTTTGTTCTTTCTATCTAAATAACGAATGCAATACATTTGTGGTATAAAACGTCAATACCTATTTCAATCAATAGTGGAGAGTGATTGAGATAAGCAAAGATTACCTCCTTAAATACGATGCACTCCATTATTCTCCACGGAGTCATAATTTTAGTACGCTTCAAAACAAATATTTTTTCTAATAGTTTTAATAACTTCCTTTCTGAGAGGTGCTGTCACCTCTAAGGAAGCGTGTGATACAATTGTTTCGAAACCATCAGTAATTTGCAACATCCAATACGCAAAAGTGGTAACCATAACAGCAAATCTCAAATGACCTGAGCTTTCCTCTCCATTGTATGTTGATTCCATCCCTCGTTCAAATGTGCCTTCTTACAAGTAATGTTTTAACAGCCATCTTGAGAAAACTTGTGCAGAAACTGTCGGTCATCCTTGGGGGGGATTAACAAAGATGTAATAAATAACCAATATTTGTACCATTTTAAAGAGTGTTTTAAAAATTTTTTAACCAAAATACACACTTGCGTGCATAGAAATCGGGGGCCCACAGGTAAACCTTTTGACTTTAAACTATATATTTTTTTCCAAGGAAATATTTATCCAAGAACACAAAAACAAATATACTGTTTGAAAGACATTTTAATATGCTTTAATGTGAGTATAAATTTATCAGAAGGCTTATCGTTTACATGCGTAGTAACCGGTAAACAAATGAAACGTGTTTATGGTGTGATTGTCACGAAATAACAATTTGTCTAATTGTAAAAAGGATTGCCTTTGCAAGTGAAATTTTGCATATTATTCGTTTTTCGATAATCTCAGCAGTGTTCAAGTGGTTTAGTTTAATGCATACTAACGCCACAAAAAGCGCCCAAGTTATTGCTCTAATCGAAAAATGGACCTTAGTCGCGAAGCGTGTTGCTAGACATTGGATATGACACGCGCAGCGGTTCGAAGAGTTATGCCAACGTTATGAGAGACTGGATCCTTTAATAGGCGACCTGGAGACAGTGCAGACGGCGATTTACAAACCGCTCGGTGATGACCGCTTTATTGTGTCAACAACATTAAGAAACCGTCACCTTAATGCCGTTCAGGTGCAACGACAGCTCGTGAGGTGAGAAGAGTGCTGTTAATTGTGGAACAGTGAGACGAAGACTGCGAGAATATAACATTACCCTAAAAAAACCTGCGATTGGTCCAAAACTTACTCCAGCTCATCTGCAAGCACGCCTGCGTTTGTAGCACAGGCTCTATCGGAATTGGACGTTGGGAACAATGGGGATTCTGTTCTGTTCTCAGATAGAGACCAAAATATGCCTCTATGGTTAGCTGACCGAAGAAGGAAAGTGTACCGGAGACCAGGAGAGAGATTTGAGAATACCTGCTTGTGAAGAGCGGAGTGCTTATGGGGGTGGTTCCTGCTTGATCTGGGGTGCAATTTCTATAGGAGCACGAGCCGATCTTGAGTCTTTCGTAGGGACGACCGTGTTCAGGATAAAGTGGTTTAACGGTTGCCAGATATATCGAGGAGATTTTTTAGCAATTAATGTGGGACCTTACGTCGACTACATTAGGAGACGAATTTAATCTTTATGCATGACAATTCGGTGAGAATCGTGCAAGATTACATTGCAGAAAGTCGGTTTTCAGGTTATAGATTGGCCAGCAGAAAGTCCTGACTAAATCGATCGAACTGTTATGGGATGAGCTAAAACGAAAGAATTCGAGCTAGACTTCATACCCCAGACTCGATCCCAGAGACTTATTCTTAGCAGCAGAAGAAGAGTGCTTAACATCCACAAGCAACAATAGCAAACTTGATTAGATCTATGCCTAATCGTTATGAGAGATGTTATTAGGGCAAGAGGAGGTCATACCCATTATTAAAAAATTAAGTGTTAAGTTTTAAAATTATCAATAACCCTATTTATGTTAATAATAAAAAAGCTTAATTTTGCTTAATGAAATTCATTTCTACTATGATGGAGGCCGAATAAGTTTCATAATTTATACTCACATTAAAGCATATTAAATTTGTATTTCAAACAGTATATATTTGTTTTTTGTGATCTGATGAATATTTCCTTGAAAAAAAAATAGTTAAAGTCAAAAGTTTACAGTGGGGCCGATTTCAATGCACCGCAAAGTTTTAATTTATGTGGCTTGAAAAACTATGTTAGGAATGTAGGCCCGAAAGGGGTCCTTTAATTAGTATATCTTTTATAATAAAAGGATTTTTTAAATAACAAATATTATTACGTGATTTTTTTTTTTTTTATATATTGGTCTATGATTTTTTTTTTTTTTTTTTTTTTTTTTTCTTTATTTGCTATTTTTATTTTTTTTTTTTTTTTTCTAAATAAAAATTGTTTTATTTTTTTTTTTTTTTTTTGATTTTTTTTTTTTTTTTATTTATTTTTTTAAAAATATTCTAAAAAATGTATCAAGCCCAACGTAAAGAATTTATTTTCCTTGTGACTATCTATTACTTAGAAAACCTTTAGGTATATTGTAGAGAAATTGAATGATTTACTTATAAATGGAATGGAACTTCAAATATTAACAGATCTTTTATAATTTCAGGAGTTTTTAGATACTGTGGTGCTCTTCTTCTCCAGAGGCGCCACAGAAGACAAGCTTCGTATTATTTTTGATATGTGTGATAACGACAGGAATGGAGTAATAGATAAAGAGGAGCTATCAGATATGCTAAGGTCACTAGTATAGAAGAGGCGGGGTAAAAAAAAAAAAAAAAAAAGAACGACAAGCTTGTCTGATGACCACGTCACGGAACTTATAGATGGAATGTTTCAAGTAAGAGGTTTAAATGTTTTACCGTGGTAATCCTTAGCATTATATATTTTAGGAGATGCCCGGGTTCAGAGGGTAATAAATATATCACCATACCATATAGTGATTTTAAAGTATTAATGCAAGAATACAAGGGCGATTTTATAGCGATAGGTCTTGATTGCAAAGGAGCAAAGCAAAATTTCTTAGATACTTCAACAAATGTAGCCAGAATGACCAGCTTCCATATAGAGCCCAGCTTAGAAGATAAGAAAAACTTTTTGAGGTTGAAGTGGGATACTCTTGTTACTTTCTTGGAAGAAAATAGACAGAATATATTTTATTTATTTTTTATTTTTTATGTGAGGTAACAATTTTGGTATATTGTTTGAAGATGATTATATCGTAAGTATTATTTGGCTGGACTTTATGAGTAAAAATTACTAGGAGTAAGTCTCTCTTTATAAACGATGTATCTATATAACGATAATTCCCTATTATAACGATGAAAAATAGTAAACATTGGTTGATTCGACATAAAGGGACACTGTATTAATTCCTTTCTCTATACCGATAAGACCGTTCTCTCCTAATAAAGGCGATGGACTTTTTTCATTTCAGCCGTGCAATAGTCGAAGATAAATGTGTTATTGTGCTTAAAGTTCAGAACTAACTCAGAGTCACCACGAGTGGCAAGTCATTGCCCAGCGTTTGTTTTTTGGTTTATTGCGCCTTCCGGAACCGCTGGCCACCCATTTTACTATCGTATTGTTGTCTATATTATTGACAACTTTTTCATTTCCAGTTTGAGTTGTGTCTTCAAGTGTGGCAAACAGGTTAAACATGTTTTACGGAAAAGCGGTAAAGGGTGCTTTCAGGTGGAGGAAAAAGTTATCCAATAACGTCGAGCAGTTTGGAAACAAATAACCAACAAGCCTTATGCAAAATTGTGGGGACGCTTATGCTAAGTTCCGGTGTGTTTCGGTCGGAAGTGACAGTGTTTCCTCCGCTGCCCACCACCCATGAAAGTGACAAGTGACATTCTGCACCCGTGGCAATCATTACGCATAACGCCATGTTTAGTTGTTGTATTATAAAAGAGTAAAAACATAGATTAGCATTCTGGCTTGTTGCCATCCTAAATTAATATAATTATTAGAAAATTAGTAAAATATTAAAATTAGACTCTGGCTTATAGAGCCATCATAATTATACATGAGTGAATGGTTGAATAGGTCTAAGTTAAATAAAGGTGATCACTACAGTAAGTTTCGTGAGTCTCTTATTATCAATTAATCAAGAGTATACAGTCCAGCTAAACCATCGAGCGCTTTAGATTTGTGCGTCGCTGTACACGAGAGCAATTTAGAGCAAGGTGGAAAAGTCATTGGGGGATATCGACTCGCCGTAGGGGCTGTCTCAGTCATCTGTGGCTACGATATGGAAGGAAAGAAAAAAAACGGCTTGAAAGCAGAGGATGGTAGGACGGTAGACAGGACGCAGAGTTGCGAAAACCTCATGACGAAGATTCAGATCGCGTTATGCTTTTAAGGGTGATTCCCAGCAGCAGCGTATTAATGAACCATATTTCCAGTTTAGCTGGGCTCTGTGGTCTCAAGACAAAAGCTGAGTTTTTTTGCAGCTGATGCTTGGCCAATAAGAAATTCAAGGCATCCTGAGGAAAAATTGGCTGAGCAAGGGTAAGCCTAACGGCACCAGATCAACTTATGAACAAATCAACTAGGACGAAGCTTCGAGAGCGATGTTAACACAAAACGTAAACGAAATTATTGGGCTAAAAAACGTGTGGCCTTAACTGAAGGCACGATATGCGTCAGACGACATTTCCCAATGCTGATGAGACTGGAATTGTTGTTTTTAAAATGACACCAGACCAAAACTTTAAAATTTAAAATCGGAAAAAGTCCGTTGGTGGAAAGCTCTCTAAAGGGACGCATTAACAGTTTTAGTGGCCAGCTAACATGAACGGTTCGGTGAAGCGAAAATTATTAGTGATAGGGAAGTCGAAAAACCCACATTCCTGCTTAATAGACAATTTTCCTGCTTATCAATGCACTGGTGCCCATGGACCAAAGCGTCTTTCAACAAAAGTTTTGAAAGGCCGTTACAGAAGGAAGGACGAGATCTTTGATGGAATTGGTTGAGAACAATGGATATCTTAAACTAAACATTCTTGGCGTCATCCTAATGATTAGTAAATCCTGGGACGAGGTGACGAGCAATACTTATTATTACGAGAGAATAAAATATTTCCTTCAAACACGCAAGATGGCTGGAAGATCGATTGACTGATGATGGAGATGATCTGCTGTAGATTTTTGGGTCAGACAGTTTGAACTTACTATCACCTACGAACTGGAAGAAGGCTAACAGATTATTGAAGAAAGTTGTTGAAAAATGTAGCTACATCTGGACTTTTTGGCGAAGACATCCTACAAGCAGTTAGTGTAGAAGAAAACAGAAACCAGTGACCCGGAAGTGGAAGCAGCAGAGATGAAGCAGCCCGACCCCTCAGCAGACATTGGATGCGGCAAAAGTATTACATCGATTCTTCATCTACCAGGAAGACGATATGAGTACTGTGGAAGATCCTTATGCATCTTCGGGACAAGGTCAAGGTCAGTTCTGTAAAAAAGGAAGCAAGACCAAGGTGACTTACTTTTTTGGTAATGTAGGCTAAATATATGTTGCAGCAGTTGCATATTATTTATGTTTGTACAGTATACATGTTTTAATTGTACAGTCAATTTTTTTATACTATATGCTTATATTATTCTTAAATATATATATTCTTTAATAAATCTATGTGGTGTATTTTTAAATTAAAATATGATATTCAGTACAGTATTATTAATATACAGTACCAATTTTGTCTCTCTCTGTATAACGATTTCTCCTTATACGATGAAAATTCCGGTCCCTTGCATATCGTTAATAAGAGAGAGGAGATGACTGAATTATAGGAGGACTCCGTATAAAAAAAAAAAAAAAACAACCGTTTCCACCTTCTATTTTTGTTGATTAAGTTTTAGATTATTCCATTAATGACTGAACATACAAGACTTTAAGACACATATATGGGTGGGTTTGGGATTTCAGTATGCAATTTACAAGAGGCTCTGGCGGCATCCCATTTCTTTCCTGTAATTGAATGCAGCTTATCGTAACTATTGTCCAGGAATTTAATAACAAAATTAAAGGAGTTTGCCATTCAGCAGGTATACCCTACTAGATGGCAAAATATACAGTTTCAATAAGATAAGCAGCCTTGTACTGCTTTGGTTCTATTTCGATATTTGCATTACAACTAGGGCATATTATTAATTTTTATCACGTTTCCACACAACCAGTTGAAAATTTGAAGTGTCTAACCAGTGAAGTACGATTTCCCTCTGATTACAAACCAGGATTTACATTTTGGCTGTTTCAAACCATTACAGGTATTGTCAAAACTTTTAAAAATTTAACATAAACCTACACATACTGACACCACTATACACAATTCATCATCCCATCCTAACACAAAACATAAACTGGCAGCCTATCATAGTATGTTTACATTAGATTAACAGAAATTTCCAGATGTCCAAAATACAACTATGAGACAAGAATTAAATTATTCAATTAAGCAAATAGCAGTAAAGCTATGGATACAACGACACAACAATTGATAAAATTTTTAAAATAAAAAACGACACAAGAAAGCCCTGAAATTAGTATATCCACCACCAGAGAAACCCCAGTCACAGAATAATAAACAATCAGAATGGCCCACTCAGATGCCGCCGCCTTTACCAACCTTTACCTGGTTGAAATCCACCATTAACACAGACATATGATATGTGAGGTTATGTAATGTTTAAATAAATGTTTTAATTATAGTATATTAATTTATGTTTATTAAAATTAACAATGTTTAATATAATTGTATAGTATGATCTATGAATCGCCGTAAGTCAATTAAACCGGGTTTTAATTTTTCTATGCACAACCACACATAAACAACACTAGTTTCCATCTAAAACATTGGCGGAAACTGTCTGCGCGAAGGAGAATGTGCGTACTTAATTTCCATGGAGAAGTTGGGCCCATTTGCTGTTGATTTAAAAATTATTTTTTTTCTGGTGTCCCAGTCATCGAACAAAAAGATAAAAGAGGGAAATCTAACTCGTTTAAGAAAAGGAGACCAAAAAAGTGGCCCTCTGATGGCGGACATATCCGAAATGCAAAGGCGCTAAATTTAAAATTTTCCAACAACTTATTAACAAAGCTATAAATATTTTTCAGACGAGAAAGTTTTAAATTAAATATTAACTATAATAGTGCTAAAAACGTGACACAATTGGTTAAAAAGATTTACAATATAAATAAAAATTATCATGTGACGAGTTGGGACAAAACAAAAAACATAACCTAACTAAATTATGGACTTCTTAAACAAGGAAAGAGAGCTGTCCTATCCTTGTCTAAAAGTGGCCTCTCAAGATGGCACTTTCCTGTCTATCCAATACATGTTTACCCCTTCAACCTAAACAATATCCCCCTTTTTGTCTTATGGCTCGATGGTTGCCCCAAAGGTCTACCGCTCAAGGATGAAGGTAAGTGTGTTACCAGAACAGGCGGCTGTGGCAGTGTTCATGTAAAAATGTTAATGACAATAATTATTTTTTTATAATTTAAAATTAAATTATTTATGATTTCTTTTTGGTTCCCGTCTTATAAGAGAAAGAATTAGTTTTTGATAAAAAAAAGTATTGGCATTTTACTAAAATAGTAAGTATAAAAATCTCAACAATTTAAAATAAAATTTACTTGTCACATAAAATGGAGAAAATGTTTTTCATACGTCCATTGATGTCTTTTTCAAACACAAGATCAACTTCGTGATGCTTCGAAAGAAAATTTCATGAACTTCGTGCCTCCTTCGTAATCAATAACAACTAAACACTAAAAACAAAGGTTATTCATGTTGTGGACACCTTTTAAAAGCGTTCAACGCGGGTCTATAGATATTATAACGACATTTGTTTAATTATTTATGTTTAATTATATTATATTTATGGTATTATATTTAAGCAAGTTTAAGATAATGTAAACTTATGGCTCTTGAATGCCCGGTCAAGTATTCAATTAAAAACCGGGTTTAATTTGTTGTTTTTTCTATGGCACACCACATAACACACACTGGTTTTCACACTAAACCATGGCGGAACGTACTGCGCGAAGGAGATGTGTCGTAACTCTAATTTTCCATGGAGAGTGGGGGCATTTCTGATTGTTATTAGATTCAGTGCCGCTGTACCTTCTGACTCAATTACATATACAGCAAAAGCAAAATATCAACACAAAAATAGACCAAACACATAAAAAGAAATGCATAACACTAGCTTTACAGAACAAAACAACAACTAGAATCAATGAAAAGTTAAACAAATTAAACAACACAAAATCAATTTACTATAGAAATTTTGTTATCACTGGGGAGCTAACCAGGAAACGTAGAAGTGCCAATAGAGTGGGTCCAAAAAATCCTGATCGTATTTTTGGAGTTATAGAAAAAGACATTATAAAAATGCCAGTGTATCGTTGGAAATTTTAGTGGCAACGCACGATTTAATTAAATCAGAAAGCATTCCACTGTAACAAGAAAATCGGTATGGATCGGGTGTGTTTTAAATTGGAGGACCCAAACAACAAACGAGATATTAATCTCCATAGTTATCATGGCACTTTGAAATTTAATAAGGCAAAAGCGGTTATATTTTATTACAAAAAAGGGCAACAATGGTATCTAGTCTCCAAAGGTTAAACCAAATTAACCGAACATGACGGGTGGAAAAAAGCTAAATGCGTTTGTTAAAAAAAATTTAGTCACTTTGTCGGTCACATGGTTACTCTAAAAAATTACCACTGGGAAAATAATTAAAGGGGGATAAAGGAACTATCTAATGGTTCTACCTTTCCAAACCACTAATGGGAGAAAATTGGCTACCCCCCCCCCCCCCCCATCGCCCCGCCCTTCCAGAACCTAAATCCCCGTTACCCGCACCCTCATCCCCGAAGACCCCCCCCCACCTTTTTGAAGACAGATTCTAAGTCTCACCATTAGAGAACCGTTGGTGGCTAAAATACCCAGAAAAATTACTGTTTTTTTTTTAGTCATTGAGGCAATCACTGTCTTTTGATTTTTTTTAATATGTTTCGTTATATGACTAAAAATCATAAAGTTTATTATTATCATGAATAAAATCCCTTAAGTTTTTTATATTGGAAATAAATTACGTTTTTGTTTATTATTATTATATATTTAATTTGGCAAAAACGTGGTTGTTTGCAAAATAACCATTTATATTGTTAATACTGTAAATAATTAAGGCTTCAGAAACATCTAATTTCTGTTGCTAGAAAGTCTAAGTAACATTAATAAAAATCTTTATGTTGTGAGCTAAACACTGCTTAGCCGTTAATCGTTTTTTTTTTTTTTTTTCGAATTCCCAAAAAATCACTTTCTAGTAAACAGCAAGTTTTGCAAGTAATGGCCTCAAATGTACTCTTCTTTTTAAATGTGTTGTTCTTGCGAAATTGATGAGAACATATCAAACCTGATTTCTGTTATGAATGTTGTAACGACCGATATTGTATAAACATCTAGTACACACATTTAATTTTTTTTTTTTTTTCCCAAGGTCAGGTTAGCTCTTATGTCCGGAGAGAAGGTGTAGGTAGGTCAAATTGCAACACAAAAACACTACGTTAGTACGTTCAAAATTTACAAACACCAATTAGATTAACAAGAAATTAAATAATTTATGATCATTGACGCCCACCCCTATAATTTCAACTCACAGGGGACGAGGAATAAAAAAACTTAAAATTCAGATAATTAAAAAAGAAACACGTAAAAAATTCTAAATTAATTCCCCAAAAGATACTAACATAATTCCATCATATTGTGACTTTACTACTAAACAAAACAACTTCAATATCGTATTATAATCAAGAATGGTGGTATTTTAAAAAATAAATGAAAAACTATATTTCTTTCCCAAATTTCGAAATTTTGTTTTACATTTAAAGCATTTTAGTAGTTAAATTAGAGAGGCACTATTCTGTATGCGCGTTCTATTAACAAAAAAGATTTGTGAATTCCGAAAGAATGTTTATATTTGTTTCATTCGACTTCGAGAAGGCGTCGACAGAGTCCAACACAATACACTTGTTCGCGACTGCTACGGGCAGCAGTACTTGACCACTATGATTATAAGACTGCTGAAATACTTATATTACAATCAAGTAGCCTCTATCCAAATTGGAGACAGTCCCACTGAAAAAATACCCATCATACGTGGAGTAGCGGCAGGGTTGTGTTTTGTCACCCACTCTTTTTAATCTGTACTCTTGAAGAAATCTTTAGGGAGGCTTGGATGATAGACAAGAGGGAGTAAGACTAGGTGGAGAAGTAATCAACAATATTAGATACGCTGAACGATACAGACCATTCTTGCAGAAAGTTTACAAGATCTCCAAACATTCCTAAATCTAGTCAGTGAAGGAAGTTATCGAGAGCGAGGCCTAAAAATCAAACATTTCAAAGACAAAGTGGATGGCAGTTGGAAAGATCCTATATAGATCAAGGTCTGCTTTTCTCTTAAAGGAGAAGGAGATAGAAAGGGTAAATCATTTCAAATACCTTGGCAGCTGGTTAAATCTGTAAATTGTGACTCTGATGAAGAGATAATAATCCAGGATCGAAATATCACGTAAGGCTTTTATGACCAGGAAACCAGTTTATGCAACAGAAACCTGTCAATGAGACATTCGTAAGAAGGTCCTGAAATGTTATGTGTGGTCGATCCTATTGTATGGTTGTGAGACATGGACGTTAAAAACCACAATGCTAGAACAAGTTAGAAGCATTCGAAATGTGGTGGCTAATAGACGAATCCTAAAGATATCGTGGGATTTCGCACACTTCCCAATGAAGATGTTCTTCAAATGATCAACTCAGAACGTCTGCTCATAAACACCATAAAGAGGAGAAAAAACAGAATACTTCGGCCATATAATTAGAGGACCTAAATCCCATTTTACTTCGCCTTATAATACAAGGAAAAGTGGAAGGAAAGAGATGGATTGGTCGAAAGAAACTTTCATGGCTGCGTAATATTAGACAATGGTGTGGATTCACAGTAGAAGAATTATTTCGCGCAGCAGCCGACCAGAGAAAGGTTTCAGGAAATTGTAAACATGATGACGGCCAACGTCTGAATACGGACACGGCACCCAAGAAGAAGGAAGTAGTAAATTAGTAACTAAACGTAATAAGTTCAAAACTTTTAAACACAAACTTAAATATTCACCTATATTCCTTGACACTGTGAAATCCATAAATAATTTCTACAAGCGTTTCCTGTGATAGGGCTTAAATAAAAAAAAAAGGTACAATCTTATTTAGTCCAATCTCTGGGAACCAGGAAAAAGGGATGATATACTCATGCTTCTGCCTCATCCCCGTTGGATATTTCTATCAAATATTTTACAACTAGGAATCCAATATATATTAACAGAAGTAATTATGGAAAACCATATTATAGGGAAGTATTGGACCATAGGAAACAGTCTCAGCTAATTCAAAATAAAAAAAAAAAAATATAACCATAATCACTGAACTTTAACAACCTCCCGGAAAGAGTCTCTTCTAACCTAGAGACCTCACTTCATTCAAAAACACGTTCCTATCAGGTGGAGCCGTTTGTAACAGGAAAAGGTACAGTGGACGCTATTTCAACGGTTTCTGAATTGGGGGCGAGATTGAATAAGTTAATATTCGTTCTCTCATGCCTATCGGATATTGTTGAGAATTACCCGTGAGAAAAAACCTTGAGTCGAATACAAGCACCGCCGGCGGCAGATAGGAGGGCGTGTATAGTAGTTTTATAAATAAAAAAAGAATAATCAAAATTATAATGCAATTTTCCATTAAAGCTTTTGAAACGTGTTACAATGTCGACCAAATATGTACAAAATAACTCGTCTGGTATACACAATATATAATTAGATATAAACTAAAAATATAATTTAATATCGGTTTAGAAAATGCACGCAATTTAATAAAAAGAATCGCATATTATATTATAGTTCATTTTTGTTTATAGGTGTTACCGGGGTACTGTTATTCATCATAATGTGCATAATAATAGTATTCGCTCATCCAACAATAAGAAAAAAAGCATACAAATTCTTTTGGTTTACTCATAGCTTGTACATTGTATTCTACATATTATGTTTAATTCACGGCTTAGCCAGACTTACTGGAGCACCAAGATTTTGGCTATTTTTCCTTGTTCCTGGTATAATATTTACCCTTGATAAGGTAAGATGCAACTAATTATCTATTATTTCTTTTAATACTACAATTTTTTGTAGGTGGTGAGCTTACGGACACGGTATATTCCGCTGGATGTCTTAGAAACTGAATTATTAATTATAAATAAAATACCCTCGGACGTGATCAAGATTAAATTCTACAGACCGCCCAATTTAAAATATCTCTCAGGGCAATGGGTGAGATCTGGCATGTACGGCATTCAACTACGAATTTCATTCCTTTACACTAACATCTGCACCTCATGAAAACTTTTTATCCTGTCATATTAAAGCTCAAGGTAAACAAAATGAATCTACTAGAAATTTGAAAAAAATGTTTTTTATGAATTAAATTGAAGCCACATTAATGTTTAGGCCAATGTTAGAATTTTTAGATAGAAAAACATTTGAAAAATCGAAAAGTAAACATCATCATTATATATTACAAATAAATCACAGTAGAGCAAAAGAGGCGCCTTAGTATTCTGCATATTGCTGCAAAACATTATTACGCAAACCAGTTCTTCAATCTTCTTAATTCTTGTTTACAGCTTGTTACCTTTTCACCTCTGTGTTATGGATTTTGTGTTAAGATTAAAAACAGTACCTTAACTTTAGTGACATCTAAAATAGAACGAAGAAGCCCGGAAATGGAAAGATGGAGGCAGACATGGACAGCCTACAAACACCTTGTCCTATTGTTTGTATTATGATGCAATTATATTAGTTTTTGTCTTTAAATAAATAGTCTATACAAGAAACTATTCGTCCATTTTCAAGAAAAGAAAAAAGTCCACTCTGTTATCTTGCTGTTTTTTTGCTGTCGTGTTTCAAAGGTCTATTTTCATTTAGGTTCTTTTTCTAATTGTTTTTTTATTTTTCAGATTGTGGTAATATTGGCCTTACTTTGTTTTTTTCTTTGAGAGCTTAAGTTGTCCGAGCCTGTCTAGCAATACTTAATTTTAAAAAAAAAGGCACTTTACACAGTGTCTTTGCGCCCTATGCTCTAGGTGCTAGACCAAAGCTAACATGCTTGTGTTAGTGTCCAAAGATATTCGCGATTATTGTTATGTTTGCTTGCTAATTCTAGTAAGCATTTTTTCTATCGCCCAGCCTACTCTAAATTGCCCAGCTGCCTTTCTAGGAACAATTAACATAACCACTAGTTAAAAAACTTTTCACCGGGATCTAACCATGGAAAGGTAATTTTTTTTTTTTTGTGTTTTAGAATGCGGAGCAGAATGAAGGAAGAACTTTTAGTTCGAAATTTTTCGAAAAAAAAACTTTCTCGAAAAACACATCAAAAAAAGTGGCCTTCAAGTTATCAAAAGTTTGCCAATGGCAACTCGCGCTAAACGAGAAGTATAATATATTTAAATCTAAAACTGGAGTTTCACTTAAATCTTCTCTTTTTTAGTTCGCTAATAAAATATTATATAATTGCGAATTATACTTTGTAAATTGTCAATGTGTTATCAAATAGTTATGTCTATTTCCCATGATATCTATAAATCTTGCTACTTGCTTTGTTATTTTTTCTTATTGATAAATTTCGATTTTAATCTCGTAGTGTGGGTAATTTAGAATGTTGTCCTACATTTGGTTTTTTTCTGCTGAATATTATCATAATGTAATTTCTTGTTCTGTTTGTATTTGAAGCATGTTGGGATTAATCTTTGGAGCTCGTCTTCTGTCTCGGCAATTAATACGGCGTCGTCTGCAATAACATAATATTTGGATTTGTTTGAGTTCCCCATTCTGTAAACCATGACCTTTAAGTTACTGGATGTATAATTTCGTCCATGTATTATAATGTACCTGGGCGGCTGCATAAACCTGCGAAAATGTGTTAACTTAAAAAACAACGACAACACGGACTTCAGGGCCAGCAGTAAACACAAGTCAGAATAGGCCAAGGTAAGTGTCCAACTGGTCCAACATCCGTTAACGGGTACTTCCGATAAATCCGTAACTGGGACGAGCCTTTTAATATATCAGTAATGTACTGTGTAAAACGTAATGCGTGGATGGTAGATTATACTTACTAAAAGTTTGCATTGAACTTGGTCGTTTGGTAGTAAAGGAGGTTTTACATAGTTTATTTATTATTAATTATTAAATTTCTCTAGGTACCTTTGGACATGGAAACTAAGAAACTATTTCGATCCTTGTAACTACAACCCCGAAGATCAACCAAAGATTTTACTCGAAGGCCCCCTTTGGAGGAGGGAATCAAGACTGGTATAAATTTGAAGTGGCTGTTATGGTCGGAGGTGGTATTGGAGTTACCCCGTACGCTTCTATTCTTAACGATCTAGTTTTTGGAACGTCTACCAACAGATACCCTGGCCGTAGCTTTGTAAACCAAGGTATATATTTTTACGCTAAGTATTTGTAAACTTACTAGAGCCACTATCCAAGATTCCCATCAAAGGACAAAAGTAGTATTAGGAAAAAGGATATAAAAAATGGAGTCGTAAAGAATGAAGAATGCAGTGAAAAAATTACGCTTATGAAGGAGATATACAATAAGGAGAAGGAGAAATAAAAAAAGAGATGGAGAGAAGCAATAAAAATTAAATCAAGATTGTTTATCTCTATAACTATAATTGTTTTATCGATTTTAGGTATATTTTCTTTGGATATGTCCTTCTCATAAACACTTTGAATGGTTCATAGATGTGTTAAGAGATGTAGAAAAGAAAGACGTTACCAATGTGCTCGAAATTCATATTTTCAAGTACGCACATTTTTCCTCCACAAGTTCGATCTAAGAACAACAATGTTGTACATATGTGAAAACCACTTCCAAAGACTTTCGAAAACATCTATTTTTACGGGATTGAAAGCTGTTAATCATTTTGGGCGACCAGATATGACATCTTTCTTAAAATTCGTACAGAAACGTCATAGTTATGTAAGTATATTTAAATCTCTTTTAGTTAAAAAAAAACACCAAAACAAAAATGTTTTATTACTTTGTCATATGGCAATGAGTATGGTGAAAGGGCTGGCAAAGTGGCCATGCTAAGACTAATTTTTTTTATACTTGAAGAAAATAATATAAGAAATATCCTAATATACAATGCTACATAAGGCAATTTTAATTTTGTAGGGGAAAGGTAGGTAAAGTGGAATAAATTACCGATTCAAGCTTGTAATCCCGGTAGAAGTATTCATCTTAAAAGTTTGAGTTTATGGAAGAAGCCACTTACGTTATAGCCCTACGTAGTACTGTTAAGACATTAAACTAATATATCACCCACTATCGGAGAAAAACGTCAAAAGTAAAAGTGGTGTAATATTCCACTTAACCCGCCATATTGGAGGTAAAGCGGAATACAAAACTTAAAAAGGATTAATATTATTTATTCAACTAAGCAATATAAACAGGAGCATCCAGTAACATATGAAAAACCCTCGTCTTAACAGTGTTTTGTTCATTAATAATCATTTTAATGTCCTTAATGTTGTAATCTAATACATCATCTTTATTAGGCCATTTTAAAATATTTTTGCGTCCTTTCCATACACATTTAAACAGACGCTGATTCACCTGATTTTGAAATTACTAAACCGGGAAATGTTTGTCCGTTGTAACTCTACAGCTCATATAACCCTTCCTAATATCTTCTGTTTTTATGGGTAGGAATTTGAAAGGTAGGTCCACAACTCTGAACCGCTGTCGGTGTCACTATAAATGCTGATGTTTGCATCATCTTCTCTTCGTCGCTGTCGCTTTGAAAATAGTTGCTTCGTAACTTTTCTAGGTCTGGTTTGGATTTTTATTGGGGTCGGAGCCCTTCAAATTCTTAAACTCTTCAATAAAAGGGGTAGAAGTTGCTACTACCAGTTTTTTTTCCTAGATCGAGCCCCTTTTCTTCGTTGATTTCGTATATTAATTTGAAGCGACCCGGGGGATAGGTAAAATATTCGCAGGACTAACAAATAGTCTTATGGAGGAGAAATGTCAATTTGACACTGGGAGTGGACGCTGATGGCAGGTTAGGATGTAGCGAGTAAGAGGCCCAGGACGATCATTTGTATCTGCAGCACGAAAACGTTTGGATCAGGTCTCTCAAACGGCCAAATACCCGTCTTCTATAAATCCTGAGATAGCTGTTGCCATACTAGCTGCCTTCACGTAAGCTTCTCCGAAGAGAAGGACCGACATCATGAGAATCGTCACAACTTCCTCCCCGGTGGCGTTCGCAGCCAAACTCGCACTTGCCTGTTCATAAGAAGGTCGACACATGGGATACATAAATGATACGTCCCAGTGGCTGAAGTCGATGTGTGCAATGTTGGTGGTAGGCACCAGGATGTCTACAAAGTTTTTTCTTAGCAAGCTCTAAGACTTCAATGTTTTTTATTGTGGTTGAATGGCCATCTAAATTAAGTAAAACCCTGTCCTCCGGAGGTAGGCTTCGCAAAATTTAATAAAATGGTGTGAAACCAAGCCGTAAAGATTTCGGTCTGCAATCCATCCAGAAGCATGCGTGAAAATTTTGGTAATTCAGGAGGAAATCTCCAATGTCGAATGTCAAGGTGATGTTCTCACCCGAGGAAAAATAAGAGCAAGTGACGGGATGTATTTCCCCCCCTTCAGCGTTGAAGCAAATTTCTGCAGTTGTAAGCGATACCTCTTTTCAGCTGATGATAAAACGCCTACGATCCTGCTTTTTCCCCTTTCCCTTTTTATAAAATAAATCTTTGAAGGCTTATTTGGGCACGGAGTAGAGATTTACCGGTTTCGCTACCATCACATATATAGATGCGGGTTATAGGTTTTGTAAGTTGTGTTTTTGGTATAGAGACTTCTCAATAAATCAAAGAACTTTCGGATAACTAAACTGCCGTTAAATGCTGACGCCCCGGCGCGCTGACGTTTTATTTCTGGAAGGCGAGAGCGAAAGAACTTGGGTGCCCGTTTCATGGAAGACCAAGCAAACCAAACTGTTTAAAACCAGCTTCTTTTCTTCTTCTCTCATTATTGAATCTATGTTCAAAGTTTATTTCGTATGGCAAACTCGTAGGTAAGATATTTTAAGTCAGTAAAAAGTTAGCCCAAACCGGCGTACTATCGTCTTACTTATGCCATTTTTAAGAACTATAGTCTAAACATCTTACCAACAACCTCCTCTTGATCTACCGTGAACACACGCAAACGGACTCGTTTCAAGTTGAGCTTCACTAAAAAACGTTCTTTTGGTGGTCGGCTTTTAATCATTCTAAAAAAAGAGTTGTCGATGGAATGTTATCTTGTTTTGCAGAAGAAATGAATCGATAAAACCACCTTGTACATGTCAGTTTAGAAGCCTCAGCCATTGCCTTCTCGTCCCAACTCTTGCTGCGAAGTCTTTCCGTTTGGTAAAAAATTTAGGCAATGCTAAAAAAATGTTGTTCCCATAATAAACATATGTATAAAACTTATTAGGAGGTAAAGTGGAACGTCCATTCCGCTTTAAACCACCAAACCCGCATCAACATTTATTTTCAGATACAAACACGAATAGCTACTAACCAAACGTGCTAATAAGTTAAAGAAATGAGTTATTTATGAGGTCCACAAACGAACCATTTATTAAAATATACAAAAGAATAATAAATACGGTTAGAAAAACCATTACCTGTTGCTGATAGGAAATTCGCCGTCCTTAAAGTCAACCAAATATTTACAATCTATTTGTAAACAAACAATGAATCTTGTTTAAACTCAACAGTGAACATATCAATGGAAAGTGCGCCATATTGACGTAAATATTGGCCAAATGTCCAAAAGGATATATTGTGGGTGTAGGAGTTACACACAAAAACCGCCAATTTTGAAATTAAATTTGAAAGCTTATTTTTCCGCTTTAATAAAAAAAAATACATAAACCCACCCATTCCACATTAACCTACCTCTTCCACTACCTTAAATCCTCGGTACATTTTTTAGACAATGGTATGTTTATACTATAAACCCCCCATCGAGCAAAAAGACAAAAGAGGGAATGTTAAAGGTGTGGAGGCAAAAATATTGTTAGACAGGAAGTGAGATCTTTAGATGGCCACATTAAAACAAGGAAAGAGAGTCTCTCTCCTTGTATGACATCAAATTTAGTTGGGTTATGTTATTGTTTGTCCCATTGCCCAATGTCACATGAAATCTTATTTATTATATTGAAGTTTTTTAACAATGTGTTCAGATTTTAGATGTTATTGTTAATAATTATTTAAAGTTCTCATCTAAAAACACATTCTAAAAACTTATTTATAGCTACTGTTAATAGTGTCTAAAAATTTAAATTTTGTGCATTCGATTTCCGGAAATGTCCGGCATTAGAGGCCACTTTTGTTGGTCTCCTTTTCATAATGATTAGATTCCCTCTTTTGTCTTTTTGCTCGATGGTTATAACCCTACCCCTACCATAATGGCGCGACTATGCCCAGCGGGGTGCGTGGGTTAGGGGCAAATTATGGCAATGAGGTAGCCACCTTTGTAGTCCGATGTAAAAGATCAAAATGTTAAACTGATTTTGTTATATCTAAATGAAAGGTGTTTTTTCAAAAATAAAAAACATGATTGCATCGTAGAAAAAGAAAGTTTCACACCAAGGTTATTTACAAACGCCATAAATAAAGACATTATCTTATACTTCTTCATACTCTGTCTCAAGCTTTCATGTTGCCCAATCGTAAAACAGCCCGAGAATACTTCATCCATCCTTTTTCATTTTTCCTTGACTATGTTAAAATGTATCTGGACCGGGTGTGTTAAATAATAAACCACAGTATAAGAAATACATAACCGACTTTAATGATCACTTCCAAAACGTAATGCAAATAAAAATATATATTAAATAGCGGTCATCGTCGCGTCCCTGGTCGTACCCTGAGTGTTTTTTTCAAGCCATGATTGTGACGTAAACCGCACTGCAGGGTTTGCCAATACAATCACACTCCACCCTCCTGGGAAGAAATCTACTCATCATAGTCCCTCCAAATACCTTGGCGGTTTTCTTATTCGGAGCAGGTGGCTATTTTAACCTCAGCGGCGTGTGCTCTACAATTTTCTGGTTCTTTGGTCCACAAATTCGTGGGGATGCAGAAACAAACGGTTGCGGAGGCAACGAGTAATTTTTTTTCTCCAGCGAGGTTGACGGTGTAACTTCGTCTGTTGTTTCTGTTTTCTTGGTCAGACACTACGGGGTTCCTGATTTGGGCGACAGAATGACAGACGTAAAAGATTTTATAACCAATCGGGGGGTTTTGAACTATGTAGCTTAACGGTCCCGAGTGGTTTTTCAATTAATTTGGAAGGAAGCCACTTTTGACCTACCTGGAGCAAATGAACCTTTGCCAAATACAGAGTGTCGTTTTCCTTGAAAAAACATCCTGGGTGACTGTTTTGCCAAGAATCGTTCATCTTCATCTTGCTTTTAGATAGCATCTCATTTATCTACTAAGTTCGGGCTGTAAAAACGATCAAATAATGAGCCCAATTTTCTCCCCATTAAATATATCTCTGGATGGGGCAATCTCCCCAGTTGTGTGCAATGGGGCGTAATGAGCTGAGTAAAGGAGAATATCTGGTGCAATGCTAACTGTATTTTAGTTTCTTCATTACGATCATGTCATTTTTATAAGTGTCATGTTGTTCTACAATTGTTGTACCAATGCGTTTCCGCTTGCTCCATTACCTACATGGATTGGTATGGTGCAACCAATGCTTGTCTAATAAAGGTTTGTTTCTTGTAAAAAAATCTTGAAACTCAGCTGACGTAAAACAAGTCTCCTATCAGATACGACGACATCTGGGATGCCGTGAGTGGCAAATAAACCACGTAATGCATCTATAGTCAAACACTAGAGGTATTTGGAACGATTTTAACCTCCAGCCACTTACGAGTACGAGTCTATGATAATCAGAAACAATTTTGCCTTTAAAATGGACCGGGCAAAATCGAGGTGTATTCTTGTCCAATGGAGCTCTGGCCACCACTCCCACGGATGGATTGGAGCCTTTTTTTTGGCATGTTTCTAGACTCCTGCACTCGCTGGCATATATTTACTAGCTGTTCGATTTGTTTGTCGAGGATTTGGCCACCAAAACATATGAGCGTGCCAGTGACTTCATTTATTACGATTCCGGGTGTGCTGAGTGTAGCAAATTCAGTATTGTATTTCCTCCCTCCTAGTGGAACTATTACCCTTGTACCCCATAACAGGCAGTCTTGATAACACTAATTTCGTTTTTTACGTAGTAGATTAAGGAGTATATATGTCTGAAATTTAATTTCTCATCAGGCCAACCTTCTTCCAAGCCCACTGCAAAACTTTAGATAACACTGGGTCTTTCTTAGTCACATTAGCAATGTCTTTGGCACAGATTAGTTTTTTCTTGAGATGTGTCTCAAGCATCAAAACGTCATCTGAAGCTTGGTGGTTTCTGGGCGCATGTACCATTTGTGGCAATCTGCTAAGGAGCATTCTGCATTCTGAATTTTTGAACCTGGTACGTAACATAATTCATAATCATAACAGATAACATAAGAGCCCATCTAAGCATTCTGGGTGACAGTATCTCTGGAACACCCTTTTTCGGATTAAAAATACCCAACAATGGTTTTTATGGTCCCGTTCTTATGCCTATTTTCCTCGCCATATACATATTCGATGGGAAATTTTTAAATGCCGGAATATTATGGCCAGTGGCCTTCCATGTCGATTTGGGAGAAATTTCGTTCAGTAGATGATATAGTATACGACTATGGTGTACGCCACTGGATAATTCACGTCCCTCATCATCACGTTGACTAAGCACAGCACACCAACCTACCCCGTAAGGGCTGGCATCACACGTCAAAAATAAACTCTTTTTAGTTCATTGTAATGCCCTAACACAGGTTCTTTCGCTAAAATTTCTTTTTAGTAAATCGAAAGCTTTTTGTTACTATAAAACGCCACTGCCAGGGAATCGTCTTTTTCGGAGCAGTGCATGTAACGGATTCGCAATTGTTGCTTTGTCCTTTAGAAAAAACATGATAAAATTTAACAGTCAAGAAAGAGCTTGCAACTCGGTTTATATTGGTTTGGCGCAGGCGCATTAGTTAGGGCCGCGATTTTGTCTTTATGGGGCGTAAACCGTCTATCAACTAATTGAAAACCGAGAAACTCTATAGTTTTTGTTCGAAAAACGCACTTTTTCTTTGCGCAAATGCAGTCCGTCTCCCTGGAAAACGCGATACTAATACCCGCGCGCACTTTTGAATCCAAGTCGGTTTCTGACTAGTACCAACTATTAAAATGTCATCGTAATAAGGTAGTACAACCAGGAATACCCGTATAAATCGAGTGTCTAATGAATTTTTGAAAAATTTGAGTGGAGCCACTGATATACCGAACTGTAAACGATTGCATTATAAAAGCTCCTTTATTGCGTAATTATTGTTTGTGCTACAGCCGCTTCGCGGTGACACTTAACTGCAGATAAGCTTTGCGCCATGTCCAGTTTTGCAAAAACTTTACCGCCCGCAAGTGTGGATAAGATACCCTGTACGATGGCACTGAATAAGGTCCGGATTTTTAAACGCTAAATTCAATGTGGATTTGTAGTCACCACAAATCCTAACCTCACCAGTTTTCCTTTGCAAACAGTCACAAATTGGTGGTGCAACCATTTTGGGTGCGTAATCGGCTCTAAAACCCCTTTTCGCAATAAGCCTGTCCAGTTCAAAACTTCGATTTTATCTTTTAGGGCGCAAATGGAACTTTACGAGCATTTCACAATAACCGGCTTTAAACATTTTTGTCCAACGAAAAACTTACTGGGGGACCCAGGTAAGACCCCAAATCTGTAATTAAATACATCTGGGTATTCTTCTGTATAATTTATCATTGATAAATTTGACATTACCCCAGCTATGGTTAAACCTAAACTATCAAACCAGTTTTCTCTGCCGAGTAGAACTGGTACGATTTCCTTCGTGACTATTGAGAGGAAGTGTCGCTGATCTTGGACCCCTCTTCACCTCCACTTGACACTTACCCAGTGTGGGGTTATCACTGTGTTTTGATAGTCCCTTAAAATAACACTGGATTTATCTATTTTTAGGTCGATTTTCACTAAAGATTTCATGTAGGTTGATTTGCTTATACACTGAATAACTCGCGCCCGAGTCAACCTCCATTTTTACCTTTTGGTCATTGAGTAGCACATCTACTAAATATTTACCGGTAATGCTATCAGACGTCACGTTATTTAACGTAAATTCATAGTCACTACTTATGATAAAAAAACACTACTGAGTATTCCCCGAAACCCGGCTCGGTATTGGACGTAGATTCCACGGTAGTCTGATGTACTTTGCGTTTGTAATTTTGGTCTTCTTTTTTGCAAAACAAGCTATTTCGATGTGTCCAACTTTCCTGCAATTAGCACAGGTTGGATTTAAGGTGTTCACAAGTTTCTGGAGAATGTTTCTTTTTCGCACCGAAAACATTGCTTCCTTTCGCGATTAGCTAATTGTTTGAACTGGCCCGGTGATTTTTACGAAAACTTACCGCGTTTACATCTGCGCTCGACTCAAGTTTCTCGTTGAACTGCCAAACTTTCCACGGCCACCTCGTGTGCAAGGCATAGGTCTTGCGCGTCCTTAAGTTTTAACTTATCTGTGGCTAGCAACTTTTGCTGTAGCGATTCGTCGGTAATACCACAAACGAGTCGGTCACGTAGCATTATGTCAAGGCTAGTTCCGAACACCACAGGGTTTCTGCAATTTTCGTAATTCCTTCAATACACAGATATTGTTTTCACCAGTCTGATTGATTCCGACGATAGAACTTAAAACCTGCACACAATTTCCGACGTTTTGTGGAGAAAAATGCTTTTTTAATTCAACTATGATTTGGTCATAAGTTTTATCAGACACTTTGGACGGCGCGACCAAAGATCTAATAATCTCATATGTATTGGGACCACACAACTTTAAAATGTAGCTTTTTTTCCTATCAGGGTCTGTAATGTTATTTGCCAAAAGAAAAAATCCATACGCTCGACGTATGATTCCCAACCTTTGGATGTCACCCACGTTAAACTGTTCGATGTTTCCGTAATGCCGCCATCCTGCACCCACTTTGCTTTATTTATCACGGGACGAAATAATGCAGCACTAAACTGGCACACACACGGATCCCATCCTCGTCGCCAAATAATATGTATCGGACCGGGTGTAAAATAATAAACACAGTATAGGAAATACTACCGACTTAATGATCCACTCCAAAACGTAATGCAAATAATAATATATATTAAATAGGTCATCGTCGCGTCTGTCTTCCTGAGTGTTTTTTCAGCTGATTTGTGACGTAAACCGCGCTGCAGGGTTGCCAAAAAAAAAATTTACCAATCACAACTTGGAATATAAGTTCCCCGCAGAAAAGGTAATCCAGTAATCATTCACGTCACTGTTCGGGTCATTAAATAAAGTACGCTTCGCTGAGTTTGATTTGGTTTTCTGCTTTCCTTTAAATTTTTCTTTGCTTTCTTCATTCCTCTTGTTACTCTGCTTTCATTTTTTTTTAGTTCCAGCTTTATTTTTTTAAGTCTTTCCTTTTCTTATTTTTCTGCTTTTGCGGCTACTAGTTCCATCTTGAAAGGGCTTGAGGTCTCAAACTGCGCTGTTCCACGTTTTTCGCTTAATTTTCTCGTTTGATATTTGCTTTAGGGATTGGAACAATATCCTGTAGGCTTACAGCAAAGTTATAGTGCCCCTTACCGTTTGGAGATGTTGATGAAATCACATGAAGTACTGAAATAAGGCAGTGGACTAGGCTGGAATGTTGAAGTACTTGGCTTTGACGAGTCTTTAGAGATTATAACGGATGTAGAGTTTGCATCTCCAGATCCTACAGTGACATTTGGTCTGTGGTCATTGAAAACATAGGAACTGAGGGGTTGGATGCAGAAGTTACTGGTAGGAAATCTATCTCTCCAGAAGGCGGGTTCTCTTTACTTTAAGGTGGTTGTCTCATGACGGTCGGAGGAATATTTTGTTGCGAATCTGCCAAGTTTTCTCTTGATAATCAACACCCAGTTCTTGATTTTCAGCTTCTTGAATAGAGATAGAATCTTGCACGGAAATTTCTGTGGTTATAGCTGCAGCAAAATCCGCATCAGCAAACTTCTGACTGTTTATAGATACTATGCCACATTTTCCAAACCCCTTTACCTCAATAGTTGCAGTAGCTGTCATTGCTTTTAATCGTTATTTAAATACAGTGCTTCTAGAATGTCGATATGACATTCCTTCGATATCAGTCACCAAAGCCCCCATTGTCGTATTACAAATTAATAAAAAAGATAATGGTAATAATAGGAAAAGTTGTAAATTATGAGTGGCAGTCATTTCGCTCCTAAAAATGAACCAATCCATATTTTCACATGAAACAAAAAACATAATAATTAGAAGACATGATTGCAACGAAAAACAAGGTTTTACGAAAATCCGCTAACGGAATTACTCCACAGGATGTTTCAAAAGATAAAAAACCACCTTTTGATTAACCCCGTATAATAAGTCAAATACAAAATTTTATTAAAAAACTCACTATACAAAATTAATTTATAAATTTTTTACAGAGCGTGCCAAAAAATCATCAAAATAGGGCTAAAATAAAAAAACTGAGATACTTTGAATTTGACCAAAATATTATCTGTTGTGTTTTTTTGCATCTGAGTGTATATTTTACTTTAATTATGTTGCTTTATACCACTCGTAATAGGAACTCATACAAATAATTATTATTGATTCTGCTTTAGGTAAGCAAAATTGGCGTATTCAGCTGTGGGCCCAGACCTTTAACCAAGAGTGTGATGTCCGCTTGTGATGAAGTAAACATAGGAAGAAAATTACCATACTTTATTCATCATTTTGAAAACTTCGGATGAATCATTTATTTTAATTAATTGCATGTAAATATTGTGTATGTGTAATTGTTTTATTTATTCAATAAATTATTTTTTATTATTCATTTACTAAAAACCATCAGTATATAAAAAGCTATTGCTGTGTCAAAGACGTGGTGCATTGCATGTTTTTTGTTTTGTCTTAAAGTTAATGAAGCAATCTTGGACAATACAAATATAACATATAATAAGAAAGAGGAAACTAGCAGGAGCTAATTCAAGAACAGAAGCTTGGACACATTTTTTAAATATAGATCAAAGAATGAAAATATTTGATTGTTAGATGACTAGGAAAACATACAGCAAGCATATAGATCACATACATTATAAATGCTAAATCTTACCCAACACATTGACGACAGCTACAAAAGACAACAGGTATTCAGGGAAATTTTTAGATCTCACTGCTGCTTACAGTACTGCAAATCACAAGAGACTTCTCCAAAAACTGTACATCCTCACATTAAGTTAAGACAGTAAACTTACTTGTCTTTTCCATATCTTCTAGCAAAACAGAAGATTTTTCGTATCTCTCGATGGTAAGAATAGTAGATGTAGAACACAAAAGAGTGATCTTGCTCAGAGCAGTGTAATTCAGTTCTTCCCACTAAATGTCCTGTTCATTGTAAGATTTAATTGTGTGGATTACATTAGTGACCTTGCTTCTCTATCTGATCAGTTCTATTCTTTTTCAATATCTCTTTGTTATACCTAGCATGCATCGCTCCATTGACCTTTGAGTTTATGTCATGATCAAATGCTTTTTTCTTCAGATGGAGTGGCAACTTTGACTTAAAATGGCACTGCATTTCTAGTAATGAAGTTGGTATAATTAGATGAATATAGAAAGTCATGCTACATAGCTTATGAGTTATTATTCTGATTACATAAAATTGCCGACACCCTACAACAGGAGCACTAATTGCATACAATATTAGCATAAGCTCGAACAAAGAATGGCAAACTAACGTCCAACAGAGACGAAATGCTAGAGAATAGTAGAAGACTTCTATAAAACACTATACTCAAAAAAATTGGACTTAAACCCGACAGAAACATACAGAACAAAAAATTATGAATCAAGGTTCAGAAGATATTCCCGACATTCAACGGTGAAATTTACCATGCTCTAAAGAAAATGAAAAAAAAACAAAGCACCAGGAGAAGATGGAGTAGTGGCGGATGCGCTAAAAATCGGAGGCTCTGTACTCATCAGGACAATCAAGCAGCTCTTCAATATATGCTTAGAAAACCAAGCAATAACCAGCTGAATGGAATAATTCTATAACGCTCCTCTGCTAAGAAAGGAGATCAAACAGACCTCGAAAACTATAGGCCACATCAGTCCCTTCTAAGTCACCTGTATAAATTATTTGCTCGAATTATCACTGCCAGAATTGAGAACAAACATAAGAAACACATGCCAACAAGAGAACAGGCAGGTTTCCGCCCTGGGTATGGTACAAATGACCATCTAACTTGTCTAAAGGCCCTAATTGAAAAAATATAGAGTACAAACGGCCACTAGTTCTAGTAATTTGTTGACTATAAAAAAGCCTTTGACACTAATCGAGATGGTAGCTATCTTAAGAAACTTTGAGAAACTGTAGAATCGACTACCGGATAATACCAGCATTATTCAACATATATATGCAAATGCGCACAACAGCAATAAAACCTCCACACCCCTACTCAAAAAATAAAACTAAAAAGGGGAGTTAGACCAAGGAGACACAACATGTCACCAAAAACTATTCAATGCCGTAATGCAGCATGCATTCCAGATGTTAGAATGGGAAAACAGAGGTTTGAGTGTACGATGGCGAAAGGCTGAACCACCTACGATTTGCAGATGACATAGTTCTAATACCGACCTAAAGGAAGCCAACGGAAATGCTACAAGATTTACAACGAGTCTCCCAAAAAGATAGGGCTGGAAATAAACTTTCGCGAAAACTAAAGATGATGACCAACTTAGTAACCTAGTGAGGACCATTGAAACTAGAAAACTGGGCATATTGAACGGTTGACAAATACATATATCTGGGCCACGAAATACAAATAAGTAGAGACAACCAAACATGCGAATTATCTAAAAGAATAGCTTTAGGATGGGCAGCTATGGCAAGCTAAAAGGACGTGTTTTAAGGAAAACATCCAATAAAGCTAAAGAGAAAAGCATTTAACCGGTGCTCACTTATGGAGCTGAACACTGACATTGACTAAAGCATCAATAAAAAAGTTACAAGTTGCACAACGAAAATGGAAAGATCTATGCTTGGCGTAACTTTGAGAGACGAATACGAAATGATGAGATACGGCGAATGAATGGAGTGGAAGACGTCATAAAACGGATTACGAAGTTGAAGTGGAAATGGTCAGGACACGTCGCAAGACAGAGAGACAACAGATGGACAAAGAAGATATTAGCATGGCGGCAAGGGCAGACAAGCGAATTCGTGTGGAAGACACCCTACCAGATGGACGGCCGGCATTAAAAGAATAGTGACAAACCTGGATCGCAGCTGCACAGGACAGAGAAGAGTGGAGACACTTGAGGAGGCCTATGTTCGACAGTGGACAAATTTGGCTGTGTGATGATGAGAACAAAGACGAAATATAAGTTCAGATAGGATGCTGCCCATCGAATATCTGAACAATAAACTATTTTGGAATGAACAATAAAATATAAAAGGGTACGATAATGTATTTATTCTAGAAATGTGAATTAAATAAATATTACACATTAAAATCACAAATATTTATATTTCATTCAGCTAGGTCGGCAATCTGGCATATCTCCTTCATCTTTTGGTTCAATTTTCTTAATTTCTTCATATAGAGATTTTTCAAATTCAAGTAACTCCTTGGCTTTTCATATACAATAATTAGAGTATTGAATTTATGTGTAAACGACACATTTGACTGATCTAACCTAATACCTAATCTTGCTAGGTCTGGTATAGGAAGCTTCTTAAAGTATTTTTTATTAGATGTTCTTACAACTAGGCACTGCTCATCTGGATCAACTGTAATTGAGTATACTTCTATAGGATAAGGTAAATTTCGAATTCTCCATTCTAAGATCTTTTTTGTGTTTCTTCTAGTTATACAAGGTTGTCCTGAACTTTCTTTAATACTGTATTCTTCTTTATTAAGAAAAGTTGGATCAGGATCTCCTATTTCTATATCCCATGCTTCTTCATTAGCCAATTTACCTGAGAATTAAAAAAATAGTAATTAGTGATCCTATTATGTAGAAAAGGCTTGTTTCTTAAGAGTATTTGCACACTATGATTTCATAAGAAACCTAAAACTATCAAAAATTGTAGTCCAGAAAAACATAACACTAGTAAATTAACAGCAAAAAGACCCTGACATTGCATTATTTGCTAAATAACGTATTTTTACCTTTAATTGTGGCTTATTCCCAGTTAAATAGTAATTAATTTAAAATGCCACAAGAAAATAGCTTCAGAACAATATTTGGCTAAATTGTTGAATGAGAAACTGATAAAATATTATAAGGAAATATTTTTAAATTAAATGTATTTTATACTTAGAATTTATATTAAAATATACTATTTTTAATGGGAATATGCCCACAATTGCAGTTTAATTTGAGGTTTGTTAAGGTTTCAATTTCCACTTCGGAAATTGTTCTCAAAATGCAAACATTAATAAATTGTTTATTAAAGTTTGTATATACATATTGTAGGACTTATAAAGTGAAAATTTAAACACCAATAAACTTATTTTAAACTTCACTTGTGACTTATTCCCAATGAAATAGTACTTAATTGCTTTAAAATGCCACAAGAAAATAGCTTCAGAACAATACATTAAAATATACACAAGTTTTGCTATTATTTATGGACATTTATTTGGCTATTTGTTTTAAATTGGGTGTACAAAATTAAAAATTATACCTAATCTTTTCCACGCTCGTCTAGTTAGAACACCCGTTTGTATATTATATTCCTCTACCATTACTTGTCCTTTATCTAATTCATAATGAACTTTCTTGAGATCTCTTTGTTTTATACATGTTTTTTTGGCCTTTTGTAATCGAATGAACCATTCGTTCATTTTGTAATTTTAAAAGTTTTATCAATTAAGCTTTTTTGTTTTTAAATGTGACATATTTATTTGGTTATATTTATTACTTCACAGCACACTCCCACCTAGCGGTGCCAGTCCCGTGTTAATGAGTGAAAATACGATTGGCGCATCGCCCATTGCCAGGGTGCGTAACTTTACATATACAAGCTCGTAAAATTTATTAAAGTAGAGAAAAATCAATATAAATCTTAAAATAACAAAAAAAAAAATATGTATTTTTAATATTAGTATATATTTTTCGTATACTATTTGGGTTTTCTTGTTATGTTGAGGTAAGATTTATTTTCCATTATAAAAAACAATTCCCTGATAAAAAATCTTAATGGAAGAGAGGAAGACTTTAGTTCCTTATGCCATGTTGTTCTATCTCTGTTTAGTTTATTTTTCTTTGGTATGCTTTTTTAGATGTCTTCTCTTCGCCTGTTCAGAACGTGGTTCGTTTTGTTGAGTGTCACTGTCACTTGTCTTTTGCTCGGAGAGTCCTTGGATCACTGTGTTATGTCTCGCTCTCACGAGCGGTTTTGGTCGGTGGATGTTGTTAGTAGTACCATTGTTCTGGTCATATACTAGATGTCTTCTTGTATCTGGTTGTTTTGCTGTCCTGTTTTAGACCTTCTGCCTCTTCAGGATGTTGTTCCGCAGGAACAACATCCAACTATAGTTACGCACCCTAGCACCAGACGATGCGCCAATTGTCGTTTTACTCTTTATCACAGGAATGGTACTGCTAGGCGGGAGTGTGCTGTGATTTACTCGTCTTGTCTTCCTTGTCTAAGTACTTCTATCTCAGACAAATGTCAAAGTTTATACATAAAACGCATAAAACCATAAATCGTAAATTCTGTGATGTGTGATATGTACTTCTATACTTAAAAATGATCTATGATGAAAATATCTTATAAAATTAGTAAAGATTGACTATTTAATTGCGTATAAGTATAATGTGATTACAACATTACAGTAACTTTTATTTAACAGATTACTTTTACAGAATAATACCACACCATACCCAATGCCAAACAAATTGTGCACCGTCAATGACGTCAACGCTTATAAATACGTAATTTTTAATGAAAAAATGGCCTGTGACCGCATGAAAAACGTGATAGTTTTAACCTTGAATTTTGAATAATATGATTACGAATACGAATTGATCTTAAAATTATGTTAAAAAAAACTCGATATAATTGCTGTAAAATGCGTATACAATTTATCATGTAATAGTCAATAGTTGCGTAAAGTTTACATCCCAGAACAAAATAACATCAAATAGAAGTAACTTTGCATGTATAAAATTACTCTCGTAAGTACAAATTCGTTCAGTATTCGGACATTCTTCAATATTGGTGCAATGAACATAACCTCGTTGATATGTTTGACGTTAAATGTAAGCTTAATATACGTCAGTGTTACCATATATTCAAATTATTTCCCACTCTCACATATAAAATTATTATGTTTTTTAAATACATATATATATTTCGTCAAAGTAATGTTAATAAAATAATAATAAAGTTATACCTATAATATATTATAAAATAAAATTATATCTTGCATTTCAACATTTAAAAATACTTATATAATAAAAACCATTAAAATTATGCTTAAAAATTAATAGTTTAGAAACTTTATAAACTACAGAATAAAGTAAAGTTAAATGAAAAAAAATTAGGTTAAACAAAAGTATTTTAGCTATATTTAAAATAAAAAATACTATTTTATGAATGCTTTTTAATATGAATTCAAAAATTGTGGCTGTGGCGTGTACATTTTTACATTTTACAGAAGTAAAACACTTCACATTTACCTAAGTATATACCTAAATACAAATGTGAAGCATTTTACTTCTGTATAAGTTTTTTAAAGCATATATAATTTCGTCAAAGTATCTATTTTTAAACACTCCTATACTTTATACAAAAAAAGTGGCAACACTGTGTCACACAAACATATAGCTGGATGCAGGTTTATGTTCATTGCACCAATATTGAAGGAAGTCCCAGTATTCTGTAAGATTTCAAAAATCAATAATGTCTAAACAAAAGTGTACAGAATTGTTAATAGTAGTGGGAATTAGCGGAGTCACTTGTGGTGGTAAAACAACAACAGCTAAAAAATTAAGAGCTTTATTACCAAAAGCTACAATTATTTCGCAAGATGATTATTTTTTGAATGAGAATGATCCTCGACACATTTGGATTCCGGAATTAAATCATGCTAATTGGGATGTTATAACTAGTTTGGATATGGAAAGGATGTACCGTGATATTTCCCTGCTTCTAAAGAATGATAGTTCTAGGAGAGTCATTCACAATTTCCAAAAAATAAGAAGACCAGTTCATGATATTAATTATATCTGTGATATTTTAAAAACAGCTAAGCTGAAAGTTATAATAGTTGAAGGTTTTTGTATATTTAATTACAAACCACTGCTGCAATTTTTTGATCTGAAGTATTACTTTACATTAACTAAAGAAGAGTGTTTTGAAAGAAGGGAGCTACGAACTTATGATCCACCAGATTGCCCCGGTTATTTTGATCTTTGTGCCTGGCCTGAACATCTTAATCAACTAGAAGAAGTACGAAAAACAGTAGATGGTATTAATTTTTGTAGTGGTAAAGAAGATGTTTTAGAAGATATTCTTAGGGATATTTTCTTTTTATATAGCAGCATTTAAAGTATTTTACTGTATTCCATGTACTTATTTTCTTAGAAAATTGTTTTTGTTGCTAAGCTTTTTTGATATAAAAGTTAATTGTATTAAATTAATAAAAAATGTAAAAATTTCCTTATGACAATTTTGGCCAAGCTTTTGTTTATTGTTATAAATATACTTATTTTTGTTAAAGTTTATTTTGTTTTAAATAGGCAGGGAATTGTAAATATATTGTATGAATTGTTATAAATGTGAATTTCTCTGAATGAACTCAGAATATGAATAAAAATAAAACTCTTACTTAAGGGAGCTGTCAGGCTGATCATTCCATAGATTCTTTAAGTTTTTGTTATTAAAATATTAGCCCATACCAGCACTTTTTGATAATGCATTAGGAAGTACTTTTTTCTATAATCTTTTCATCAAAACTATTCATTACGTCATAGATCAACATAGCTAGATCATTTAGTCAGTCATCTCAAATATAGCTACTTAAAAGGATTTTTATGTGCTTAAAATTCAGAAAACATTGTTCTGATTCTACTGTTAGATAGAAAAATATTCACTATATACCAAAATACCACCAAACAAAGTATTTCAGCCAAGGAGACTATATAATAATATATATAATACAATATTTTAAAAAATAGTGGTAATTACATTATTGTTAGACTATCAAGTTACAATAATGATAGGAAACTACTATTATTACATGAGTTATCACAATAATTTTAAAGCTTTCAAAAATAATAGGAAAATATTTTGGATTAAGAAAAGATAGTAAATTGATAGCAAAAATCCATTAAATATTTTCTAGAGTAAATTACTTCTATTTCCATTTTTAATTTGGCTTTACATAACATAGAATAAAAGGTATGACATTCAAAATATTAGAAAAGAAATTTCAGAAATGTTTCTAATATGCTTCTTTATTAAACAGTTCTGCTACTTATACATGACCTCAAGAAAAGCCTCCCTTTTGGTTTAGTTGAAGCTATTTTCACATATTGTTTGGCAAATATTTTTCATATCTTGTAATTTTTTTCTTTTAATATACTTAGCTTTTTTGCCTTAAGAGTAATTCTAGAAGCCGAATTAACCACTTTGTCAGCAAAGTTTCTAGAACTTCTTTATCTGTATTTTTCTGGAATCTCATGTTAAATTGCTGATTCAGAATTCGTACCTTCACTCTAGGACTCTAGAACAGATGTTCATGTGTCTATATGCTGATACAATTGTAATAATAAATGTAAAATGAAAATGAATTAAAAGCTTTAAAGCTAAAGATAGTTAATTTGTTTACAAGGTCGTTTAAAGAGGAATATGATAACTGTTTGAAACATAAAATGTATATAGATATACAACACAAAAAATACATTTGTAAATCAAGAAGGTATGTAGTAAAATATTTCTATTTATAGAATGTAGGACATTATTTATTAATAGATGGATGTAAACAAACCACAGGTAAGTCCTGTGTTTAAGATTTATTTTTATAACTAAAGTATAGAATATATTAACTAGAATTGTTGAGTGACCAAGCTTGTGGGACATTTAGGAAGTTACATTTTCTCAGTACTTTATTGCAATTATAATGTTCCAGCTGCTCCTGATTTGTTATATCCTATGATACCCACTCATCCTTAGATTCTACTTAAACTCTGTCAATGTAACTGATGTTCCTGCATTAGAATAAAACTATCACAGTTGTGACAAGTAATATAAACAGTTGTGACAGAATAAAAACAGAAACTATCACAGTTGCCTTAATTTAAGATAATATAAACAATTTTGTATATGAAGATGTAAAATGTTTTGGTCATCATTATCTAGTGAGCGTTTCTTAACCTTTTTCAGTCCCCACACCCCTAGAAAATCAAGCACAATTTCAAGGACCCCCTTAATAAAAACACAATTATCAGTGCTTCTTCTGATAATTCTTTATAAACTGTTTTTTTAAAATTCATCCAAAAACTTAAGGATAAGGAAGATTCTTTGAAATTACTTTTTAAAGCTGAATCACATGATATTTTTCCTGTACTTATCGTTGTCAAGCCAATGATATCAGAAATATCTGTGTTTGACAGGGTCTGCTACCCAGTTATATTTCTGCCAGGTTCTGGAAAATAATCTCGAAACGAAGACCTCAAACCGCGGAGGTGTGTAATTATTTCTTCTTCTACTTGCTTTGGCAACATTTCCCCACCAGAGGATTCAAAAAACTTTATCAGTGTAGGAAAATGATTATAGTTTTTTTTACTTGTATGATTAGTCAAAGGTCAAGTTTTTTTTATCATAGTTTCTATTTTATCTTCAGCTTGGAAGATGTTGTTATCTCTTCCTTGTAGATTTAAGTTCAGTTCGTTAAGGGACACTGAAGATATCAGCCAAATATGCCACCATTGTAAGCCATTTAAAGTTATTCATATTATCAGCATGTTTATTTGCGCTGCCTACGGAATTTTTCAAAAAAAATATTCTGGTTTCATCTCTGAGCTTAAAAACACGACTTTGCCACGAGACAGCCAACGGACCTCAGCATGCATTAATAACTGTTTGTGAATGCTTGCCATGGCTTCACAAATCATACCGAAAATACAGGAATTTAAGGGACCGGCTTTAATAAAATTCACGGCCTGCACTATTTCGTCTAACGCTGTTTTTAATTTTTCGGGCATTTTTTTAGCAGCTTATGTCTCTCTGTGAATACAACAATGATGCCAGATTATAGTTGGATTCATATTCTTCACGCGAGCCTGAAGTCCTGTTCGAATAAGTACCGGTCATAGCCCGAGCACCGTCCGCACTAACTGCCAGATATCTATCCCACGGTATTTCATGAATGGACATAAAATCGTTCAATACTTCAAATATGGCCTCACATGTAGTATGCGAAGGCAGACGCCTACAAAACAGAGAATCCTCAATTATGCCGTCGTTTTATTTGTAACGAACAAATAAAAGCAAGTTGGCGTCATTACTAATATCTGTACTCTCATCTAATTGCAAAGCATAAAATCTGCTCGCTTTAATATTCAAAATCACTTGCTCTTTAACATTTCCTGACATGTCATTAATTATATTTTTCTACTCTCTTACTAGTAAATTGTATATTACCTACTATTTGGATGCTAAGTAAATGCATCATAACAGATACTGACACGTAATGACTAGCACGTAATAAAAAAAATTACGCTTCAGTTTTATAAAAATGTGTAATATCACATAAGCCTTGTAAGTCAGTTGGTCGAGTTGCCATGGAAACGAATTAACAGACGTTATTTTGACAGATTAAAAATTATTAATCTGTCAGTGTAAATATAGTAGTAATTTAATTTTTATTTTTATAAACGAAAATAATGGTAGAAAAAGTATAGTACACAACTTGAGTTGTAAGCTTATTACATGCTTGTAAAATTACTGCGCTCGCCGCTACGCGGCTCGCGCGCAACTTTTTTACTCGCATGTAATAAGCTTCTTACAACTCTCGTTATGTAATATACTATTTTCTACTCTCTTACTAGTAAATTGTATATTACCAACTATTTGGATGCTAAGTAAATGCATCATAACAGATACTGACACGTAATGACTAGCACGTAATAAAAAAAATTACGCTTCAGTTTTATAAAAATGTGTAATATCACATAAGCCTCGTAAGTCAATTGGTCGAGTTACCATGGAAACGAATTAACAGACGTTATTTTGACAGATTAAAAATTATTAATCTGTCAGTGTAAATATAGTGGTAATTTAATTTTTATTTTTATAAACGAAAATAATGGTAGAAAAAGTATAGTACAAACTTGAGTTGTAAGCTTATTACATGCTTGTAAAATTACTGCGCTCGCCGCTACGCGGCTCGCGCGCAACTTTTTTACTCGCATGTAATAAGCTTCTTACAACTCTCGTTATGTTATTTACTATTATATTATATTTCTGATCTATGATTTCATGACTTATCTATAAATTTATTTACACTTCATTCAACGCAACACAGTGCAAAACAATGCGTGTAAACAAAACACAGGACTAATAAAATGAATGTAAACAATAATTTCAATCCTTAACTAAACATAACAGATTACGGGACTATGGACCATTGACTGGGCAATTCGAATGTATATAATGTTTAGTTTTGCAGCGTAGGGGTTTCGCCGTTCTGGGAAACTAAAAGTAAAGTTCGAGTAACCTTCTGGATAAGGTCTAGTGTTAGGTAAGACTACTAAGAAAAGTAAGGACTACTTTCGTAGCCGGGACTGACGGCTTTACGTGCCCTCTGAAGCATGGTGGCTAAATTAGGAATTAAAAATTTTGTTGGTGCCGGGATTTCGAACCCGGGCCCTCCAGCATGTGAAGCCAGTAACATAACCACTGAGCTACGACTGCCATTCTGGGAAACTGAAATCAACTCGTGAACGATCCTTTGCCGTTTTTTGCATTAATTTGACCGAGCAATGTGTCGCGATCACACAGTTCGTTTCGTAAGCACTAGACAGCGTCATTCATAGGGTCATTCGAACAATAGGGTCACAGAATGTGATTGTTTCAATCACGGGTCTTCGAAAAGATTCGATCTTTGTGAACAGATCGTTTGTGGATTTGTTCTCGCAATAGTACTAGATAGGTACTGTCTGAAAATTTCTTAACCACATGTAAACCAAAAGCATGCGCCAAGCCAAGACGCACAGGCTAGGACACCGCGATATTCAGCTTGCTATTCCAGCTTAAAAACCTAGCCCTTTATATGTACCTACATCTTATATAAGTAGGTATTTATAGTTTTTAAATTCTGTTCATTAATGCAATTCTTATCGAGTTACTATATAAATGTTTTAATATTTCATTAGTTAATTTCATATATTTCATGAAGTTAAGTAAATAAATAAAATAAACCGTTCAGTCTGATCAACACAGACATTGTGTAGTGCATTTATCTGAAACCAAGTGCATATTGCGAAAAATCAAAATAAAAAAAACATTGTTTTACGATAAGTAATAATGAAAAGGTTTGTTTATAATATATTTATATCTTATAATATCAATAAGTTAAATTAACATATCTATAAATTTGAGTTATTTTAATATATGTGAAATTCTATGTTATATTTTTTTCTATCACATATTTATTATGTTTTATTTGTTATCTATATAAAAATATTACCAATTATTACTTTACATAGGCGAATATGACCAATAATGGCCAATCATTCTTATACAATCAGACAACAGACCAGATGGTAGAAAAGGGGACAATCTCCCCATATTTACCGCAGAAGTTTTATGCACAGAAGACTGTAGTAACAAAACACTACAAAAACCTCTACAAAACAGCAGTTAAAAAATTAACGTACTTCTTCAATGACAGATATGAAACAGGAACGCTCCCAAAGGACTGGCTAACTTCCACATAAATAGTCCTACCTGAAAAAAAATAAGGCAAGAAAATGTGAGGATCATAAAACGATAAGCCAGATGAATCACGTTGCAAAAATGGTTATGCGGATCATTTTAAGAGAATTCATAGTAAATGCTATGCATATCTTTAGTCGATCCCAGTATGGTCACAGTTTAATGCTAAAAGACTTCTTTAGCAATATACTGTGGTATGGTTTTCGAAAGGGAACAGACAATAGGGAAGTCATTCTGGGGTGGACGCTGTTGGAGAAATGATATTTTGTAGTGCAAAGAAAAGTTTACGCTTGCTTTATTAATTAACGGAAGGCATTCGACCGTATAGAGTACTACAAGAATGTTTAAAATTATACAAGAAATCAGGCTCGATGGACAGAACATCATTATTACCCGCAATATATACTGGAATCATAATTAATGTATACGTATTGTACTGCAAATTTCAACACTCACTATGACACAATAAAACGAGAGGTACGTCAGGGATGCCTGAGCTTATATTTAACGTGTATGAGGAACATACTATTTAGGAATCTCTGGAGAAAGGTCCAGAAGGTGCCAAAAGCAACTGATATGTGATCAATAACCTGTGACACGAATACGACACTGTGATATTGACCGAATCAGACAGACACTAATGGATACTGTGTCGGAATCGAGTACCAGAATGGGACTATCTATACAGAGACACTCCTCAGAAACTGAAATTCTAGCTTTTTACTCTGGAAACTACATGCAAAATATACGATGCTAACATACAAAATTCTCAATAAGGAACAATTTTTTTGTCAAACATTTTTAATACACAGAGAAGCACTGTGAGGCTAACCTACTCATTTTAGTCTATTTTTTTTTCGCCATTTTTAAACATTATTTTTTTATTTATTTTCTTTGTAATTTATATAGGTAAATTTTGTTAGATTTGTCTGAGGTTTTGCCTTTCCACTTCAACTAATATTATATCATTTGTTGTATTATATTTTTAAAGTATAATTACGATGTAAAATGACCAAATAACCTTTAGTACCTAGTGATAACTTACATAAATTATAGAGCAAGAAAAATATCTATGTACATATATATTATTACAGATATTAAATAACAAGTTACAATTAAGTTACGCAATGAAGGACGTTTAATCAATGTTTATTGTTTAAATATAATTTACATTTTAAAGTTCTTACGTAATAATAAAAAATATGTCAAAAGAAATATGTTTGTTTGGTAAAGCATCGATATTGGGTACTTGGTGGCATAGAATTGATTTTTATTATTGCATCTGGTACATTATTCGTTATGCTTTTTTATGTTACTGTTATTGATTCTTTTAAATATGTACTTAACCTAAGATTCGCAATATTGGCGTGGTTTAGAATCTATATCGGGTGAAACAGATTTCACAACTTCTATTTGTTAATTTTTGTGTCTGCTTGTATACTTTTTTTGTATACAGTGTACAGTAAAATGCTGAAGCAAGCGTCTCAGAACTAGTGTCACAAGATAGCGTACAAAGTATTTTTTTTTTTTCAATATATATAGATTAATATATTTTCAACCTTTGCTGCTTTCCGAGTTCATTTCAAACAGTATATTGAATAAATTTTGAATGTAGAATGTAGTTACGTCATTCTCGTCATTAGATTCTCGGCGCTGATTGGTGTAAAGTTACCACACAACCTGTCTCTTTACTAACCTTGAGGTCGAAGGTCGATATGGATTGTCAAATTTGATGACATACAAAAAAGCACACTCCTACCTAGCAGTGCCAGTCTCGTATTCATGAATCAAACAACGATTGGAGCATTGCCTAGTGCCAGGGTGCGTAATTATATTTAAACATGGCGGCAAGAAATAATGGTTAAGTATATCGAAAGCACAGAATAATAAACAAACAGAATACCCAGTCTGCACGGAAAATTAAGTACGCGCATCTCCTCCACGCAGACGTTCCGCCATGTTTTAGGAGGATTTTAAAGAAATTAGTGTTGTTTATGTGGTGTGCATGGAAAAATTAACCAGGTTTATTTGACTTACGGCAATCATAGACATACTATACAATTATATTAACATTGTTAAATATAATAACATAAATATAATATAATTAAACATAAATAGAAACAATTACATAACCACACAAATCATATGTCTGTGTCCTCCTAAAACATGGCGCGCGTGCTGAAAAACTTCAAAGGCGGCATCTGAGAGTGGCCCTTCTGATTGTTTATTTATTCTGTGATCGAAAGTACAAGCTGATCATAGCTGCAAATTTCAAACATGGAACAAAATGGAAGCCTACGATTTCATGGAACAAAATATTTTAGTATACCAATACCAGTGTTGGCATCTTGTTATGTAAATGCTGTATGTTTCCAATATTTATGCTAAACATTCCCTCTTTTATCTTTTTGCTCGATGGTTATGTCTCACTCTCTCTCTCACTAGTAGTTTGCGTCGTTGGATGTTGTTCCTGCCACAGAGAAATGTTATTTCTCTATGGTTCCTGCGGAGGTATATGTACAGGGTGGTCGGATGTATAAGGGTCCTAAAAGGGAGCTAAAATGGTCCTTTTTAGTAATGAATTATTTGATTATATGAATGGTTGAATTTACAGATAAAAATGTGAATCGCAGTATCATAAAGTGGCAACGAAGAATCACAGAATAATAAACAAACGTTATATAGTTACGCACCCTGGCACTAGGCGGTGCACACAATCGTCGTTTTATTAATTAACACGCGACTGGAACTGCTATGTGGGAGTGTGCTGTGGTATATTACATACAAATTACAATAGATAGAAGTTTATTGAATTTATTTACATAATACAATTACGGTTTATTGAATTTAATGGAAATAAAGCAAGAAGTTCGTGAAAATACTTGTATTAAAGTAGAACTAGATAATAATGAGGCATGTAATGTTCCTTTGGATACTTTCAAAGTTGAAATTAAAGAGGAAAAGGAAAAAGTTGGTTCTTTAGATCACAGTATATGGCTAAACACTTTAAACTCTGATTTAGAATTAAAGGAATGCCATGTAAAAAGAGAAATAGAAGATGAATCATTGACCCAAACAAAGGAAAAAGGTAAATGAAACAAAATAACAGTTCTATTTTACATTCTTCATAGGTAATGGTGCAATTAAACATAATTTTAGGTCTCTCCTGTGAAGATAAACAAACTGATGCCATTGATGTATTAAAAGAAGAACATATAATTAACCAAAGTTTAAATCAAACTTGTACTGCCACTGCAAATATAAATGTTGAAGAAAAGCTTTGGACATGTAAAATTTGCTTTAAACACTATACAACACAGGAAAATTTGAAAATACATATGAAAGAACACATTGTCAAAAAAATATTTACATGTAATGTTTGCTGTGAACAATTTTCAACACATTATTTCTTAACAATTCATAAGAAAACACACACTGGCGAAAAACCTTTATCATGTGAAATTTGCACCAAACAGTTTATTTTAAACTCTAGGTTAAAAGAACATATGAAAATACATACTGGTGAAAAACCTTTTGTGTGTGAAATTTGCTATAATGAGTTTCCACGAAACACTCAACTAACAAAACATATGAAAATACACACTGGAGAAAAACCATTTACCTGTGAAATTTGCTATAGACAGTTTAGAGAAAAATTTAAATTAAAAGAACATATGAGATTACACACTGGAGAAAAACCTTTCTCATGTGAAATTTGCACTAAACAGTTTCGACGAAACTGTAAACTAAAAGAACATATGAAAATACACATTGAAGAAAAACAATTTACATGTGAAATTTGCAACAGGCAGTTTCTACAAAACTATCGATTAAATGAACATATGAGATTACACACTTTACAAAATATGTCTACATGTGAAATTTGCTATAAACAGTATCCACGAAACTCTCAACTAACAAAACATATGAAAATACACACTGGCGGAAAGCCTTTTGCATGTGAAATTTGCAATAAACAGTTTACACGAGACTCTCAACTAACAAAACATATTGCAATGCATACTGGGGAAAAACTATTTGAATGTGAAATTTGTAATAAACGGTTTCCACGAAACTGTCGACTAAGAAAACATATGAAAATACACACTGGAGAAAAACCATTTAGATGTGATATTTGCTATGGACAGTTTACAGAAAAATTTAAATTAAAAGAACATATGAGGTTACACACTGGAGAAAAACCGTTCACATGTGAAATTTGCACAAAACAGTTTCGACAAAATGCTCGATTAAAGGAACATATGAAAATTCATACAGGAGAAAATATTTTTACATGCGAAGTTTGCAATAAACAATTTTCACGAAATTGTCAACTAAACGAACATATGAGAATACACACCGGAGAAAAACCTTTTGCATGCAATATGTGCACAAAAAAGTTTTCACGTTCTTCTTATTTAAAATCACACATGAAAATACACACCTAGAAAAAATAGTATTTATTTAACTGTAAAATTTACTCCAAAATGTTTCCATAAAAATCACAAAAAAACTTGCACCAGAGAAAAAACTTTCATATCATTCAAATCATATTGTATTATTACAAAGAAAGGGCAAACAAATGTACTATGTGATAGAACAGGACAAATTTGTAAAGGTTCATCAGTTTTAATATTTGGAGCACAAAATTGAGAATTTGTGATACATGGATATTTACAAAACAAAATAAGAAGTAAAATTCTCAGAAAGAAGAATTCTTAGATGGATAATATAGGCCAGTTAAGTATAACACCACAACAATATAGAGTGAGAACTAACCAAGAATTGGAAAAATTATATAACCAGCCAGATATAGAAATATTTAGATGGGAAAACCATGTCAAGAGACATGATCAGCATGTCGTCAAGCTAGTCTTGGCAAAGAATCTGAAAATAAACCAAGGATGCAGTGGGAAGATAGTTTTACAGCAGATCTATGTGCTCTAACTAGTGGAGAATCCTGGAAAATAATGATACATTGCTGCAAGTAGAGGCAGAAGTCAATGAATCTTAAAAAACCTATATCTTGTTAAATGATGAATAAAAAGAATTAACAGTAATAAAAGTTGTTTAGCTCTACTATAAGATAGTAAAACGGGGTAAAATTATGTTGTACACATGTTTCATTATATTTATTTTAAGGATTGGGAAAACTAATCCAAATTACTTACCTGACGAAACAGGTTTAATATCTTATAATTGCATATTTTTGTTTATTTAAAAAAGTGTACAGGAAAAAACGAAGTTTTATAATAAATTTTTGTAGAATAATGATTTAACATTTCTGGTCATAAAAAATGTAAATTTATTAACACGGTAAGTGCCACATGGTATAAGGGCGTGCCACACCCAATTTTGTTGTTGATTGCTGACTGTAATGGCGTAGTCGCTTTTAAATTTCGACATCAAAATGAAATAGAATCAGGGCTCAGGTAGCAGCAGCTTGTATCACCTTTATTCCAGTCTTCCCTGCCTGGTATCTTAATTGTGAAATTATTGTTAAAGCTATATCTCGTAGCTGTTGCATCGATAGGTTTCCCCATCACAACTAGAACTATTAGAACAAATTATGGCCTCCAGTCTGATGTACCATATATCTAATGGTATCAGAGTGTATTCAGTCTGTAACCTATATGTTATGGATATGGTTTCGAGGGTATGTAATAATGGATACAATTTCTCAGTAAAATATAATTTAATATTTTTTATTTTAATTAAAAAATGTGAAGAAAAACTGCGTTAAACTGTACATACACTAATTATGCATTCCTCAACAATAACTTGGTTACTGTAGTGGGAGTATTCTAACAAACTAAAAATAAACCAAAACATTCACGACTGACTGGTTCTTTAAGATCTAAAACCAAATGTTCGTTTTTTAAATATATCAGATTATATTAAAAAGATTTTGCTATGTTCTAAATGGATAATACCAAAAGTAAATATTATTAGTCTCAAGTATATATATTTTTTATATTTTGATAATAATGAAAGATAAAAGAAATTTAAACTATTTTGATAATTACTGTAAATTCTATTTTTTCTCACGATAAAGACAATTAAATCATCGGTGCTTTGTGATGTACGCCGATATGCATTGTAATTAATCATATCAGATATATGTCACAGTGTGATTTTTTCCAACATATTCTTTGAACTTTGATATTTGTTTATCTTCTATTTAGAAGAGTTATTTTGTTTATTTTTGCGGATCTATTTTATTGAATAACTAGCTGACCCGGGGAACTTCGTATCGCCTTAGAATTAAATACACTAGTGACCAAAATTCTGAAACTTTACAAAAATTATAATTTTTTCAGCAACACTCATCTCATGATTTATATAGTTTATCAGTACAATTGCATTTTTATTTTATTTTTTTATATATCTGCTTAATATTTTATGTATTTCTCACGCTATATGTATTAAAATGATTATTTAATAAAATATGGAAACAGGTTCAAACGTAACGCCGAAAATCCGAGAGTTGTGAATGGAAACATTGGCAATATTCTATTGCGTCAGGGTTTTGCTGGTCAGTCAACGACCAAATTGGAAACGTTTAGTACAGTTTCGTGCGAATTCTAGTGTTTATTAGTGACTTCAGGTAGTTGTTACTGAGACTATTGTTTAATTGTCGGAGAGGAATACATCAGTGTCGATTCAACGAAAATGGCACCAAGAAACCCAAAACGTGTTGACTGGTCGCCAGGAAAGAGAGCCAAAGCAATTATCCTTCGAGAAGAAGGTTACACTTATCCAGAAATAGCAAACAAATTGAGTGGTGGTGCCATTCAGGTGTAATGAAAGTTTGTAAACGTTATCATAACACTGGAACGACAAAATCAGCAAAAAGAATAGGCAGAAAGTTAATCAATACGAGAGCGTAGCATCTGCCGACTTTCTTTAGAAGATCGTCGCAGAACGAAGATCGAACTGCACTATCAGAAGAAACAAGAACGGCTACAAGGAAGTGGGTAGCTCATAAATCTGTGGAATGGTGGAGGAATTTACCAGGACAAAAACAAGCGAAACAGTTCATTACAGAACATTTGCCAAAATTTACGGCAGACTTAATAAGCAAAGACAGGAAAACAGTCAAAGCCATAGTAGGTCTTCTAACAGGGCATTGTAAGCTGAATAGGTACTTGAAGCTGATGGGATTATCAGATGATGACCTGTGCAGGTTCTGTCACCTCGAAGAAGAAACAGCAGAGCACATTTTATGTCAGTGTGACAGTCAGGCAAATGTGCGGTTTTTTGCATTGGGAGAAGAAAATCCACCGGCAAATAGCTACATGAAAGGTAGTCTCGAAGCTACTAGACTTTATAAAAAGGGTCAGGCTAGGGAATGTTATCTAGGACTAGAGGACCAGAAAAGATCGTAGAATAGGCCAAATGACCACCTCTGTAAATCTAGCTATCTATCAGAAGAAAGCTGTGTGAAAATGGATTGTGAGAATGAACTTCTAGAAAGAAGCCATTTCTGAACAAAAAAACAGGCAAAAACGTATTGATTGAGCTTTTGCACGCAGAGGGTGGACATAAGAACAGTGGAGTACGCTCATTTGGAAGAGATACTGCAAACCAAACTCCTGGCGACTATCAGAGATTTGTTTAAAAGAGATGCCCAACAATGCATCTTAAAAAAGGATGGAGCAGCTTGTCATACGGCTAAGACTTCCATGGAATGATTGAGAAACCATGACATCACTGTCCTGCCTTGGCCTGGAAATAGTCCCGATCTAAATCCAATAGAAAATTTATAGTCAAAGCTAAAAGTGTTAGTATCACGTTGAAACCCAAGTAACAATAGAAAACTGATAGAAGCCATTATTCAAAACTAGTTTATGTCTCCATAATCCATAGTCCATGCCTCGCAAAAAAAAAGTTATCCTACCAAATATTAATTTTGTTGATAATCATCATTGTACCATTTTTTTTTTTAAATATATCTACTAATAACTAACCGCTGTTGTTTTATTTATTTTGAAATTGTTAGAGGGTTTTTCCTCTTAAAATAGATGATCAATATTAAGTAGAAACATAAAACGATGTAAAAAAATTATAGATAAACTTATTAATAACATGTCTTGTGAAAAAGAGGAATGCTGATAACAAAACTAAAATATTTGTAGTTTCCGGAATTTGGCCACTACTGTAATATGTCTAAAAACTTGACAGACAATAAAACAAAAAAAAAACACTTTTTTTGCTATAAATAAACATACAACGATAACGTGAATAATTGAACATGCGCGAAACATGGAAACTTAGTTAGGAAAGTTAATTACACACACTTCCAAAGGTTGGCTTTGTGATTTGTTTATTTTCATTGTAGATGCCAAAAGTACGAAAAATTGTAAATGTTTAAAATCAAATGGTGCGTTGGTTAAGTATACGCGGTATCAAATTGTCGCCTTAATGATTGTTGTCGCAATGACATTATTCATTAACAGTTTCACAGTCAGTCTCATTCCATTGCACAGTCGAGGTTGATTAACGTTACGCAGCATAATGACAACTGATCCTACTTTTAACTGTAAATTGTTAGGTGGGAGTCCAGGCAATTCCAATAAATTCAAAAACTCTGTAGGATAGTTGACTACATCATTCTGATTTATAACTGCGTCAACTGATATGAATGAAAACAATTCGAGAGTAGTATTTTCAACCGAATAAACATATACAATTTCATAAAAATCGGTCAAGCCGTTTTGAAGAAGTATGGCAACAAATTGTTTGATACTAATATGGCAATTAATATTAGGGTGAAAATTAAGGGATGTGTGTATTTTTCATGTATTTTTAATGAAACATAAACAATTTTGGTCAAAAAAGGTGCCTTGTTGGACCGCCCTTATCACTTGGGGATGTAAACAATAAAAATCAGTCAGTAGTAGAGTATGGCAACTAACTCTGTGACACTTATATGGCTTAAAAAAGGGTTCGTAATAGAGGGGTGAAAATTAAGGGCTATATGTATTTTGTAATGCCACATCATAAAAATAAAAAAAATGTTTAAAAAATAAAAAAAATGTTTGGGTTGAACTATCATTACCCCTCAGGGGTATGAAAAATAGATAACCTATTTTCAGGCCTGAATGCACATGTAAAATTTCATAAAAATCGGTTCAGCTATTTCACTTTAACTCCGTGACACTAATATGTATATTAAAAAAAGTTAGTAATGGAGGGATACAACTATTACCTTAGTGACACCCCATTAAAAAATTTCTCGTATGCCACTGAACGCTTCCCTAATATATCTATCAAATAAATAATAAAGTTTTTTTAAATTTTTCTTAGTAAAGAAGATATTTAACCCTGTCGTTTTCGACATTTTTCAATAATCGCCCTCTACCTCGCTAATAGAGTATACAATAAACTAGACGAACACACTGGTCAAACTCAGTTTGGTTTTAAGAATGGGTTCGAAACAAGAGAAGCACTTTTTTCAATACGTGTGCTAGTTGAAAGATGTAGAGATATCGATTCTGATGTATACTTGTGTTTTATAGACTTTCAGAAGGCGTTTGACCTGGTAAAACATGATAAACGAATAGATATTTTAAGGTCATGTAATATCGACGATAAAGACTTAAGGATCATTTTAAACCTCTACCAAGACAAAAGGCTAAAATCAGAATAAAAAAGCGAAACATCTGGAAAAATCAATATCGAGAAGGGAGTAAGACAGGGATGTGTCCTATCACCTTTGCTGTTCAATGTTTACTCTGAGAAGATATTTCAGAAAGCTTTGGAAGGCACCTCGGATGGTATAATTATAAACGGGCAATGTATAAATAACATGCGATATGCTGATATGTCATACTGGCAGATAATGCTGAAGCCCTGCAACGCCTAATGGACCGAGTAACGACAGCCTGTAGATAATTTGGAATGAAATTGAATACAAAGAAGACAAAAACGATAGTCATCAGCAAGCACCAAAACAGAAGGGTGAAGGTCAATGTCGACGGAACAGATCTGGAAAGAGTAACAAGAACAACGTATCTTGGAAGTAATCTTGATGAAACTTGGGACCACTCACTAGAGATAAGAATACGCCTGGAAAAGGCATGTACAATGTTTTACAAAATGCAAAAAGTTCTATGCAACCGCCAGCTGGGCATCTCATTGAGAAATAGAATACTTAAGTGCTATGTTTTCTCCACCTTGCTTTATGGTGTTGAAGCCTGGACAATGACAGAAGCAACACAAAAAAGAATCATTCGAACTCTGGTGTTACCGTAAAATGCTCAGAATATCCTACATGAGCCATACGACAAATGCGGAAGTCTTGCGGAGGATGAATAAGGAAAGAGAGCTTATGCTTATAATAAAAGAACGGAAAACACAATATTTTGGTCACATCATAAGAAATCAAAAGTATGAACTGCTCCAACTTATAATCGAAGGCAAAGTCAATAGCAAAAGAGGACCAGGAAGAAGACGCAACTCTTGGCTTAAAAACCTACGGCAATGGACGAACATGACCTCCATAGAACTATTCAGGGCTGCTACAAATAAGATTAAATGGGCAAATGTAATGGCGAACGTCCTTAAGAATAAGTCACCATAAGAAGAAGAAGACCTCGCTTATGTGTGGAGCGATTCATGATTTGATTAGGTAATCGTTACTTTAACGAAAAAAGAAGTCAATAACATCTTAACTACTTTTTTTTCGATCTCCTATAGTTTTTAGTATACCCTGTAAAACATACCAATTTGGGACACCCTGTACGTATTGTTCGTTTTTGATAATTAATTAATGTTCAGTGTGTGTAAGTGTAATGGATACTACACCAGAGAAAGCCGCCCAAGTTATTGCATTAATAGAAAATATACTTAGCCAGCGAACTATTGCTGTACATGGATATGATACGCGCAGCGATTCGAAAAGTGTTCCAACGTTATGAGGAGGCTGGATCCTTTCTTAGACGACTTTGAATAGGTAAAAAGCGATTTAGAACTCCTGATGATTGCTTTATTCTTTCAAAAAATTACGAAATCGTCACATGACCACTCGAGTGCCTGCGATTGGTCAAAAACTTGCTGCAGCTCGTCAAGCACGCCTTCGTTTTGCGACTTGCACTTCGTAGGAATAACCGACTTCACGAGCAAGATGGTTAACGGATGCTAATTACATCGAGCAGGTGGTTTATTTATATGCAGGACAATACAAAGGGCATACTCCAAGAATCGTGCAAGACTACATTACCGAAGTCGGTTTTTGGGTCATGGAATAGCCAGCGAGCAGTCCTGACCTCAATCCCACAGAACATTTATGGGAGGAGCTAAAACAAAGAATTCGAGCTAGAATTCATACCCCAAACTCGATCTCAGAGCTTATTGTCGCAATAGAAGAAGAGTGACTTAACATCCCACAAGAAACAATAGCGAACTTAATTATATATACGCCTAATCATATGAGAGAAGTTATAAATGCAAGTCATGTCCATTATTAAAACATTATTTGTTAAATTTTTAATAAGTAGAAAAGCATATTAAATTATCTTTCGAACTGTATATTCCTTTTTCTGATGCTCGTAATAGTTTCTGAAAAAAATATAGTTCAAGTTAAAAGTTTACAGTGAGCCGATTTCTATGCACATTTTTAAAAAAATTAAGAAATGAAGTATAATTCTACTAAATAGCTGAGAAAACTGTAAATAAGAACTAATAATCTAAAAAATGCTTTGCCAATATCTACCAAACATATATTTTTATTAGAGACTTTTAAAATGTAGATTATAACCCTTCAAAATAGAAATAGGGACATCCCAAGAAGTATTATTACGATTTGAACTTATCCATGTAAAGACAAATAAACCAAATAAAACTGTTTTAATACGAAAAAATAACTATTAATGTTTATTCTATTGCTTGACATTCCATAAAATAACGTAAACAAAAAAATGTGTTAAGAAAATCAAACTAGACAAAAATCCGATATATTAAAAAACGAAAACTTGAATACAGCTCATCTGCATATTTTTAAATTAGTTTTTACATAGCATATGTACTCTTGGGCTGTTCCTCGTCCTGCAAACCTGATGACTTTTTCACGTATTGGGGATTGACTTGAATTTCTTCATCCATTGCTAAAATTTGCCTATCTAATTCCATGCATATGGCTAGTTGCTCTTCGAGACCTTTCAAAACATCAGGCCCGCTGTATTTCTCGGGTTCGTCTCTGAATACGACCATACCATCTTTTTGGTTTATTGTAGCATAAATTTGTTGTTTTTCAATCTAAAAATAAACAGAATTTATTGATAAATACCTGGAGTCATTTATACTACTTTAAACTTGGCAAACTGATAGTTGATTTTACAGAAATAATACATAAGTGAGCAGTGTTCAGTGAGAGCGGGGAAAACTAGGACTGTATTTCTTATGTATGACTGATTCTCTACTAGTAACCAGTCATCTCCTTTATTTGGTCCGACATCGTACTGGAGATCTTCCTCTGGATCTTTTACTCGCTTCGATACCTTCAACTATCATTCGCTCCATGCCTTCTCTTCTTCTAGTTATACGTCCAAAATATCTCAGCATATTTTGGTTGATAGTTGTGATGAGTCTAAAGTCAAATCCCACAATTTGAGAGAGTGATTTCATAGTTTAAAAGCGGAATATCCTCAAATTTAAATGTACACAGCAGCCTCGAAGACTACCCGTTTTCTCAATTGCAATTTGCGTTTTCTCATAAGAAATTACAGAATATATAAGCAGTATATTTATTTGTGCTTCTCTATAGAAGAGTTGACCAGGAGTTGTGTAGCCAGTGTAGCCAATTGGTGTTCACAAGTAGTAATTATGGTCATACAAAACCTGTATTCTTCCACGCAGCGATTATCACCGTCATAAAAATACCAAAAAACCATAAAAATGATTTTTTCAATAGTAAAAATTAATCACAAAATTGTAATAAAATAAATTTTATTTATATGTTCCGTTTTGTTACATATTTAAATTTATAAAATAAAAATCGATATTTTAAAACATTACTTTTCAATCTCTTGGCAACCTTGAGCTAAGCGACGGAGTTCCGACTCACAGACAGAGCTGTAAAACTTATTTGACGGTAATGCTGATGAAGAAATCAAGTCATATATTGTTCAATTACATTGGCGTGTCGGAAGGTAAGTATGTGTTCCATTTTGTGAATATATTTATTATAAATTTGTGTTATTGATAATACGAGTGTTATAGTTTGTCGTTTTATAGTAAATTTTTAGTTAAATTCTGTGATTATTTGGTTGGAGTTTGTGTTTATATTGAAGTTTTTTATATAATATGTAGTTTTATTTGTTTATATTTTATGTATATATAGTTTTACATAGTTATATTCTGTGATTATTTGATTTGAGTTTTATTGGAGTTTTGGTTTAATGGACGAAAAACCGAGCTGTTCCAAGAGAAGAAAACAAAATTCTGATGTTGATTCCAAAAATGAAAAGTCGCAAAAGAGACGGAAAATGTTAACGTCCGAAGAGAAGGTAATGATACGAAACGTTTATGAAGGAATTGTCGACAGAAAAATGGCATTAAATATTAGCCAAGCGGTCGACATTTGTAGCAGCTTAACAAAAGTATCCGTTAGCTGTATTTATCGTGTAATTACAAATACATCGGAAAATCAAAAGCAAGAAAAAGGTAAAACTGGAGGTAGGAAAAGCATTGTTTTAGATGACGAGACAAGAAATATTATACGTAGAAAAATTCATTCATTTTATTTTCGGAGTGAAATTCCAACACTGAAAAAAATTTCTCAAGAGCTCCAAAACGATGACGCCTTACCAAGATATCTCGTAGAGTCTTAATCAGGGCCATGCGCGAAATGAACTTTCGATATGTGAAACGCAACAGAAAAAGTATGCTATTAGAAAAAAATTAAATTATTGTGTGGAGAAGAAAATATTTAGAAGAAATACGCAAAATTCGCAGCACTGGGCGCAAAATATATTATTTGGATGAAACCTGGATTAACGAAGGTCATACAGTTGGAAAAGTTTGGCAAGATTTAAATGTTAAAAGTAAACGCGAAGCATTTATAGAAGGCTGGTCTACAGGATTAAAAGCTCCATCAGGAAAGTGACGGCGTTTAATCATCACCCATATAGGAAGTGATACAGGGTTCCTTGATGATGGTTTGCTTCAATTTGAGTCGAAAAAAACAGGTGATTATCATGAGGAAATGACTTCCGAAGTATTTGAGCGCTGGTTTAAGAGAATTTTACCAAAATTGGAACCTGGGTCTGTGGTTGTAATGGATAATGCGCCATACCATAGCCGCAGACTACAACAATTACCGACGACGGCATGGCGGAAAGAGAGAATTCAAGAATGGCTTACAGAAAAGGGGATTGCATACGAAGAATCAATGCTCAAAATTCAGCTACTTGACATTGCACGGTTAAGTAAAAGTGAATATCTTAAATATGCTGTGGATGAAACTGCAAAAGATTATGGTGTCAAAGTTCTGCGTCTACTACCTTATCATTGCGAACTTAATCCCATTGAACTTATCTGGGCGCAAGTGAAAGGAGAAGTAGCACGGAATAACAAAACGTTTAAATTAAACGAAGTTAAGGAACTTTTAATTCAAGCAATCCTCCATGTAAATCCAGAGAAATGGGCTAAATGTATAGCCCACATAATTAAAGAAGAACGTCGTATGTGGGAACTTGACACTCATATCGAAGTTTTACTAGAGCCAATTATCATTACACCAGGTGAAGATAATGACAGCGATAGCAGCACTGCATCTTCAGATTTAGACAGCGAATAATATTTTCTAATAGTTTAGTAAGATCTTCAGAATAAAAAAAAATGAGAAGAACATAGCAAGTGTGTATAGTGTTTGTGTTTAAATAGAATAGTACAATGTTTCGTTACATCAAAAATTATTTTTATTTTGTTGTTATAGAATTTTATTTTGTTTTGTTTTATACTGTTTTTAAAGTGTTTTGCTCATTTTATTTAATGGGACAATATGGCTCTTGGCGAAAACCCATTTAAAAAAGTAACGCGCCACAAGACATACCTATGGGGTGGTGTGGAAACTGTCTTAAAATTTGTTTTAAAAAAAATTTCATTATGTAACTCTTTTAGGACGGGTCGCGTCAAAAGACGTTTTAGCGTAACTTCTGCGAAAGCTTACTGATGCTAGGTGGCATCAGTAAGCTTTTTGTAAAATTAATTGCTTTTTATTACTTTTTGTTTGTGTGTGTGTGTGTGTGGCATTCTGTATGTTTAGGGGAATGTAGGGAATTACCCACACAAAATATGAATTCATATGTTTATTTACTGACGTTTCGATCTCTATATCCAGAGACCGTTTTCAATTATACAAATGATAGTAATATTTATTTTCTATGGCTTTTTGCTTGTCGTTCTGTATTTTAGAAATAATGTTGGGAATAAGCCACAATATATTTATTCAAATGTTTAAATTACGGACGTTTGGATTTCTATAAAGAGACCGTTTTTAAACATACAAATGACATATATTTGTTTTCCTATACTATATATTGTATTTGTGGCATTCTGTATTTTTAGGGATAAGGTTGGAAATAAACCACAATATATCTATTTACGTGTTTAATACACTGACGTTTCGATCTCTATTCCAGAGACCGTTTTTAAAGATAGAATAAAAAAAGAAAATAAATAATATAAGATTATAAAAATATATAATAATAAACAAATAAAAAAAATATAACGATCATTTATATTTTTGAAAGCGAACTTTGGATATAGAAATCGAAACGTCAATAAAAACTTGTAAATAAATATATTGTGGCCTATTTCGAACAATAATATTTGAAAAATATAATATAATTAACGTTAAAAAAAAGTGAGTGTACGCCACTGGATTTTCATACGTCTTTCCCCACTTCACCGCCTTTAAACAATGAATCACTCTTCTAAATAGTGGAATTTGACCATAGTTTATATGTTAAGTTCTGCTAGAATTGAGTTATTTGTACGATGGGCGGTGCATGGTATGCGCAGCATTCTACGGTAGACCCACATTTCAAATGCCATTATACGTTCTGAATCGGCTTTTTTTAATGTCAAAGTTTCTGAAGCATAGGTGGCGATAGGAAATATCAATGCTCGAACAAGGCGTAATTTTGTATTCTTTGTGATGTCAGGTTTTTTCCAAATTTTTGTGAGTTTGTTGCTAGCTGGATTGCAGATCACAGAATTTTCTTGCTTAGTCGTCATTTCATAACACTCTCTGGAAGATAATCAGGTGGTTTCCTGTTGCTTGCCTGATCGCAGTATCACAGCCAGTTGAACTAAGATGTAGTTGTCGCCTGTGAGTAATTTACAGTCCCAGTGCAATAATGACATAGCTGCTGCCCTGTTATGTCCTCAGTTGATCCGCGGGTACTTGTTTGGTTGTACCTTATTCGCACCTGTACTACATAACTACAGGAGCGCTCCCCATCAGCCATTGTCATGTCGGGGTTGAGGACTTCCCCGCTCAGTTCGTCTTCCGTGAAGTGCTAAAAAGCCCCTATTCAGTTCAGAGCTCTTCTCTCACGCAAACTAGCCTCTTTACATTTAGCTTATTTATACTGTGCATTATTTTAAAATACCATGCAATTTTTGTTAGTTTTTAGTTACAATATGTGCTTTCTGTATATGCTTTATATGTACGAGTTTTTGAGTGCGATTATACAAAATATATTTTACTGTAACGTGATGAGATGAATTTTCAATTTATTTATAATTATTTTTAGTAATGTTAGTAAATTTAATGTTCTTACCATCTGTAAAATATGATTTTCAGCTTCTACTGGACTGGAAAGACCCACTCGACTTGCAACGTCAGATAAACTAAGTGTCAAAAATGTCTTTGTCAACCTTTGAATATTTTTTTTATAAAGAACCGACGATACTTGTTTCACAAGACCCATATTATGATCCCTGGTGAACATCTACAAAAATTATAATTATTATTACCCAAACATATACGTACAAACCCAAGCATATGTACAAAAAATGTTTCACTTACTTCAGAATGTTTGTTAAGTACAGTATTCAATTCGGCTGTATTGTTTAAGATGAAAGCGTTAGCTAACTCATAATAAGGCTGGGATAGTGGTTTTATAAATCGTGAAACCACCTGAGAAGCAAACTTGGGAATTGACTGAATCTGAAATAAAAGTATTATAATATAAAGAACATCAAATACTTTATCAGTATTGTTCAAAATTCAAGCAGCTATAGAGTATATTAAACAAAGAATAGTGTTTTCCTACAAACTTACATCATTCTCAAAAATATTCGAAAGTGAGATATTCCAGACTACAAAACTTTTTTACTACAAACAACTTATTTAATAGCGCAGCATGGTTTTTTCGCAGGGAGAAAAGGAGAAGGAGAAAATTTGTAGAAAAACTAGAGGCAAAGATGAAAACACTATTTTTACGAAAACAAAGATGATTTTTTAGACCTATCTAAGGCTTTTGATAGACTAGGCCATGTTCTCTTTTTATAAAAATTACGGAATGCAGGAATGTAAGGTTTACTCTGAACCGATAAATTTAAAATTAGACACACCACAGTGGAGCATCTTAGGGCCTTTTCTATTTTTCTCAAACCCTGTAAATTTCGCTGATGACTAAAATGGGATTCACTGTTCTGGGAAAAAACATTAAAAACACTCCTCACAATGGCAGAGCAAACTCTAAGTAAAGCTGAACAGTGGTTTAGAGGAAATAGGTTGTTGCTTAATACGGATAAACGGATAAGATAGCTTTTGTTTAGTTTAGAACCAGCCAATCACGAGAACAGTTCCCAGATACTGTCAATTTTCTATCACAAACACAGAACCTGCTAGATCAATTAAATTTCTTGGTCTTCATATTCTTCCTCTGAATTGGGGAACAAATACAAAATATGACAAAATAAACTGAATAGAGCCTGCTACTCATTAAGAGTATTGAAGATCTATCTAGACCAGAGAATTTTACTATCAGTATATTATGCAAACTTTTATTCTGTTATGTGATATTTTACTTTGTTTTATCACCTGCTTCCAAATCATGAGTATAATGCAAGAAGCCTTAATTTTAATTTTCCGCTTCACATATTGTCTCATAACAGAGAAAAGTCCTTTGTACATTTGTATCTACCATCTGACATTCAACATGAAACACACTATAGAGCTTTTAAAAGAAACATTTTTCAACACCTAGTTAACATTGAGCCCTATAGAATGCCTGGGTTATCCTCCCTGATCAGAATATTTTATTTGTAATGTTAATATATTTTAATCTGTGATTTAAAAATTTATGCAAATAAAAATTTACTCTACTCTATATTCCCTGAAATAAGTTTTAAACTTCAACACTGCTGGTCAGAAAAAACTATAGCTGTTGATTATAAAATACCTAAACATATTATACATATACATACCTTTCCATAAAGCAACAAAGACACTAAAATGTATTTCTTAAACGATTCTAGCATAATATGTGAAACAGCTAGTGAGGGTGTAGTAATTGCTACTTCGAAAAAATATAGAGCTCTATCTAAATTACGAACAGCTAAGTAGATCATCCCACCATAATAATAATACAACAGAAAATACTTCGATTCAAATTGAGGTCCGTTTGGGTTTTGTGACATCTGCAAAAATACACATAAAGAATTAAAATATTAAACTACATTTACAATACGATTTAGACAGATAAAATAATTTTTTATAAATAGTTAAATACCAAAATATCATTACAAACACTTTTTACATTGACCAAATTTGTTGTTTCCTTAAATGATGCATTACTTTGAATAGAAGTTATTAATATTTCAAATATTCTTGTGCTTTGTTGTAACAGACCATTACCACCAATACCAATAAATGCTGACTTGTTTTATTCCAGGGATTCTTTTTTATTAATCTTACAATGAATACTGCATATATGCTCAGATCAGTCAGTTTTTAATATTTTCTGATTTTCTTGTACTATTATTTTTCACATTTTTTTTTAATTATTCTTGTTATAGTATCAGAGTGATATTTAGTAAATTTATTCCTCAGTAGTTTTCAGGTCTTTGTGAGCACCTTTTTTTTTTAAAAAAAACCTTAATATTTAATAAGTATGTTTAATAAACCTTTAATGTTTAATAAGTATTTCCCCATACGAGCAGCTCATCCACTAGTTAGTATTTAATTAATGTTTCTGCACTGAAAGAATGAAAGATAAGGATTTGGTTTCATGAGCAAGTGCCAGAGAAATGTATCTCATGTGATTTAGAAAGAAAAATATGTCAAAAATGTAGTTTTGATGTTTAAAAAAATCTTTATATCAAACTAATTTATATTTAAAGTTATAATGTTCAATGGCAAAACACCTTTCAGACTTATCAAACTTATAATGAGTACAGAACAGAATAATATAAATTTAAATATATACATAAAATTCTTACCTCTTGACATATTCCTGTAACATCTACATTCAACAATTCTAAAGCTGGTTTAAAACATTTTGCCAATAGACACAGCTGACACAAGTCTGCATGAATAGATGTTAATTGTGAATCATATAGTCTTAGCTTTGAAATGGCTTTTTGAAGAAGTAATATTCCCTTCAATGGTTGCTTCTGTTCTACTAAATAGTTAGTGAGAGAATGACACAATTCAGCAACTAAAAACATTAAATAATTACATATTTACAAGTCCTAAAAATCTTACAATATAATATGTTTTGTAACATCCACTCCCTATCAAGATAGTTGTATGGTACATTAATATAATATCTTAAAAGGCTGGATACTTTATCTTACTTATACACGATTTAGTTCACAAATTCCTATACAGATTTATAATTCTAATACTGTGGGATTGAGACTCTTTTTAACATTTGTTTCCATCTAAATTTGTTATTAGGTAATATCTTTCTACAATTCTTTTATATAATTATATTTTAAAATAATTGGTATGGTGGTGGACAGTTAATTACATGTTGCTTAGTAAATTAAAGTCTTTTAAAAACAAAATTAGGTTAACTAAAGTCTTTTGAATTTAAAATGTCTTTCAAGATTGTTTGGAAAATGGTATTTAATTTTGTGAAGATTAAACTTTTTGTACTTTTTTACTAGCACATGTTTTACTATAAGGGGTGAACTGCACTCATCACGAATTGGGTGTTCTTTTTTTTAAACAATGTTCTTGAGAAAACTGGGTTGTCCAAGTTGTAAACAGGAAATAATTATTTGCTTTTATCTGGCTACTTTGGGTGGTTGCCACAGTCAAATCTTATTTTTTATCTCCTGAAATTTTGCGATTTCCATTTATTGTTTCAGTTCTCAAACAGACGCTTTATGAAGTAGTTTTTTAAATCCATACTTACAGATTGGGGTGATATGGGGGTACTTTTGTTGTTTATAGCATCTTTGGCATTTATGTCCATGGTTTCAACGCAGAGAATCTTGATGCTTTTACCTTCAGTATGCAATTTATTTAGTTCTTATTTTATTAGTAAAGCTGATAGATTCTGCATGTATATTTTCCTGATTTTGTGTAATCTTGACATAGACTCTATCACAATTAATATTTTGTTCATCTTATTTGCATTTGTATACAGTATCAGTTGATAAATTGCAGAGTGCTCCTGTTAATATAGTTGCAGTATCTGGAATTCTATGTTTGAGAATCTCTGTGTTATTAATTATTGTCACTCCAACTACATTTTCAGTTTTACAGGCATATCTGTCATACTGTGTAATTAGAGTTCATTAGATGTCTAAGTGTTGTATGATAAAATTAGGGTTGGTGCTACTTTTTTGGAATTGTAATTGACTGTTGGAATTTTTATAATCCAAAGTGGAGATGAAGATTTTTGTATAATTAAAGAGTGGAAACTGCTCCCAGTTGCATGACAGTTTCTGCGGGAATATGGGAGATTGAACTTTGAAGAGTCATTAGTCATGGAAATGTCAAATGATATTTACTGAAATTCTTTTATTTACAGTTAAGCTGGACATGTAATTAAGGGTTAATAGCTGTCTAAGGAGCATTAGAGTGGGTTCACCTGTTTCTCTACATTATTCAGTACATTTCTTTCATATTTATATGCTTAAAGTTTTCTTGATTACATCCTATGATCCTATTTTTCTTCCTTTTTTATTATTAATTCACATTATTGATGTAACCATTCATTTAACTAATTTCTGTCGTTCTATAGCTGAATGTGTTCATATTTTCAGCATTTTGTCCTCTGCACAACATGCCAAAAAATAAACGAGCATGAAACATACATCAAGAACAGAGACTATGATAAATCTTAGACATGTAAACATGCCTGGGACAACAAGCACAGACCATAATGGAAGAAACAACACTCATCCTACTCAACGATAAAAAATGTGTGGCAAACACATTAGCAGAATGCAGAAGGCTTTGGTTGCCAATACTAAAAGAAGAAGTGAACAAGAATATACCAACAATAGCGGAGTAATAGAAGGTCAAAAACATCCTCTAGAAACTTACACACAACACATATGCAACATACATTTAACACAAAATACACAGAATTTGAGTCCTAGGATAAAAACACCACCCTCAAATATTGTACAGCCATTATATGCTGTTGCCTACAAGATCAAGGTCCAGCATATCAATTTTGAAATGACATAACCAATAACAAAACCCTTGATTATACATTTTCAGAATTTGTATAAAACTCTTTTTTTGAAAACAATTTCCAGAGTGGAAACTGAAACATCAAATATTGTTAATTCAAAATGTGATTTTCCTTATAACCAATAATTATGGCTTAACCCCATGTAAACATAATATGTAAATGTTTTATACTTGTACATTTATTATATAGTTTAAATAATTGATACTACAGTTTGATTAACTCTCCCTTATATATAAGATTATTTTGTATTTGTTGTCTTTTTACTTTAAATAATTTATTTAAATTAAAAACCATTTGTTTTCTTTCTAATACAACTAAAAATTTTAATAGTTTTTTTATTATTTAGAGAATTCAGGAATTCAAAGATTTCAGGCAAGTAGAGCTAACATTAGAATTGTATACTTACAAGTATCAGGGGCAAACCTAATTTGTTCTCCATTACAATTTAATATAAAATCATGAGCTTGAGAAAATCTATTATCAGTGGTATTGTTTGGTGGAGGAACACTAAATTTAGCACATAGTACAGCTAAGATTCCCAAAGAATGATGTTGTATGTCCAAAGTTTCCAATACATTATCCAGATGTTGACTGTGCTTTATAAGTACTTCACTAGATTTATTTAAAAATTCACAAAGCTCCCTAAAGTTACCTGAAATCATAACCTTCAATATAGGAAATAAACATAAATTTTAAAATATTAACCGTGGGTAGATGAAGTCCTAACAGTATTCACAAACTGTTCCAATGCAGATGCCATTTCATTGGAACTACCTATGAATTGTAATAAATTTTAAACTATTTAATTAAAAATAAACACCACAAACACTATCCTCATTTGACTTTTGCGAACCGCTTGTTCGTTTGTTGAAGTACATCCGGACACCGAACAGAATCCGGATGTATCGTATCAACTTATCTGTCGATTGTCAATAATACATCATAAGTCATCTTTGTTTTTTGCATTGAAAGTAAAAGGAAAACACTAGAGTTTTCCAACGAACGTATCAACTACGTTTAATTCGGAGTACCGATGTGACATTCCAACACTGCATTTCACTTGCTTAAATAATTCATGTATGTTATGTCTCACTCTTTGGCAATAGTACAAACTAATTTTCTAAAAATAAGCAATGTCAGTGTCAATATTGGACTATCTGTCAAAACGTTTGTCGTTGCTACTGTCATAATTTTGCTATTTATTTGTGAGTGAAAGTGTTTTTGTTAAAAATGCTTTTTGTTTGCTTCTTTAATCCCTAAGAAGACAGGAAGATTAAATATTTTTGTAAGAAATAATGTGAAATAAGTTAAAGCAATGAGTGTGTTCGGTGATTTTCAACAAGTTTGGCTGCAAAGATTTCCCGACAGTCCTTTGCCAGGTGCCTGGGAGGAAGATGTCAGGGCGAATTTAGCAAAACATAAACAAAAGGTGTTAATTTTAAAGGAAGAGTTAGAAAAGGAGGAATTCTATGTTGAATATTTAGAAAGATTGTTAAGCGATGTGGAGGAACACAAGAAAAAAATATCCAAAGAAAAAAGTGATGAATCTGATGATGTCATTGGAGATACTATATCTAAAGTAAATATAAAATTTTTCGTGTTTCAGCTCACTTGCGAATGTTTATTCATTTATTCTAGTTGCTTAATTACCATTTCCTTTTTCAAGTTCTTGTTATGTGGTAATTTCTTTTTAAAGGTGTGGTCAATATTTATTTTTTGTGTCATGAGTATTGTAAATATTTATTAGTGATAATAATCTTCATTAATAAAATCTGGTCTTAAGATAACATTAAGGATTTACTATACCTTTAAAGATATTATATTGATGAGACATTTAAATATGCTAAAAGGATGCATTAATTAGTTTGAATTAATTTTACAATCCCAATACCTTCTACAAAACTATATCACATTTGTGGTGACCCCATTATATTAAAAAAAAAGGAAGTGGTTACTGACCTTAAATTCTATCTTTATTATACACTAAATTTTATGTATATATAATGAAAATTTGTGTAATGATTCATTAAGCAATCCAGATTTCATGAAGGATATATAAAATGATTATAACCATGAAGTGTGAACATTAAAACTTGATGGCACAACAAAGTAAATACAACAGCTGATGTATACAAAGTGGTTGGTTTTATCAATAATAGATCTAAAGCTTTCCATTAAAATCCATAAAAGTTTTACTTTAAAAATATGATTTAATTACAAAATTTGATTTATACACAGTTAGTTTTTATTGAGGACAAAAAATAGGAATAGCTGTTCATACTCATAAAAATTGGGACATTTTTTCTTGAAAACATTATTTAGCTTTATTTGATTATTATAGTACAGTAGAGTACATGCATAAATACATAATTGTACATTTGCATAAATTACATAATTGAGTAAATAATGTCACATTATTAATTACAGATTAAAAAAATAGGTAATTTGAATTTTCCACTTCACAGATTGTCTATAACAGAGAGAAGTCCTTTGTATGCTTGTGTTAAATTTTATAATAGTATACCATCTGGCATTCAACAGGAAACACACTATAGAGCTTTTAAAAGAAAGGTTTTTCAACACCTAGTTGACATTGAGACCTATACTGTGGCAGAGTGCCTGGTCTATCCATCTCCCTGATCAGCATATTTAATTTGCAATGTTAATAAATTTTAATGTGTGATGTCAATATATACCAAAGCTTCTTGCATTATACTCATGATTGGGAAGAAGGTGATAAAACAAAGTAAAATTTTTAAAGAGAAACTTAATGCATTCAAATATATAAATGGCTGAGAAAGTGATTTTTGAATCAGCCTCTACAGGATTCTCCTGCCTTTAAACCTAAAATCACCTGGACTGCCTTTTTTGGACTATAAAGAGAGTTGAGCTATCCACAGCAGCACCCCAGAAGATTACTCCATATCACATAACAGAATAAAAGTTTGCATAATATACTGATAGTAAAATCCTTTGGTCTAGATAGCTTTTTACCACTCTTAATGAGTAGTAGGCTCTATCCAGTTTTTTTTTTGTATTTGTTCAAATCAATTCAAATTTTGTTCATTATGAAGACCAAGGAATTTAACTGATCTAACAGGTTCCGTGTTTTGTGATAGACAATTAATTGTATCTGGAATCTGTTCTCAGGACTGGCTGGTTCTAAAGTAGACAAAAATGTAGTATCAGTATTAAGCAACAACCGATTTCCACTGAACCACTGTCCAGCCTTGTTTAGAATTTGCTCTGCCACTGTGAGGAGTGTTTCTAAAGTTTTTTCCCAGAAAAGCACATTTGAGTCATCAGCAAAATTTACAAGGTTGAGGGGACTACTAACCACCACATTTGGAAGGTAGTTTATGTAGATCAAAAAGAGAAAAGGCCCCAAGACATTTCCCTGTGGCATGCCTAATTTTAAATTGATCGGTTTAGAGTAAACCTTACAGTAAATCTCCTTTTCTCCAGGCATTCCTTTTGCGACCTATCTTTGTGAAATGATTTTATCCACTTTAATGCAGGTCCCTGTATTCCATAAAGATGTAATTTTTGTAATACAAGAACATGATCTAGGCTATTGAAAGCCTTAGATAGGTCCAAAAAAGCACCTAGTGTTTTCATCTTTGCCTCTAGTTTTTCTAAAATTTTTGTTATAAAATAATAGGTAGCTGTCTCAACAGATCTCCTTGCGAGAAAACCAAGCTGTGAACTACTAAATAAGTTGTTTTAGTAATAAAGTTTTGTTGTCTGAAATATATTGCTTTTTCAAATATTTTTGAGAATGATGGAAGAAGGCTTATTGGTCTATAGTTCTTCTAGTAACATTACCTTTTTTATGTAGTGGCTTGACAATTGCCAGTTTTAAACTTTGAGGAAAATTACCTTGCCTGAAAGAAGCATTAACTATAAACTATAAAAGAAAGAGGAAGGGAAATCTCTGATGAAACATAATTAAGTTGGTTGATATTTCATCATAACCAGAGCTAAGCTTGTTTTTTAAGTTATATTTATTATGTGATTTATTTCTTTCTCTGAAACACAAGTTAAAAACATGCAATGATTATTTTGTTCAATATTAATTTTAAAACTTTTTACATACTTTATTTTTTTTACAGTTTCTGGCATTGCATTTGCCACAAATTGATTTATTTCATTAGAAAGCACCTGAGGGTCACCCTCCAACAGAAACTACCTTGATTTTTGGAATTACCATTAATCTCTTTTACAAATTGCCAAGCCATTTTAGGTTTATTTTCACTATTTTCAATTCATTCTTTATAATAATTTTTTTGAAATTGAGTGAGTAAAGAATTGTATTTGTGTTTTTCTGCCCTATAAATAACTTTATAATCAACATTATTGGTAGATAATGTAAACAAAACTTCAAGACTAGATTTACAATGTTTTATATCATCATTTTTAAAGTACTTTTGTCCTTTTTTTATTTGCTGTATTTATTTCTTTGAGTGGAAAACTTAGTATAAAAATTTTCTGAACTATATTCATAAAAGCATCCCACTGATTATCTACTTCTAATGTCTCAAACCAGACACCCAGTTTACATTACCTAACATGAATATACAAGTATTTATTGTTGACTCATGTTTTTTATTCCCAGTACATTCAGTTAGTACTTTATAGATACATATGTGAGCACTTAAAATCTTCAAGAGTGATTTTAGTGGTAATTACAGTGTTGAAATGGATTGAGATTTAGACAGAATGTATGAAAGCATGTTACCTATATGACTGCTATTGTTTTTGGTAAATCATAAAGATATTTCTAAGTACATTCTTCTGGAGGTGTTCAAGTTTTCCATCCTTTTTCACAAATGTTGATCTTGATAACATATATCGTTGAAGTCAAAATATATGTAGTGAAGACATGATTAAATTTTATTACCCTCATTCTGCATTAGCTTCAGAATAGACAAATGTATTTGTTAGAATTAGGAGCTATAAAAGTAGTAATACGAGCTATCTTTTTGTTTAAATTTATACAACAGTGACCAAACAAGATCATTTTTGAGATATTTTATCTCATATAGAATTTTTAAGAGAAAAAATAGAGAAATGCTCATTTTTAATTAGTACTGCTTTATAAATCTATAGTTAGGTAACTGTTATGTGACACTTTATATGAGTGTCAAATTTAAATTTATATTTTTGCATAGATACTAAATTTATATAAATAAATTCATTATTCAACAGTTGTATGTATAGAGTTCATTGTATCAAATATTTTGTGCCTTGACATTGTTACTTATATGCCTTGTTATTGTTCATTTCCTATGTTGATGTATGTGCAGAATAATTTGTATGCCAGTTAATTTGCTGCTTTTTGTATAATAGTTTCCTATAATTAGCTAATAATAGTATTATTGTCATGTCAAACATAGAATGAGACTGCTTGGTCTGGTTTATCAGTAAGTTTATAGTGTAATAGCTGTCAATATGTACATTTAGTGCTAATTGCCTTGGAATACTAGGAAATTTTTATAGACAGAGGTATAGTTTGAAGAGATATAAAAAAACATATGAGACATTTCATAGGGCAATTTCTAATACAGGGTGTATTAGAATTAAGAGTTTTAGTATGATTAAATTACAGTCTACAAAAAGATTTGCATATTTGAACAATTTCTCATAACAAACAAATTTCTTATATGCATTCATTAAATCAGAAATATTTTCAATATATTGCATATTTAATCCTAAGGAATTGGGAGAATTTTAGTCCAAACTTATTATACAATCTATGGCAGCTTTTTGTTTCTTGTTTCCTTCATATTTCTGCCTGATTACGATGATGGTTAAAAAACAACACTTCCTTAACCCTTAGAAGGTCCAAATTTAAAGAAAACCTTGTCTTTTATGTAAGTAGATTTTTTTGTATGTCTTTTGGTTAGTGTTTCATTGGAATTTCCTCAGGGTTGGACAAAAAAATGTTTTTTTAAAACAAAACAAAAAACATGTTTTTTTTGTTTAAAAACAATGTTTTTTGTTTTAAAACAGTTTTTTTCATCTAAAAAAAACACTGTTTTAAAACAAAAAAACACTTTTAAACAAAAAAAAAAACGTTTTAAAATAATTACGTACTTCACTGGATTTCTAAAGGGGATTCCCATAAACTTCAACTGGCACACATATGGGCTTTGGATAAATGCCAGAGAAATACCTGCACCATAGCAGATGCAACAGATATTTGGAAGGACTTACTGGGTTATTTCCAAAGTGAAAGTGAAGCTCAATCTAAACGGTTGTAGCAATGTGTTGGAACTTCATAAAGCAGAAGCACATTTTCAACTGGCTATAACAGATGCGCATTATTTAGCTTATTTATTAGACCCTCAGTACTTAGGTCAGAAACTCTCTGAGGTGGAAGTTGATAGAGCATTGTTATTTATTTCGGATTTTCACCCAAATGTAATGCCCGAAATACTGTCATTTTGTGCCTTAGCACCACCATTTAATAAACAATATTTGTTTGCAAAAAATTCATTAGACAATTTAAGTTCTTTAACATGGTGGCTATCTCAAAAACAGTTTATTTCATCGGAGTTGTTGCAGCTGACAACTCAATTATTTTCAGCAGTTGCATCCAGTGCTGGAGTGGAGAGGCTATTTTCTTCATATGGTCTAGTTCACTCGAAATTGAGGAATAGGTTAGGAAGTGACAAAGCTGCTAAGCTAGTAACAATATTTCAACATTTAAATAAAAATGTTTAAGGTTACATTATTAACCGTAAAAGCTCTATATTTATAGTTCATTGTTTCATAAAAACATTCATTGTTATTTTTATTTTTTGTATCACATATCAGTTGCAGGATGTAGGACTGTGTAATAGATGCTGTTGTAATTCAATAATTATTTACTTAATTTCTTAATTTTCTTTTTCTTTTAACTTTATTAGGAGTATTGGTTTAGTTAATGTTACTACAGCACTGTCTAACAGTACTAGTATGCTTGCTACCTGAACATAAATAAAGTTTAGTCAGTTACTTTTTTTGAGTTTTACTTTTTACTTAGCATTAATATTGTTATTGCACCTACTTACTCTATAATCTATGTTTGCAATTTTGCAAATTAGCAAACACAAATGTCTTATAACAAATGTTAATAAACAAAATAATAATAAACAATAACGAAAAAAAAAACTGTTTTAAAAAATGTTTTAAAACTGTGTTTTAAAATGCAACTGTTTTTTTCAGTGTTTTTAAACATGTTTTAAAACGTTGTTTTAAAAAGCTTGTTTTAAAACAGCCCAACCCTGAATTTCCTCCTCCCCCAAGTTGGAAGTTCTTCCAAGGCAAATGTCCAGATCTGCCACTGCTGGTAGCTTGTTTTTCTTAGGTGAATTTTTGACATGTATCTAGTATTTTTCACAAATATTTACAGTTCCCATTTTTAACAGCAATAAAAACATACATAACAATTGTAGACGTATATGTATTCAGTCATAATTTCCAAAACTCTTTGATGATTTAGCTAATGTCCAAATAAAATGAACGTTCAGAAACCAATTACTGGTAAAAAGTACTGGTTGATCCACAATTCACATTTACAAATCTGATACCTTATCAATTAGTATAATAAAAGCTATGAAAAAGTTTTAAAAAGTGGATACTATTTACACAAACATTTCCAAGGCTTTCGTCTAGGTCGTTTAACACATAATATGTTTAAACAAGTTTTAGGAATTTACCTTTACTACACCATACATTAAATATATCAGTAGCTTTGTATTTGATCAGCAACACAAATGAAAAATGGGTTCTTTTAAGACATATTTAATAACTGTTACCTGAAGGAGAATATTGTTTACCTACAATTTTTAGTCTTTGCCAGGAATATTTTTGATTGCTTTTATAATAGTGTTGGTTGTTTTTTTTTAACTTATGGTTTTACATTGTCTCATATAATAAACCATTGAATGATCAATCACTGCTTCCTATAGATTTAAGTCAAGCCTAAAAGAAGTGTCAAAAGATAAAGGTATTGGTGTTGTCCTGGATGAAAATTTAAACTTTGTAGAATATATATATCATCATCATCATTGGCTCCACAACCCATGGTGGGTCTTGGCCTGCTCAAGGATAAGTCTCCATTCTCTCCTATTCTTCGCCTTGGTTTTCCAGTTTCGAACTCCCAACATTCTCAATTCTTCCTCCACCTGATCCTTAAATCGTGGTCTGGGTCTGCCTCTCCTTCTTACACCATCTATTCTTTGGTTATAAATATGTTTTGGCGGTTTTTTAAATATGTTACTCATACAGGCGGTAAAGTTCGAAATTATAGCGTCTACACCATAATCTGTCCTCATGTACTCCTCCATAGATATGCCGGAGGATTTTACGTTCAAAGCATCTTAAACATTCTTTATCGCTCTTTGTCATCGTCAATGTTTCTGATGGACTAGGTGAGGATGGACTTGATAAGAGTTCTGTATATCATTAGTTTCTTTCTTTTTGTAACTAGGCTTGTTGTTAAAAATTTTTTTAATCCATAATAGGCTCTATTTGCCATATATAATTACAATAAATATATAATTACAGTAAATTCATCTAAGAAGCTCAGCTTTCTTGTATCAAAAGTTAATTGGTGGAATTTTTAGCAGAAAGAACAGACAAATGTTTTATTTGTTACAAAATGGTAACACAAGCAATTTTTTCTGTGAATTTATACAAAGATGACCAAAGATCATTTTTGGGATATTTTATCCCATAATATAGAATTTTTAAGAGGAAAAATAGAGAAATGGTCATTTTTAATTTGTACTGATTTATAAACCTTTAGTTTAGGTAAATGTTATGTGACACTTTATATCAGTGTCATATTTAAATTTAGTTTTGCATAAGTACTAAATTTATATAAATAAATTCATTATTCAAAGGTTGGATATGTACAGTTCATTGTATCAAATATTTTGTGCCTTGACATTGTTACTTATATTTTTTGTTGTTTTTCATTTCCTATATTGATATGTATGCAGATTAATTTGTATGATAGTTAATTTGCTGTTTTCTGTATAATAGTTTCCTATAATTAGCTTGTAATAGTATTATCATCATGTCAAACAGATGCCATCATAATAATAATGATGATGTTGTGTCAAATTGGCTTATTGTACAATAAAAGACAGATTACTGAAGTTGGTTTTTAGTTATTGTTTAATTATTGTATCAGTTCATATAATAAATGACCACATTATTGTAATGTATTGTTTATTTACGGACTTGCTATTTTTTACAAATCAACTTAAATTTAGCTTAAACTATTAAAGCACAGTGTGATTACATAAAAAGGTATTTTCAATTTTGTTCTAATAGTACTTAGTGATAAATGAAAAAAAATCATTCCTATTAAATTTGTTGGCATTTCTACAGTATAAGTTTGATTATGAAATTCTAAATAAAATAAGTCTTGGGATCTGGTGTCCCTACGGGAGTACAGAAGTAAACCTTTTCCAAAAGAGCACTAGCATCAATGCCTCCTCATATTGATTTATATATAAATGCTTTATCTAGCCATATTCGCCTTTCAAGAGTAGGCAATTTAAGTAAAGAATGCAAAACAATGTATTCAATTTCATTTACAGGTATTCTCAATTTAAAAGTAATAAATCATAAAAAAACTCTTATCAAAATCTGAAAAGAAGATGTTATTACAGAAAATCTTCATATTTTAAACTAGTAGATTCGCTGTTTTAATATTGAGATACATTGATTTTTTAAAAATTATTGATCAGAATAAATTTTTATATTTTGTTTTTTTTTTTTAATTTCAGACTGAAGTCAGTAAACCATCCACTATATCATTAAATGTTGAGGAAACAGAAACCATTTCTGCTAATATGTGTGTCAATGAAATATCCAAGCAGTTAATCGCTAGTGAAGTTCCAGAAAAATATGAACCAACAGCTCCACCTGATCCAGATCCCGGAACCTTTGTAACTGTTATAGAAGTCAACGGATTGAAACAGAATACTTCACCTGTTAAAATACCTCCCAAGTAAGGAATTATTTGATCACAAAATGTTCAAACAACACTTTAAAATAACCTATTACATAACATTATTTTTTCTGTTTTTTATACATAACTGTGTTTATCCAGCCCTAAATATTTTTACATCATGCATCTTATGATGAACTTATATTATTAGTTATGGAACATCTGAAAAGGTATGCCATTTCATGCATTTTAGTTTTTTTTTCTATGTGGGCCCTTAGCATTATTTGTATGGCATTTATACATAATATTTCAAATAAGCTTCTGTATTAAATAGTTGCACAGCCTCATATGGAAGCCCTTTCTATTTGATTTTTAATTATGGTCAGAATTATTCTTCTATCTTCTAATGCTCTTCTCAAACTTCATTGCTTCATTGACAAAGCTTCATTGGCAAAGCTTCATTGACATAAACTTCAAATAGGTTCATGAGTTTTTCACAATGGAGTTTTCTTCATAATGAGGTTAGTTGGTGGACAGAACAATATATAATGAACAACATATTTGGGATATCAAGTTTTGAGAAGTTAGCGAAAGAAACAGATCAATTTAATTTGCTAGCAGGTTTTTAAACATATTGTCATCATATTTTTAACTCTACAAACCTCAAAAATCTGTATACAGATTTAAAGGACACAATTTCTGTTACATGTAGCCAAACTATCTAAAATACAATCTGTTTATTTTTGAAAGTATCTTTGGATTCCTTGGCATGGTAATTTGTAAATGATTTTTTGCGGTGAAATCAACTAATCTTGTATTCCTTGATTTAAAGATTGAAAGATTATTCTCAGTTTTTTTATTCTCTTCTTTGGCCACCTAAAATCTGTGCATAACATTTCATTGTACAGACAGTAAACAAGGAAAACAGTACAAAATTTTTTTCTTCCAAGTCAGCTGTAGCAGACTGTACTTATCATTATGGAACACATGGCTCAGATATGTTGCTTTCTTTTTTAACAGTTCCAGAATAATGCCTTGCATTTTTGGAAAGCTGCATCAAAACTTTCATATTAAATACTCATATCTACTTTTTACATACAAAATTCCATTAACATTTTCTATTTATTTACTATTATGTTAACTGTCTATATTGTTTAATATTTTTTATGCCATTTTCACACTTTAATCTTCAATTAATTTTGTTTTATGAAATATAAGGTAGCTGTATTTTCTAAAACTATTTCCACCATTCGCAAAGTTACTTTGTTCACAGTCTCCACACAATACTTTTTTACGTTCTTATGTGTGTAGATAATACATAAATATATTCCAATAATTGCAAAGGAAAAGAATTTAATAATAATGATTTTGATATATTTATTTCAGAGTTCCACAAAGACCAGATTCCTTGAAAACCAAACCAAAAACAAGCACTAGTGACTCCAGATCATCGTCATCTGAATTTCTTGCTAATAGTGATGAACCTTATTATGATATGGTAGCGCAAGATGAAGATTTTGTATTAAAAAGTAATCATTCCAGTACAGAAAACGTGTTCAGCTCTACTAGTACTCTTCCGTTGGAGTCAAAGAGGGATTCCACTCAAACAGTACAGGATCCTCAGTCTCCAGGAACCTCAAATTATGTCAATATTGAGTATTTTATTCAGTAAGTATCTGTTTTTGATAGCAACTAAGGACCCTAACTGTGTGTAAAGTTTTCAACGTTCATATTTGAGCATTGGCCACATATTGAAACATAAAGACCAATTATTTCTAGTAAATATTCATTTAATAATAGTTAAAGCTCTACTCTAATTGCTTAATGCATAGGGATTGAATATCATGAAACCATGAAATACACAAGAACGTAAAATATTATATTGAACTTACTACAAAGATTATTTCAGGAAACCCAACCAATTTCAAGGAAATTTTCAGATTCACATGGGTAGACAACAAAAAGTAATTCTTAGGGATTTTAGGATGACACAGCCATATCTAATTGCTTATGAAAACCCATTTAATTGTCACATAAAACTAAAAATTTTAGGCTCTTTTAGGCATGTTTTTTAATTATCCTAAATTAAATGTTTTAACTAAAGCATGTTTCACAGAATAAGCTCAGAATAGTAGTATAAAAAATATAGTAGTCATGCGTGAAGTACAACCTCACCAATTTTTAAAGTCAACAATAAATATCTTAGGATGGAGGGAATGAACAAGGAGTTGTTCACAATTATCACAATTACAAAATCACAATTACAAAATCCTTAACAATGAAATCAGAAAAGTGATAAGAGAGGCAAAACAAACTTACTATGAGGAAAAATACGACCTATTCAACCTACATAAAAAGGTTAAAGAAATGGCAGGGATGCAAAAAAGAAACCACAACACAACTCTTTTAGATAAAAATGGAAATACTATGATAACAACTGACGAAAAGCTAAAGCGATGGAAAGAATATATGGAAGAGCTCTTTGACGACGAAAGAGGAAACCTACAAGTGATAGTTCTCGGTTACTGGTATCTTCAGCTACTCCTTCAATGTAACTATTTGATTCTTGAGTGAGTCTATTAATCTATTCCATCAATTGTTGTTAATAAAATCATTTAAAATCTGCCATTTGGCCCATCAATGATATTTATATGTTTATAACGTATAAATTCTGAGATATCTGTGTCAACGATCTTTGTAATCAAGTCATGTTAATTCAAATAAAAAAAAATGAATATATTAACATAAATTTTGATTATTATACTGTAATATGTGTTAGTCTAATGTAATGGTTTATTGACACAGGTTTTCTAAAAATAACAACAACCTACAATGTTATTAATGAATTGAAATTGTTCTGTGAATTTTTCTAGTATGCCATCTGATCCAGTTTTCAACTTTCACTATAATTTCAATTTTCTGTTTACTTAAGTGACTACATTATGAAAAATTGAAGAAATGATTGGTACTTTATTTACTACTATTTAAATGAGATATATTTCTTTTTGATTCATTCGAAACTTCATTTAAAATACATTAAGGCTTTTCTGAGACTATTATTTAATACGTAATTTACTTATACATTAGTAATATGTGTTCTTTTTCAGACCTAAAAAGAATGGTAATGGGCATAGTAGTAGTGAAGATGAACACGAGGAAATAGCAGAACTAAGAAGACAAAATGATAATAGTTCCTATGCAAGTTCCAGTTCTTTAGAGTCGGTAACACCAGCGTCAAGGCGAAAGTTTAGCCATGTAAGTTGTTACAATATATTTGTAATCTCAATGAGTTTATTTTGATTCCTGTAATAATATGTCCACAGTTTTTTTGTATTGCTTGGTAAATTTCACTTTGTCTGAACTTTGGGCATATAGAGACAAACTATAGTAGTGGGACAAATTACTATTCGAACTATGCTCACCATTTTTTGTAGATTTTATTGAGATCTTATTATTTGAGGATCTCAGACACAAAATGAATTATTTGGTTTCTAACATCAACACTTTGGATATATACTTTGGAGTTGACTTGGCACCGTTAACAACATTAAAAAGTAAGTTGACATTTCAACTTGACAATTGACAGATAAGGAATGGTGAGATCACGAAACTTAGCCAGAATATTCAAAAGGAAAATCCTCAGAAGAATTATGAGCCCAATAAGAATGGAAAACGAAGAAATAATGAGAAGAATGAACTATGAAATAAGAGACATAGGAGGAAATAAGAGACATGAAGGTTGAAGGGGGGGGCTATAGTTACATTCATGATACTATGAATAACAAGATAGGATCTTCCCGTAGCTCAAAATCGGTCGGGTTCGCGCATGCCGTCATTGGAGAGTAGAATTTGAAATCTTGTTAAAGTTATGGGATTTGTATGCATTCTGTGATGAAATTACTAGACGAAAATAAGTTAAGAGGTTTAATAATTACAATAATCGTACACATAAGGATATCTCCAAACTATTTATTAAAGATTATTTATTCACATATACAAAAAACTGACATTTCGAACGTGCAACTCTCCAATGACGTCACAAAAACATGCGCAATACCTTATCTTATAGTCATAGTATCATGGTTACATTTATTAAAATGCAGACTGAGATGGCTGGTACACATAGAGAGAAGGAAAAACGACCTACTGATTAAGAAGATCACCAGATGGAAGCCAGAAACTGATAGGCGAAGACCTAGAGTTATGAGTGGACCGGTTTATGAGGCATATCAAAATTCTGAGAGAAAGTAAGAAACTGGAGGTAAATTTGATCATGATCGAAATGAGTGGAAGAAAATTGTAACGAAAGCCAAGAGATATAACAAACTTTGACACTATGCAAGAACAATGCGGAGTTATTCACCACAATAAGCGAATTAAAGAGCTCTATGTGTGTTAAATTTCTCCATGATATTAATCAAAATTAAAATCCAATTATACTTTTTTAATTATGTATACTTTTAGGATGGTGGTGATGCCAAGGAGGAAAAAGATAGAATGTACAAAAGTATTTTTTATAACATAACAGACAGTGAAACAAACTACGTGGATTGGTTAAGTTTTTTATTAAAGGTAGTACTCTATAAGATCATGTAATAAATTTACTTTAAATGATCATATATTTTAGTATATGAAGGCTATTCAGGCTACCATAGGAACGTCTCAGCCCATCGTAAGCGAGACGGAATTAAATATAATTTTCTATAAAATCCCAGAACTGTTCAACTTACACGCAAACTTTTTAGAGGCTCTTAAAAGACATATTCAAAATTGGGATACCAGGATAGGGGAAAATTTTAAAATGATGGTAAGTGTAAAATAATCAGTGATTAATTAGTATACTTATATCGGAGATAATTAACTTTTCATGTTTTTACTATTAGTTGAAATGCCACATATTTCTCATAAAGTTTAAACATTTAAACTGCAATTTTTACCTTTTATATAATTTAAATATTTTTCAGGCTTCAAATTTATCCTTATACGGAGCATTCTTAAGTAACTACGGCCTGGCTTTGGACACTGTTCGAAAATGCAGCGCGGCCAACGTTCAATTTAGTGAAATTTCTAAAAATATAACCTGCAAGCAACTGTCAGGTCAGCCAATTAGTCTGGAGGATCTGTTACACAAACCAGTAGCGAGAGTTCAAAAAAACGCCTTAGTTTTGCATGATCTTTTAAAATTTGTCCCGCCTTCCCATCCGGATCATCATAGTTTAGCAGAAGCGTTAAATCTGACGCAGAACTTTTTGGATCAATTTAACATGATCCAGACAAAATCAATGTTTCCTGTAAGTACTTTTTTATGATTTTTAGTATCAAACATTGATACTAAGTGAATACTATTGCTTTTATTGTTACAATATATGAACTTACCATATGAATACATAATACTACATTTTGCAAATGTTTATGGAGAGACCCAAAGCATTATTTTATATGCCTCTGCTCATGTTACAAGCAACATGAAATCATTTAAAAATACAGCACTTCGCATTGCCACAGGTGAATTTAGAACAACACCAGTTAAGAATTTTTAATGCTTAACAGGAGAACCACCTCTTACCCTACGAAGGAAGTATTTATGCCTCTCGTATGCATCTTCACTCGCCAGTAATAAATTACACCCAGTGTTTGAAAATACATTTACGGACCGTTACCTAGCATCTGCAACTCTAAATTCCTGACCTCTTTCCTTTAAATGTAAAAACTCCCCTCCTTGGTTAATCATGATTCCCGAAATCAATAGGACACTAATCCAATATCTCCGAGACTTGCGGAGAAAGTTTTTGCATTTCTACAGATGCCTCTGCACAAATCTGCAACCGGTGTATGGGCAGCATCCTACACCGTTTGCAGATTTGCATTGTCACTCCACATTCCTCTTCCCAATTTAAATTAATGTCACCCACTTCTTTATACACAGCAGAATTATATGCAATATTACAAGCCCTCATGCATATTAAAAATACACACCATTCTTCCTCCGTCACTATCACAGTTTCTCTAAACTCGTTAACAACAGTTGGTCAAGTATTCACAAAAAACCCTATAGCCTTACTTGTCAAGAAAGAACTTGCTGCCTTACAAGAATCTGGTTCCGAAATCAAATTAATGTGGGTTCCATCTCACATTAGAATACAAGGCAATGAAAAAGCAAACCTTCAAACAAGAGAAACTACCAATAACGACCATGCTATAATAGTGTCAATGACTATCTCCAGTGACATAAAACAGTTCGTCAAAGAAAAAGTGATCAAATTAGAAGAAATTAAATCGACAGTGAAACCGTGGTGTATAGTAAATCTAAAAAGAGCTCAGCAAGTCAAAACTTCTCGACTTTTTCGACTTCGATTAGGTCATACCAATATTACTCATAAGTATCTAATGACTAAGGAAAACATTCCAATATGTGAATAGTGTCAAGTCAACACTACTGTTAAATACCTAACAGAATGTGGAAAATATACAGTAAACAGACAAAATAACAATATTTCCAGTGATTAAAAAACTGTGTTAGGTGAATATTTAACTACCAAAAACTTAATTAGCTTTCTTAAAGATACATGCTAATGACCCAGGTGGTTAAAGCGACTATTTTTTGTAAATAAAAAAATGAATTATTATGATCCTAATTTTGTAGAACACAAAACAAATTGCCAATAAAACTACATATTTGAAAATTGTATCTAATCAAGTCTAATGAATATTTTATACTATGATAGAACATTGCAGTACTTACATTTCCTTATTTTTGTTAACATTTTTTTTATTTTTTAGGCATCGGATAGAGCGCAAAGACGACTAGTAAAAAATTCGTTTATAGTAGAATTTGTTGATAATCATCGAAAACTGCGACATCTGTTTTTATTTAACGACGTTATTGCTTGTGCCAAATACAAGGTAAATATGATTATTTTATCTGTTATTATCTTTGTCTATCGAACATAAAATAAATAAAATAAAAAAAAGTTAAAAACAAATAAAAAAAGTAAAATAGTAAACAGTAAAAACAGAGTAAATAACTAGTAAGTAAGTTTCTAACATTTCATGTCTTAATCAGTTCAATAATCGAGTTGTAAAGATTGTAAAATGGTGTAGAGATAGTGCAAGCATTCCTGCCCACGGCGCAGTAGACGAAATTTGGTTTAGTCCCCACTTCCATGCGAAACGTAGTGTACTATGCACTGTATAATTCTACTTACAATAGAACCTTTCTGTCTTTACATGAATTTTGACTCCGCCTTCGCACATCTCTATGGTCAGGAGTGTTTGCACTATCTTTACTTACATTTTCGTCAAATTCGTTAAGTCGGTAACTTATTTTACTTAAAACTATAGATGTAATAACTTTAAAATAACCGAGTTGTAAAGGTTGTAAAATGAAACATTGCTATGCTCGAGATACAAAGTTCCAATTTAATTTTTCGAGTTATAGAGAGAAAAAATGTACCAAAATGGCTTGCAGCCATTGCTCACTAATTAGTTTTATAAATACGTGTTGTTTGTAAATAGATATAAAAGTTTTTTTTTTTAATGTGAGTTCAAATTTTTTTTATTTCTAGACTGCTGGACGCAACGAAAAATACACATTTGAACTAAAATGGTTCATACCAGTAGAAGATATTTTAACATTAGAAGAAACCACTGCTAACTTACATGAAGTATCACAATCAAATATAGTAGCTTTAAAATCCCAAGCATCAAATGTTAGGGATCAGTTAAGACAAGAAGAAAAGTCGAATGAAGACAAGGTAGGAAAATATTTTTATCCTAAGGGGAATTAAAAAAAGTAATAATATTTTGTTTGTAGTCGACCATTTCCGTATTAAATCTAAAACATTTTGTTTTGTTTTTAAGCCATGAGTATTTATTTCTTCCGATGCCTCGTTTTCCTTCTATCTTCCCTTCCATAATAAGCTTTAAGAACTGGTACTTGGAATTTCGAAATATATGACCCAGATAAGCAGTTTTTATTCTTTTTATTATTAGCAGCAATTCTCGTTCTCTGTCCATTCGATTTAATACTTCGACATTTGTTATATATACCCACATTTCAAAGGCTCCAATCGGTTCATCACATTGGCCTTTATGGTCCAGGTTTCTACACCATATAGAATCTGTGTGATCTGTCCAGGGAATTTTAAGTAGTCTTCTAAATACCCACATTTCAAAGGCCTCCAATCGGTTCATCACATTGGCCTTTATGGTCCAGGTTGCTACATCATATAGCACTATGGAGTAAATATAACATTTTACAAAGCGATATCGAAGCGTTAAGTTAAGGCTGCTGTTGCTTAGCAAGGTTCTCATATTAGTAAATGCTGTTCTAGCATTCTCAATCATTCTCAATCCTTCTACGTATCTCTATGTCTGGATCTAGATCTTCAGTTATCCAACTACCGAGATATCTGAACTTGGGGACCTTTTGGATGTTCTTATTGTATACTCTTAATTGCATATTTCGTGTTCTACTAATCACCATTACCTAGGTCTTGTCTATATTAATCTTCAAGCCCAGTCGTTCTCCTTCAGTGTTTATTCTATCTATTAGTCGTTGTAGCTCTTCTTGGCTATCAGCAATATACTAGCAATAATTAATTATTGTCAAAATGTTCACATTCACCTCAATGTAATACTAGAAACCTTCTCTACAGCAGCGCCGCCCTAGCGACAAACCAAGCAAACAGGTTAACTAGTGTACACAAATTTCAAGATCTCCTAATCTCGATCCTTCTCCTGTTTTATAGGTCTCCATAGGCGCGACAGGGGAAATGGGAATTTATTTAATTGTATATTATTATATTGATTTAATTGTAGCGAAATAGGGAAATGGGAATTTATTTTTATATAATAGATAAAAAGCTTACTTTTATAGCCAAGATTAATTTGGGTTCGTTCGGCAGTGCATTTAAAATATACCTTAATTACCTGATTAACTAGCACATAAAATACTAAGTATTTATATTATTGATTTTTAGAATCGTTCAAAACTTCTCCGAGGCTCGGACAAATATAGAAAAAGACTGATAGAACTAGAAAGCCAACTGGTACTTGTCTCCCCGAACCTCGTTTACAGGATCAAACACAAAGTGACGGGTCGTACTTACATGTTCTTCCTATCGTCCGACTTCGAACGAACACAATGGATTGAAGCAATTTTAACGTTGCAAAAGACTGAAAGGACCGGGAAGTTTGCAGCACAGCCGCATAATATGCTTGAATTGCAAGCTTGGATAACTGCCTGTAGGCAGTTTTTGAAGACGAACATGGGTTCATATCTGTTGAGGAGTGGGAACGATGAGAGTTTGTTGGTTGGAGATCTGCATGTTTATATTTACGATTTGACTGGTTTGGAGTATTCCTGTGGTAAGTGATTACGTTTCAATACACTTTATGTCATATTAAATTAACAGATGAAACAAATTGTTAGTGGAAGACCAATTTTTATGGAAATGTAAATGTAATGTCATGTGAATGGTGTATATTGTTGAGTACGTTGAGTACAGATTAGTCATTCGATGGCAAATCATGGTTTTTGGGGTTTAAAATACTTGCAAACAATTTATGATTGCATATAATATTACTCAACCTTTTTCAGTAATCTTCTAATTTATTAATTCCATCCCTGAAGTGAGAATACGAAAGATTGTTAAAATATGGTTCTATGGTTGCTATTATTATATCTTTAATGACAATATTGTTTTCCACACATGGATTTATTAAGATGTGAGAAGAGCCAGAAGCCAGGGAAAGATAAATGTGGCAAATAGGGTGGATATTGCCACAGTGTGTACTTTAATTCTAACATCCTAACATTTTTTTACTTGATTTTTGGTTCTTCACTCGCTTGGGAGTGGAAGTACCGCGTTCAAATCTCATTCACAGTGAGGACTGTATTAAAGAAAAACGCCCCAACTGAGAAAGTCACATTCAAATGTGTTTTTATTCCATTGTTAACGAATGCAGTACTCGGTGTACACATTGCTCTCCGAAATTAAAAGTTTCAGCCAAAATATGGCTTACAGTGGGATGAAACACGTTTTGTTGAGTTCTCAGCACAGACTGAAATTTATTTTAATGTTATAATACACAGAACACAATGGAGTTACATTGTAACGCCGATTTTTGGTAACATCGAGTACATACATTTAATTCAAGGTCAGGTTAGCTCATGTCGGAGAGTAAGGTGTGGTAAGGTCAACTGCACAAAAAAACTACGTAGTATGTCAAAATTTCAAACACAATTAGATAACTGAAATTATAATTTATCATTGGACGGCACCCCTTGTTTATCCTCGTAGGGGACGAGAGAAAAAAAAATAAAAAAATAAGATATATAAAAAAATTTACAGCGAAATTACACTTTATTTCTCAGTAATAAAAAGAAACATTAAAAGTTGTTATTTCCAAAGGATACTAAAATACCATTTCATAATTACATTACTATAAACAAAGCAACTTTCCATCTTTTTAAATCAAGAATTGGTTGATAGAAACAAATGAATTTATATATTATTCCCAAATTTCGAAATTCGTTTACATTTAAAATATTATAGTAGTTATTTATTAACTAGGCAACATAGAAAAGTTAAATCTATTTATTAACTAGGCATAATAGAAAGGTTAAGTCTTAAACAAAATTTAAAATATTTCACTATATTCTTGTCTCTGTGAATCCATAAATAATTCTCGCGTTCCTGATAGGGCTTAATAAAAAAAAGGTACAACCTTATTTATCCAATCTCTGGGAACCAGGAAAAAAGGGATATACTCTGCTTCTTCTCATCCGTTGGTTATTTCATCAAATATTTACTAATAGGAATCCATTTATATAATAAGTAATTATTGGAAACCATATATAAGGAAGTATTGTACCATAGGAAACTGTCTCAGTTAACTTAACATAATCAATGAACTTTAACCTCCCGGAAAGAAGAGTCTGAAAATAATTATTCATCTGAAATATAGACAAGAAAAAGCTTTTCTTTATAGCTTACCTCTAATCTAGAGACTCACTTCGAAAACGCGTCCTGTCGGGTGGACGTTTGTAACAGGAAAGGAAGCGACGCTATTTCAACGGTTTTGAATTGGGGGCGTGATTGACAAGTTAATATCGTTCTCATCTATCGGATATGTTGGGAATTACCGTAGGAACCTTGAGTCGAATACAAACGCCTGACAGATATATGGGGTTAGTAGTTTTATTAAAAAAAAAATAATCAAATTTAGAATGAATTTTCTAAAACTTTTGAAACGGTTACAACATGTTACTATATAATTTTGTTTGCGAAATTCTAAAAAAAAAGATGCAAAATTCTAAATGAGATAAAAACTAGAAAGATGGAATACTTGGGGCACATTGTGAGAGGTGAAAAGTACGAACTTTTAAGAAACATCATGCAGGGCAAAATTAAGGGCAAAAGAAGTGTGGGAAGAAGAAAAATATCGTGGCTTCGTAATCTACGTGAATGGTTCGGGTGTAGTTCGATTGAACTTTTTAGGCGCGCTGCTAACAAAGTCGCAGTGGCCATGATGATTTCCAATCTCCGCTAGGAGTGGCACGAGAAGAAGAAGAATATAATTTTGATGATCGTAAATACGATTGTGGATTCGTTGGTTTGTCTGTCCTATGTATGTTCGTAGGCAACTGGAACAAGATATCTCGTAGAGACTATGGTCTTCATTGGGGATTTGGTCTTTTACGGATCTGACGAGATTGGACAACTTGGAGTGAGTAGTGAAGAAAGTTTTGATGTTGGGAGGGTTAAGAGTTCTACTGATCTTGTCAATGACACCTTTGATAGAAAGATTTTGAGTTAATCGGGCGGTGAGGTTTCTTTTTCGGATGGAATGGGGTTTAGAATGCTCCTATTTATTTGTGTTTTGTGGTAGCCATTTTGTAAGAGTGTTTGCCTTATTGAATTGATTTCGGATGATTTGTAAATGTCGTCGCTAAGTCTTATGGAACGAGAAACAAGAGTGTTGATAATTGAATTGAGTTGGGCGGTGTGATGGTGTGACTGGGCATTAATACAACGGTTTTTATGGGTGGGTTTCCGGTACAAGGAATAGGAAAAACTTTGAGGTGGGTGTTTCTGAATAAGAACATAAATTTCGAAAAGGCAAAAACCATTTTCCCTATCCCCGCCTTAAAATCAAGAATTATTCGTGAAGCCATCGAAATTGAAAAACTCCCTAATAGCTTAAATACGAGGGATGTCACTAGAAGACTACCGGCAATGTGGCGACCCATCGCTCTCGATGCCGCTCAGACCGTTTCTCGTATTTCTGGGGAACTAGATAGTGGTAGGTCACGACTGAGGAAAGTAGGTAGATTGAGACCCAGAACTCAAACGGAACGATATCCCTCTTGATAATGGCTCCAAAGTGGGTGCCGAAATGTCGAGTTTTAAATTATTAACATGGTTCTTCCCGAGAACTTAATTTTCATTTGACTGACCGCGGATATTTTCCCTCTACGCCACTGGTCAGAGTAATAATTCAACTTTTGCAGATTACAATATTGCCATTTTTTAATATCTAACTCTCTCGTAGAGGGAGATTTTCTAGCGTAATTCTGCGCCGACTATACTATCTTAAGAAAAATAAAACTACGAATCTAATAGTGTTATCTCTTATCAGACTACCAAACTTTTTGTACATACATATATTATGAAGTAGTAGATTTCTAACCTGTATTTAAATTTATATTCTTTAATGCTTTCGTGCATTGCTTTAATGCACTTTTCGATGTAATTTTTGTTAATTTTTGACAATTTTTAAGATGTAAATTACAAAAAATAACTGTTTTAGATTTATATATAGTCGTCGAAGTGGACTTCTACGGCCACTTCTTCCAAAAAGCCAAAACGAAAATTATATGCAATACGAACAATCCTCAGTGGAACGAGAATTTCGTTATTGACCTTGAAGGTTGTGAAAATCTTCGAATACTGGTTTACAGAGATGGTACTACGAATCCAACTTTGTTCGGAAAACACACGCAGACGCTTAGCAGAAAATGGCTGAATGAACATGTCAAAGACAAGAAGCTGTCGATAAACGGATGCACCTTGAAGATGGGTCTTAAATACATTCCTTGTGAGATTAGTGTAAGGAGGGTACCGACTGGAAAAACTGGGGCCTTATTTGGGGAGAAAATTCAGGCTGTTTGCAAGTAAGTTATTAACTATCATCTTTTATTTGTTCAGCAGTATGTTAAATAACGGTATCACATCAATTAAGTTCCAGATATACTATTATACCCATCCATATAGGGGACACCCATACACGATGTCTGAAACAAGTAATTTCTTATGTAAAACAAGTCATAAAATAAAAAAAAATCTGTTATAGTTTTTCTAGTTAGTCCTTCTTTCCAATCTGTACATCTTAACAGTCTTAACATTATGAATGTAGGTACATATTGCTTTTTCACTGTCTCTTCATCTATCCCTATTCTGAGTTGCACCTACCCCCTCATTGACATAGAGCATACTTTTTGTAATCTTTTGCAAAATATTCGTAATAGGAATATATATATCGTATTACTGTCCATCAATATTTATTCTAATAAAAATGCATGTTTGATATATTCATAATAAAGTGATATATGGTTGAATGCTCGAATAAATGAACTTTGATCAAATGAAAGGCAGATATCGAGCATAGTTTTTTATTAAATCTTGCCCAAGTACGTTCGCTCCTAGATTATCTTCAGGGGCATCTAAAATAAGCCAAGAAACCTGAAGGAAAATTAATTAACTTCGAAAAAACTCGAAGTTGATGGTTGATAAAAAATTTAATAAAAAGTTTTAGACTTAGTCAAAATTATAGGCGATCCAGCAATTTCATGGATGTCATAAACATTAAATAATGACATATGACAACTTGGATAAGCAATCACAATCATAGTGATGTGGTCTGCACATTTCAAAGTTCTATGGTAAATTGAACATTGACCAAAAATCCCACTGACACTAATATAGAACAGCGATCACCAATTATATTCCCTGAGGGTATATATATAGCGAATGTTTGCAACTTTAATTTTGTCGCTTCTCGCATCCCAATCGCCATAATTTCTTATCGGCCCAGTCTCCTTCTTGAAGACCTCTATTTTCCATTTCTATATGAATATTGGATATCCATTTCTTTCTTGTCCTTCCTCTTTTATTTCTCTGTGTAGGTCTCCAGTTCCAAACCTTTCGTGGTATCCTTTCTTCGTTCATCCGTCTCAGGTGTCCATACCATTTTAATTGTTTTTCGGCTATCGTATCCATTATTGTGTTCTTTACTTTCATTCTCTCTCTTATGTTTTCATTTCTTATGTGGTCAAACAAAGTTAACCCGGAACATCTTCTCCAGTACATCATTTCCGTTGAGAGGAGATTTTGTGACATATTATTGTTAAAGACCCACACTTCTGACCCATACGTCAGCACCGGCTGAATCATAGCCTGATATATATTTTTCTTTGTTTTCTTAGTTAAAGTTTTATTCCACAGGATCGGATGTAGTATTTTTATCATGTTTTTTCCTTTTCCTATTTTTCTTGTTATATCTTTGTCGTCTCTCCCGTCTTCGCTTAGTGTAACTCCGAGATATTCGTACTGATCAACGTTTTTAATTAATCCGCTTTCTGTTTCCATGTGTTGACCGATGCCTTCTATATTTATGTATTGTGTCTTTTCGGTATTAACCTCCAATCCCCATTTTTTGAATTCGTCTATTAATTTGTTTATCATGTACGTCATATCTTGTAGGTCCTCGGCAAGAACTACCTGGTCGTCTGCGAGGGTCCCTGAGGGTCCGTTTCGAAAATCTACTACGCTTCCACGGTCCGGACAGCCAGGCAGTGGCGTAACCGGGGGGGGGTTACCCAGACACCCTCCAGTAGTTGTAACCTCCCCTCAGGAGATCATCCTGGTTACGTAGTTAAAACCAATTTCTGCAATTTTAAGTTTTTATTTCTATTTAGAAGCTTATGGATGATGTTGGGATCATACCGATTATTGCAAGCAATTTGCTTGAGAGTATTAAGTTCTAAATTGAAGTTCTCATTAGATAGTGAAAATTTGAGAAGCCCTTAAATATATCTGTTGAAAGCCTCCATTTTATGTTGGGTTGGATGATTAGATGTTTCATGTATAACATGATGTGTTTGAGTAGGTTTTCTGTAAATATTGTACGCTAGAGAATCTTTTTTGCGAGATAGTCATATCCAAGAAGTTTAACTTATTGTCAGATTCTTATTCCAGTGTAAAAGAGATGTTAGGATGGAGATCATTAAGATCATCCAGAATCTGTAAAGCACCATCTTGGGTTCCCTGTATGAGAGTGTATAGATCATCAACATATGTTGACGAAAAAACTATTTTGTTGTTATTAACAAATTTCTGTTCTAAGCTGTCTAAGAAAATATCAGCTAAAAAACGGTGATAATGGAGAACCCATCGGTAAACCTGTTAGTTATTTATATTTTTTTTGATTAAATTGGTCCTGAAGAAGTCTTTCTTGTCCAAATTTTTCTTTTCAAGTAATTGGATAAGTCGGCCGTGTCTACCTTTATCAAAAGCTGTATTATAATTTAAGAACCATAGGTATATTGGTTGATTAAGATTGATGCATCTTTATAATATGAGTATGTTTACGTCAAATAGCGATTTTCTCGTTCCTATCGCATTTCTAAATTCAAATTGGGTTTATATCGTTCCAATTACGTAAATATTTTGTGCTTATAAACAAATTTCGTATTCTACAACATCTAGTCTAAAATATATTTAAGATAACAATTTACATTTACCCATGTATTTAGTGGCTTCAAACATGTAAATCCAGATAGCACTGATATTGGAATAGTTATTCCGAAAACGTTCCGTGATGTAGCCCGTTGTCATATTAATATATACTTCATCTAATTTACTTACCGTTGCACGTCATCCGCGTCATAGCCCGTGAGGTCACATGATACCAACACGAAATATTTAGGCGGAAGGTGTGTTCTTTTTTAAAATCACTTTGCCGAGTACACTGGCATTACGGCCACTAGACATATTTTATTATATACGTGTAGAAATAATATTTAAAGATTTATATTAATGTTACCCTAAAGAAATACACAATAATATGTTTAATTTAATTTGCATAAATGCATTATAAAGCGTTTTTATGAAGAACATTTTTTCGAAACACACTGTAACTGTAATCGAACGAAGGTGATATTTTGGCATAAATTCGTAACACTTATTTGACAGTTGCGGCACAGAATAATAAACAATCAGAATGTCCACTCTCAGATGCCGCCTTTGAAGTTTTTCAGCACGCGCGCCATGTTTTAGAAGGAAAAATTTATGATTTGTGAGGTTATATAATTGTTTATATTTATGTTTAATTATATTTATGTTATCATATTTAACAATGTTAAAATAATTGTATAGTATGTCTATGAATGCCGTAAGTGAATTAAACCGGGTTAATTTTTCTATGCACACCACATAAAAAACACTGGTTCCCTCTAAAACATGGCGGAACGTCTGCGCGAAGGAGATGCGCGTACTTAATTTTCCATGGAGAGTGGGCATTCTGATTGTTTATTATTCTGTGGTTGCGGTATTGACACTTTTTGTACTTTATTATTTTGAATTTTAAAGGGAATACCTCTTATTTTATATTTTTACCTATTTAATAAAATCTTTTTAGAACAAAATTAGTGTGTTTTATTTGTAAAATGTCACGTAAGAATTTAAATAGTCGTTGTAAAGAGATGGTAATACTTTTGCAATAATTATGTGACCTATTTGATTTAAAATGGATTCAGGATTTTTTTATACTTTGGCAATTATGTCAACTTCGATCTCTGTCAATGATAATGACGTGCAATGGTATATAAATTAGATGGACTGTACCTTTCATAAAAAAAATTTTTTAGATAAAAACTTTAATTATGTTTATAGTGTTTTGTTAAAAATGCTTTGTTTTTCAGGAGACAGAAACGAAACATTCCATTTATTGTTACGGCGTGTATAAGGGAAGTAGAAAGGAGAGGTATGGCGGAAGTTGGAATCTATAGGGTGTCCGGTTCTTCGCTTGATATAACCAAATTAAAAAAATCTTTTGAAACAAGTGAGTACAATTGATTGTAATGAGAATTACACTTTACATTGGTAACCTGTAAACCAATGTGAAGATTAAAGTAAGAACATAATAGTTATGTTCTAATGTAATTATAGAACATATTTCTTTAATGGTTGTTTTGATTATCAAAACTAATTATAGTCCAGCGTCCTATTTATAGATCAACGAAAAGTTTTTTTTTCAACTCTTAAAATTTATGTAATTTTAAGGAAAAACTTTCCATAGATATTGTAGGCTGTAGTACACTGCCTAGTATTTTCAATATTTTTCAATAAAAAATTATAAACATTGGACAAATTTGCTGATTTCGTTTAGATCGTTCGCAAGATAGTTTGTTATCCAGCAACCAAGATACTGTAATTTTTGTACGGTTTCTATCTTTTTGTTGTAGATACCTTTATTAATGTCGGCATTTGGTGCACGTGTAACGGCCATTACTTTTGTTTTATTTATGTTTATATTCAGCCCCAAGCTATCTCCCGCTCTTGTTATGGCATTCAAAAGTCGTTGCAAACCCTCAGCACTGTCCGCAATAATGACGGTATCGTCTGCGTGTCTTAATAATATGCTGTAAGTTGTTTACATATTCTCCGTTGATTTTTATTTCTTCTTTAATATTTTCGAGGGCGTTTTGAAAGAGCATCAATATCTAAAGTATTTACGGATATAAAATTCGCTGGGAAAGAACACTTTATGGAGGAAACCGAAGGGTATAGCCGATGTTAAGAAGAAAATTGTAAAGCCAAACCACTAAAATATTGTGGACACTGTACTATAACATTATGTAACAATTGTTTTATGCTATATAGTAAAACATAAACTTATTTTTATTAGATGTAAATAAAAATGGTAATTCCCGTAACTACTTTTAACTCACTCATACATACCTGCCATACATACCTGCGATGTTGATTAATAAGTCCCAGTGTCCTATTTGTAGGACGATCAAAATGCAAAAATGCAAAGATATAAAACAAGTTCATGAATATTTCTATATTTAAAACAATTTTACTGATAATAATTATGTACAAGAAAAATTTTGAAATTAAAAAAAAAATAATTTGGGCGTTAATATACTTAAAATTAAATATTTTTTCTTTTTTAGATTCCTATGAGGCTGAACAACTTCTAAAAGAAGTAGATATCCATTCTGTGACTGGTATTTTAAGATTATACCTAAGAGAACTACCCGAAGCTTTGTTTACCGATTTCCTTTACCCGGAACTGTTGGAGGCCTTCAATCAGAGCAATGGTAACTTAAAACGTAGGACTGAATTACTTAAAGAATGCTTCCAAAAACTTCCACTGCAAAATAGTGAAACCATTAGTTTTATATTGGACCATTTAATAAAGTAAGTTGTGCATGTTTGTTTTACAATTATAAAATTATGTAATTGCAAAGTTAATTATTCCGAAATGACTTTTTATTGTATTTCTATGAAACATGAAAGTGGCAAATGATATGTAAGTACGAAAACTCAGAAGATCTAACGATTACAGTATATATTTTCGAAGGCGTAAGAAAGTTTATATGTATATCTAGGATCAGAAATCAACCAAAATAAGGCAGTACTTGCAAAAATTAACAAAATGGTATATCTAAAAAAAGGATTAAATAAACTTTTAACAACAAGCATAGTCAAAAAAAGAACGAAAATATTGATATACAGATCCTCACCTACAAGTCAGAATTATAGACGGTGACAAAAATGATAAAGAATCTTGAGGCTGTTTTGAAGGCAAAATTCTTAGACTTATAAAGTCATGCTAGAAAAGGATTGCGGCGCATTTATAGAATTTTGAGCTTTACCGCCTTAGTAAACCTGATTTTACTAGGTCCATCAAAATAAAAGAGGCTCCGGTGGCTAGGCCACATAGAGAGAATGAACGAAATGGAGCCGCCGACACACATTTATAACCAAAGAACGGATGGACTGAGAAGACAGGCTCGGAGGACCAGGTGGAGGAAGACTTAGGAGTGTTAAAAGTATGAATTTGGAAAATCAACACGAATAATAAGAAGAAATGGAAGCTGATCCTGAAACAGGCCAAGACCAACTATGGGTTGTAGAGGCAATGGCGATGATGAGGATGAAAAATGAAATCGTTATGCGAAGTTATAAGTAATTATTTCATTTTGTGTACAGTGTAATAACATACATAAATAGTAGCTGCTCAACTCTTGTAAATACTTGTCCAAAACTGGACCAAAAGAACTTTGATGACACAAATTCTGATCTGAAGGCTGAAACGTGAAACAAAGATTGTAATTTTCATATTTGATATTGTCTTTTCTAAAGAACATGATGTAATATAATTTTATAGCATTATGGGATCAAAATAAGAATTAAAAAACAATTGCGAACCTTTAGTTCTGTACATCTGTCTATCTGAAGGTGAGTGCAGCCAAAACCACGTAGATACCGAAGAAACGGTGACGGATTTTGATTCAGCATTGAAAGTTCTGTTTTATTATTATCTATGTACATTGCCCGGTTTTCTTTAACGTATGCTATTGTCATTCCATCTTTTTATATTCTTATTCTTATTCAATTGTGGAATTGACAAAATGCCCCTGAAGATGCTCTAGGGAGCGAAAGTACTTGGGCAAGATTAAATTAATTAAACTGTGCTCGATATTTGCCTTTTATTTGATCAAAGTTCATTTATTCGAGCATTCAACCTTATATAAAAATATTATTATAGGTACGAATTCATTTAGACACTTTTTAACGATGATAGACCTTGTTCTTCCTACCATTCACGGATGATCGAATAAATGGAAAAGGTCTAAAAATAACAAAAGAAGTTATTTAAGCAGTAAAAGCTCAGAAGAACGGAAAAGCCACCGATCCAGACAATATCAATGTCGAAATACTTAAATTAATTGCAATCAACGAAAGTAAAAGCCTCGACTTAATAACAGCACTATTCAGTAAGATATATGACACAGGTAAAATACCATCAGACTGGCTAAAATTCAATGCCTCACACTGCGATGGCTACCGAATATTAAGGATGATGTCTCATGTTCTTAAAACTTTTCTCAGTCATTACGATTGGGGATTACGTCATTCATACACGATTTTATAAGAAGTGCGAGTGACACTCAATTTGGAAATGAATTGGGAACACGAGAAGCTCTTTTTGCCTTAAATGTATTAACACAACGATGCAGAGACATGAATGAAGATGTATATGCATGATTTATTGATTACCGAAAAACATTTGACTGCGTTATCAATCCAAAGATGATCGAAATTCTGAGAATAACTGAAAAACACTCATGAACATAAAAGCATTTTTAGACCTTAGTCTAGAACTCAGAATTCGAATGATCAGACGTTTTTTTTTTGTTTTGCTGTATGGTTGTGAAAATTGAACAATGGACTCTGAAGTTACCAATGGTAAGGTACTTCGGCGCATAAGTAAACAAAAAGAATTACTCAGCATAATCGAAGAGAGAAAAATAGAATACTTGGGTAATGTGTTGAGAGGTGAAAGATATGAATTAGTCCAAATCATATTGGAAAGTAAAGTGTAGAGCTAAAGATCAGTTGAAAAGCCTGGCTGAAAGACCTGAGGAGATGGTTTGACCTCTTATCCACAGAAATCTTTCGTGCAGAAGTTTCCAAAGCTACAATTGCCATTTGGATCGCCAACCTTCGAAATGAGACGGTACAAGAAGAAGAAAAGTTCTCTGTTTTTCTTTTTTTTACATAAGTATAATGTACACACGGAAGATCTTTTAGGTTTCAGTGTGACACCTTGTGATGAGATAGGCAGTGATGCATTTTTTGTTTTTGAATAAGTTTGTTTATTTCTTCTGTTTTATAATACTAACATATATATATATATATATATCAATGCTTTAGGGTTCATCGACACGAAAGCGACAACAAGATGTCGCTACATAATTTAGCTACAGTCTTTGGACCCACGCTACTGCGTCCCGGTGTCAAAGCCGACAATACTAAACAGAAAGACACTCTGGCCACGGGTACTGTGGACGTGATGGCCCAGGCTGGAATCCTCTACTGCTACCTTCAGGATCTCTTGAACAACTCGCAGAGAATATGCAGATGAGGGGAACTAACCAAAACCAAATCTGTAGGTAGTTTCTGGATTGAGGTTTGTTTTGCAGTGTGGAGTAAGAGAAAAATTAGTCCCGAATTTGAGTTTGTTACTATGTATTTTAAACATTTTTAATCTATATAGAATAAAAAATAAATGAAGATTTATATTTAAACGGTAATTATTATTAGATGCATTTGCTTTTTGCATTACAGACAATATAACTACGATGTTATTGGCCATTGCAATTTTTTAAAAGATGACCTTATTAATTAATACGTTCATGTTGATCTTTTCCAATACATTGTTTATGGACACAATGCAATATTAGTTAACTTGAAAGTCACCTAATAAATCTGTGTGTTTTACGTGTTTTAAAACTTCCTGTAAACCAATTCTTTAATTACTTAAATGTGAAAAATTCAGATACTGATAACATTCACAAGATTTATGGCAATTGAATGGGAATACTATTTACATGGCTCATGCTGAACGCTATTGCCCTAAAAATATTCAACGACAAAACATTACATTTTATAAATAATAGTTCAGATCACTCATACCACACACTTTTAATGCTGTAGAGGTCATTGGTAGTGTTAATCATCATAAGTGGCTCGACAATCCATTGTGTATTTTGGCCTGCTCACAAAGAAGTCGCCACTGCTGTCGATTCCTGGCAACTTCCCTCCATCTTCTAACCCTTAGAATCTGTCACTGGTAGTATTATTGCCACCAAATTTTCCATGCGAAGTGCTTGGCCATGGTATATTACTAGGTTATAATCGTTTCTCATACAATCTCGTACATCAAGGATAGCACAACAGGGTTACTTGCAGTCTACCATTCAACTTCTTTAACTTTCATCGGACGGGCCTCAAAATATTACACAAAAGATGGGCCGAGGTCTGAACGGACCCCATTCTTAAATGGGCGAACGAAAAATGGAAAAATGGGCTTATACGAAAAGCTTATACGAAAAAAAAAAACTACCAGTAACAAATTTTTGTAGTATTACTAAAGCATACACATTACAAAATACATTCTACTGCTGACGCTCACAGACTAAATAACAACTACATACTATTTGTACAATGTACACAAACTATATCTGATTTTGCGTGTTCTAGACATACAAAATGATTACATTTTACACATATTTTACTAGTTTTTCTGTATTTGCCTCTAAAACAAACATGGCACCGCCCCCTTGTATTGTTTGTTTATTCTACTTTGGGCTCAGTAATATTCAAAACTTCTAGGAATACATCTGCCATATGACGCTTTTTATTCTTTTCGATGTGCTTATTGTTATAACGTCTGAAAAACATAATATTCCTTAATTACTGTTAAACTGGGAATAAGCCACAATTAAAGATAAAAATACGTTTATTGACGTTTCAATTTCCACTTCGGAAATCGTTCTCAAAATACAAACGTTTTGTATTTTGAGAACGATTTCCGAAGTGGAAATTGAAACGTCAATAAACGTATTTTTATCTTTAATTGTGGCTTATTCCCAGTTTAACAGTAATTAATTTACAATGCCACAAGAAAATAGCTTCAGAACAATAATATTCCTTTATAAGTTCCTTGCCCAGTGCCAAACTATACATTTTACGCTTACTCGTATTATGCTTTTTCCATCAGGATATTTTAGTAGCCACAGTTTATAGGAATTAATACCTGCTACATCAATAAGATGAGAGAATATAGCCATCGGCCAACGGTTTGTTTTTCTTTGTATCGTATATTCCTTAGCTAACTTATCGGTTGTATAACTCCGACTAACTCCTTTCATTTTGTTGTAATGTAGAATAATTTCAGGTTTATAGGAGTGTTCTTCACCAGCCAATTTGTCGTCAACATGCTCACTTGAAAGTAAGATGACTGCAGTTCTTGGTTTTGGAACAAGACAAAGGTTCTATGTTTTCTAAAAGCAAACATAATTGAACAATCTGTTTTATATAATGCTGGTTGAAGCTCCCTTGGAATAAACGTTTTATTTTTTCGAAGAGTTCCACATAGGGTTATATTCTTCTCCATAAATTTTGAGCTGTTTGGCGTTGAGTTTTTTCGCCTTAGAACCTTATTTTCCTAAAAATGAATAGATTTAAAAATTTGCTTGTTTTCTTATTCCCAATTCAAAAATTTACCAAAATAAATTGCATGTTTACAATAAAAGAAGTAGTGCAGTCCACAAGGGTCCATATCTTTAATCCGTACTTGCCAGGTTTGCTCTTCATATAAACTCGAAATGGTGCTTTACCTCTAAAAGGCACGAGCGCTCATCTACACACAGATCGTCGCCTGGATTAAGTGATTTCTTACAATTAGAAATAAAAATATCACATACATCTCTTATTGGGGCCAGTTTATCTACTGATTTTCTTTCTTGCCTGGTTTCAAAATTGTCAAAACTTATAAATGAAGTTATTTGCTTGAACCTGTCACTAGACATAGCAGCTATTATAAGACGGCAGTAAGCATTATCGTCACACCAAAGAATATCGATCGCTTTTTTCGATCCATGAAAAGCTCCAAGTATAAGCAATACTCCAATATAGGCTTGAATCTCTACAGATTCAACGCAAACATACTCTTTAGTTTTATTTGGGTTTTCACTATTCCATTTATCGTAATACGCTTGAATCTTCCGATTAGTTTCCATGACAATTATGTTTAGAATTTCCTCTCAAAAAACAGAAGTCAAAAAAGTCGATAAACAGTATCATCACTGTAATTTGTAAGTTCTAAAGCATGTCTGCGAATATTCGCCTTTGTGTGCCTTTTTTGGCAACCTTGACCACCCAGTTCCATCTTTAGATACATATACCGGTAAGCCTACGGAGTCTGTAACTGTTGGTTCATTTTGTTCTATGCTTTTATCAATAATAAGGTCATTTTCTGTTTCTACTTCTGTTCTTCATTGTACATTGTCTTCATCTTCTAAATCATTTGCTGTATCCTCATTGATATCAAGCTCTGGATCATCACTTTCAAGTAAACGTAAATGTTCATCTTCTCTCAGTTGCTTTCGGCTAGATATAAATGAAACGAAACTCACGTTCAGAATTTTATACTCTATTCATAAATACGACAAGAAACCAACTGACACTGGAACTCAATATATTTATATTATTTCATTTTCGAATTTTAAATTTTATCGCAACTCGGGGAATTTCCCATTTAAACATGTAAAACCCTTACATAAAACGATAGTACACTCATAATCGGTACTAATCCGTAACATCTATGTGATTCCCACATTCTTAGGTTCTTCAACCAGGAAACGCGTCTTCTTTCTACGCTTCTCCTACCCTCTATTTTTCCTTGAATTATTATGACAACTTTATTAGAATTCATTTTATATGACATAAAAGGCTGGCCGGTGTATTAGGAGACCCCAGCCTATAAAATTGAAGTTAAGGTTGAGTTTACCGAAAGTACAAGCTGAATATAGCCGCAAATGTCAAAAATATTTCGGCTTGGTACTTGGTAGTGTTGGCATGTTTTTATAATGCATATATTGTATGCTTCAAATATAAAGAAATAAAGCTTAAAAAGTACATTTTGATTATACTATTTTATGAATTCTGCAATTTTTAATTTGTATGAAGCAGTAACGAGTAGATATTTGTCTCTTTCGAGATTAATTGCAAACATCTGTTGTAATCTGGCAACTGCTGATTTGACGATTGCCAAATCTATCTCCTAATCTACCAAAGGGTAATTGCTAAAAAAAATTTCTAATAATTAACTGCAATTAATCTCCAAAAAACAATGTGTATCTTCTCTTAATATATGACTCTTCCGGAGTATTTGTTGTTCATTTCCCCCCTTTTTAGTTTGTATTTTATGTACTAAGCTCTATTACGTTTTAAATTTGTATATCTATTCTTATTTTTCACAAATTCTGCCTATTTATCTTTTAGGTTTTTAGGTGTTACAATCTTTTAAATTTTGCAATACCAGACAAAATCCGAGAAATATTTTGAGAGTGCATGGGTTAATGCGGACTTTAGGGATTCCTGAGTTCAGTCTCGTGAACCCGTTCCTTCAGCCCTACTACTTCATTAATATACTATTCATTGATCACTGCACTATTAGTGAATACAGTAAAATTTGTTTTTACCAAAATATAGAGAAATATCTGAATGAAAATGTTAAAACATTTACCTTTACACGCTCATATACCCGAATGATTTGTTTTAAAAGCTGTCTATATAGAGTAGATCTCCATTAAGGAGGTAAAGAAGGAAAATAACTGCAATTTAATAATTTTGACATTTGGACTTCAATTTTTCTTAACTCGACACTATCAAAAAACCAAACCGTTTATTACACCGTATATATATTTGTATACATGCAATGTGACTGTAATTATTCATATTAGTTTTAAGTATATTTTGTATAAAATAATAAGCAGAACAAAGTTCGGAATGTGTGGCTAGTTTCGTTTTTATTTTTCTTAATAAGTTTAAATATTTATGAGCATTAAAAATAAATTAGTGTTTTTATGTTGAATAAGTACAAAGTGTTTATTTAGAAAGTTAAGAGTATGAATCGACAGCGTTTTATTTTCTCTATAATTATTTTATGACTTAGTGTAAATTAATTTAAAATGCATAACATTTGTAAATAAAACAGCAGGAATAAAAATGGAAATATTCGTTTGTTTTCATAGATCATTGCCAATGAAAGTCGAAATAAATTTAAGTTTTCTATCTATATTCTTTCTTTAATCTTATCTCTCCCATCCACTTATCCTTCGTAACTCTTCTTTGTGCAAATTATTTTGTTTCCGAGAATGAGTAACCATTCATATTCTTTATTTGGTCTGACCCAAATAACGTAGCGCTAATTGCTGACAATGCAGCTGGCTCTTCTTGAGGCAATTCGGGCGTTTTTCAATCTCTATGGCTTCTCGGATAATTCTTGGTTAATAGAAACGAAGGGAGGTTGTGGTTCTAGAGTTTTCAAATATATATAACAATAATTCAAGAATAAGTAATAATAATTCAACTAGCATTGTTTCCATACTTGCTTTTCTTCTAGTAGAGTGTCCAAAGTGTCTTAGTATTCCGCTAGTTATAGTTCTAACGAGTCTTATTCTTATTGGTAAAGCTAAGTCGTAATGATATATGCTTTCTATGGTATACACATCATTTTACGATAGACCCACATTTTGAAGGGCATTTTTCTATTATAACCTC